TGAGCGGGTGTTCGATAGTGGTCGCGCTATTAGAACTCTGAATTCAAAAATCGATATCTCGAAATCTATTAGAAATAATAGATTGTAGTTTTTTCAAGAACTTTGTTAATATTTCTGCTGTATTTTCTTTGTACAGTATGTGAAAATCTTTATCAATAAAAAAATTACAAGATTGCTGAAAATTGCTATGCTCTAAAAGTAAATGGATGGATTGTTTACAATTTTTGAATGGAAAAAACAACCTTATCGAATTTTTCTTATGTAAACATATTGTAAAATATCCGAGGTTTCAATATCTAAAGTGGTTCTTGAGTTATGGCCTGTTATGTGTTAAAAAGTTGAGTTTTTAAATTATCGCGATTACTGACGTTTTCTCGTTATAAAAAAATGACACCCTAACGATATAATTCCATTTCAGATGCTCAGAAACATGTCTAATGATTTTATCTAGTTATCTCTTGAAAAAAAAGTAGTATTTTAAAAATAAGCGGTTTGCGATCGTGATTTTACTTTACTTGATGCGAGACCACTCTGTAATAACGCCAAAATCAGAGTAATACGCCGAACGTGATCCGCCGTGTATGCTGGGTCCAAAGTCCACACACCAGTAATACACTGGGAAACACGTGCGTGAAGCGGCTTTTGATACCTGCCGCCGACACAAGTGACGGAACTTATATTTTATTCTGTAAACTTTGCCAAAAGTAACAGTTGCCAGCACGGTATATCAATGTAATCACAAAACTTCAATCTATTTCCGTATTGTAACGGTATTTTAAATTAAGTCTTTATTTTCGAGAAAATTTAGTCCAAACATAAGGAATATTTTGTTGATGTTTGACCATCAAAATCTTCAAAATAAAGAAGTTGTCTAAAAATGTGCTACAATACGGATATAGTATAATCCTTTATCTTTAATTTCCTTCTTCATTCGTGTAAAAATACCTAACCAGTTTTACATAAAACGTTAAATGCCCAACGCTTATTTTGCTACTTTTTCGGACTAGTGAAGTGAACTCTTAAGCTAGAAAATTCATTAAGTCAACTTTTATACATGAACAAAAACGTTAATTTAGAACTGCTCTAAATTTACTTATTTCTCTGGGAAGTTAATATGATTTGCTTAAAGACGGTCCACGGGCTTTTCGAACCATTTAGTGCCAAAGTTTGTACCAAGACATATTTTTTATGAGAAGTCAATAAACAATACGATATACCTATATTTTTCCCCTAGTAGAAGTACAATATAATATAAATGTAATATGGAGGTTTAAAATTGATCCAGAACAAATAAAAATAAAAACAAAAATGAAATGTGACCGTATTTGGTAGATGGTAATGAAATATATTTGAGTTTTTAAGAAAGGATTTATATGTTGTTGAGTTTAAATGTTTATTAGAAGAACGATCTCTATTTATGTAGGCTAAATATACACAAATTGACATTGAAAAGTGTTTTATTTACTTTATTTCCCCTTTACCTAAAGTGTTCTTGGTTTTTTACCACAGTAATGTACCGGGTGGCCAACTAAGAATGGACGCCGGCTGTATCTCAGAAACTACTTATCGTATAACTTTGGGAAAAAAATTCTAATAAGTAAATCGACCAAGAGAAATCGCTGGAAATTATTTTCAAGTTCGAAAAATATCCGCTAGGTGAACAGGTATTTTAAATATTACTATTGTAATCATCGAGAAATTTGTAATTTTTTTGATATAGAGTGTTTTGCTCTATCTCATAAAATAAAGTGGTGGGGGAAGGTTAAACTTGCTTTTATTAATATAAGGATAACTCTGGTTTAGGTTAACCGATTTAAACAAACTAGGGCTCGTTTAAAAGAGCTTTTCTTCCTTAATGATCTCCAGTGTAAACTTTGTTTCCATCATTTTTTCCGTGGTAGCTAGAGGGCGCTGTTTGACATCATAACAGATATTGCGCTTTTGCATAAAAAAATTAAATACGAGGCTATATTTCTCTTAACACAGTTAAATAGAGCACAAAATTTCCAAAATATCAGCGCAAACCGCAATTTTCTATCTTGTCTCTAACCGGAGATATTAAGAGAACAAAATATGTTAGGCTGCCGCTTAGGATTATATAGTTTAAAAATTATAGTAGTAGGCTAGGAAACAAAAAGAGGCAAATTGGTTACGTTAAAATATCAAAACATATATTTTAATTTCATTTTAATACCATTTAATTGTTATTTATCTATGTTCGTTTTTGATTCGACCCCATAAATTAAAACGCAGCATATTGAATCCGATGACCTAGCTAGCCATGGAAATATGCCGCTCCAGCGTCTCTATCTACTAAAGTAAGTGGTATCCAAGAAGCCCCACACATTCATAGTAAAATATGCGACACAACTGCACCAAACTGCATTATCTACACCAATTTAAAATTATTTTGAAATGTACAGGGTGTATCAGAACTAAGATTCATACCAAAATTATGTTTTTTCTTATGGAACACCCGATATTTTATTTCATTTTTGGATTCTTGGACATAAAATAAGGCATTTATTATAAGGGTTTAATATGTTTGCTTTGGTTTTTGAGATATTTAAAGATATTGATTGCATGCTATAATAAAAAAGTTTGTCAGCACCTTGTACATTACTCTTCAGAATTAATATTTGTGCTGACTTTCACGCGAGAGAAATCAACTTTACTAAAAAACTTGATTGTTTCCTTAAATGTATACAGGGGTATCAAAATTGCTGGTCTATGTTAAATATTTATTTTACATAAAAACTTCGTTGTTTCAAATGCAACGTTCTGTATTTTTTTAAATAAGTCGAAGCAGATTTAAATGCTTTTTCAAACTATATTAGGGTTTCGTATACCTATCTGGCTCAGATTTTGAATAAAAAGCGATTTTTCAATAAAACTGTAATCAAGATGGCTGGTGTCGCCATGGCAATTTCCTAGTAAGTACCTACCCAAGTAGCATTTGGACGTTATCTAACGTCGGGTATACGTCGCGTTCAAGAAACCCGACGTCGGGTACCAACGTCGGTTTGACCGCCTCACGACCCTTATTTGCACCTAAATGGGGAATACAGATTCGGGTCGCCTCGACGTGGTATCTGACCTAATAGGGAATGTAATTCTACCAATTACCAACGTCAGATTACGTTGGATTTTAGTTACTTAAAATTCGTCACTAAGCACTTACGTTACGTTTGGTTTCATATTCGCTACCAAGAATACATAAAAACCTAACCAAACTACCTAATTACAAATGGATTCATAATCACTCCTCGAATATAACTATAAGTGCCTACCTAATTTCATATTATAATAATTCTGAATCATTAATCCAGACATCAGTTTTGTCAACGGAAGTCACTTTTTGATATATCTGATTAAAATACTCCGGAAAACAACGAGCGCCTTCAAAATTAGGTAGATTTATGAAATAAAAATATCTATAAAAAAGTAACTCGCAAAATATTTTTTTTTATTTTCTAGCTGGTTTAATCATAAAACTGTACTGTGGTTCCCCCCAAACTCAACCTTATCAATATTATTTTACTAGAAATCGGAATGTGAATATAAATTTTAAAAACAAAAAACAATTTTAAAATGGCTGACAATCGGATACTTGTTAAGAATGGCGGATTTCTGTGTCCGACTTAATATGAACTACCAATATACCAATTCCGACCGGGTCTCCAACATTAGTCGTCTCACACGACCGAAGTCATCAAACCGGACGACCGGCAATCGTATTATGAATTATGACGTATATAATTCCAACGTACGCCACGTAACCTCACTTTGCGTATCAGTGATTTGTGGATCTGTGCAACTATATTTTAGTTTTTGTTTTCTCCTTCAAAAAATGGGTAGCCACTTTTTTAAGATAGTATATATCCAAAATTTAAAAGAATTGGAACCAGTACCTCACATGTGGGAGGAGGATGGGGTCTGCTGGTTTCCTAAGCTAAAAATAAAATTAAGATGCACCAGTGTAATGCAGCATCTCTTCCGGATAAAAAGCATTCGTGGGTGGAGGGAAGACATCACTACTACTATTATTATTTTGCAAAAGCCTCGACCTCTTTCTGTAAAATGTAGATGAATGTATAAATGCATTTTTAGTGCTTTTTTAGGCATAATAAAAAAATTAAGTTTGTTTACAAAAACTTTTTATTAGGTTATGTTCATGATGTTCATTAGGCCGCAAATGCTACTTAATTGTATTTACGGACGTAAATAGAGATACGTAAATTAGGTTATAAATAGGAACATAAAATACAACAAAATATAATTGGACGTTACTTTAGGGATTATCAGTGAAACGTATCCATTCGGACAAAGGGTAGACGTCGGGCTAGTTCAAGTATATGTACGTCGTGCAAGCCAACGTGGAAACGACGTTGGGAAATTAATAAAAATGGTACGTTGTTATTTTGTACGTCGACAGATCGTTGGATTTACCGACTCGGATCCAACGACGTCGCTTTTAATAGGAAAGCGACGTCACCGGTCGTATCACCAGCACCCGACCTAAATTTGCACAAAGTCTGATGTCGCTTCAGGTCAGATTTAGTTCAAAGTCAGATAGATGCTACTTGGGTAGTTACTACCTAGTAAAACTTGGTAGCTATTTTCAAAATCGACATTAGTTTATGGACTTTATTTAAATTTATAACAGTTTACTTTTATTTAATTTACCTACAATAGTTTAATAAGTAAGTATTTATTATTTTATCAAGAAAAATAAAGAAGTAGTTCTTTGATTTATATTACGATGACTTGTAGATATATTGGATTTTCTATAAAAGAACCAATTAAGGCAAATTAATTTTCTTCACTTATTTTTGTTTTCATCTAATTGTCGTCTGATAGAGCTACGTATGAGGACCGCGGTTCGGATTCCGCGTAAACAAAGTAGGCTCCGTCCAGATTATCCCTACCAGCAAAAAGGAGATGGTAACGTAAAATTTTACTAAACATCTTTTACTTCAATCTCAAAAAAATAAAACTACTTGTGTGATATTATATCTATCTCTTTTATTACAAAATATACTTGGTACAAAAAAACACAATTTATGCATACTAAAAACTCTCTCTTAAATTATTAAACTCTAATATAATCTTCCTCTAAAAATATATATGTACATCAAAATAAAATTTTCTTTTAGCAAAAATCAGGCGAATAGTTATGAGGTTATTATTTTAGCAAGGCGATTTGTATCTTACTTGTTATTGCAAAATATCATAGTAAAAATTAAAAATATATAAAACACGTAATAAACTAAATAAATAATAAAATAAAGTCATTGTAGAGAATCGATCGAACAATAATTGTACTTGTAACTTGTGATATCATCAGGAATCCTTCAAAAAAATGTATATTATAAAAAAATAAAAACTATAAGCGGCTATTAACACTATTTATAGGTCATACTTACATTAGGCATTTCTTTTTTTATATCCAATTCCTCTTAACGGGCTTTTTAGCTTCAAATTTCCTAACCTGATGGTTGTTCTCTTTGCCGCCTGCCGTGGATATCGGTCCAAACCTCTTCGAAACTCGCGTCTTATAGCCTATGATAGAAAGAAAATATTATTAGATTATCTCGTGTCACGAAAAATGGTCTTACGTTTGCAAAATTGGTATCTTCGTAAAAAACGAAGCCAAGCATCCAAATAATATTAGTCCTAATTTGTTATAATCAAGCAATAAATCAATAATGATTGAAAGTTATTTTGAAGACTATTTAGTTTATGTATCTCCCTACTAGTGACAAGACTTGAACTGTTTCAACTTAGAAGTTTTTTTAAATAAAAAATGCCAATTTATTGTTTTTACTGCCCCACGTTGGGCACCAAAAATTTTTCATGCCCCACGTTGGGCACCAAAAATCTTTCATGCCCCACGTTGGGCACCAAAAATAAGTGTATAACTTTGTTTGTCAGACAAGCTGCAAGTAACGATGTTTTAACGTGTTCATAATCCTAACCAAAGTTAAAAAAAATCATGCAACATCCCTGTTCAATATTAGTAGAGAAAAAAACGCCATCACCATTTACGTACAAAAGATTTATTATTAGTTATCAGTATCGATCAGTAACATCGCTATGCAACAACTCTTGCAATATTTCCACCAAAACGTGCCCGAAATATACCCCACCTTTGACAGCGATCTGACGCGTCTTAGTCTTGGTCTGTGTCTTGGCGGCGTCCTTGTCCATGACGAACGTGGAATTCACTCCCGAGTTCTTGGAATCTTGCAGGATCCTCTTGGGTTTAGTTTGCGATTTTCCTGTATAAAAGTCGCGAAAATAATAAATTAGCCCCGGTTGTACAGACATGGTGTTCCATATTCGAGGCTGACCATTTGGATATCGCATATAAGTAATACCTTTAATAAGGCTAGTATACCGGGTGGTGCATTGTCGTTGGAAATATAGGAAATTGCATACAAATTTTGAACTGTCGTGATATTGACTCCCCTGTTAATTTTACAACAAAGTTTTTAATAAAAGTGTTTTAACGTTGTACGAGTTACTTTTTTAAGGACGTAATTTTGCAAATAATTTAAAAATGGATTGGCAGAAGAGTTTCAAAATTGATAGGAAGCCTGATGTAATGCAGTAAAGAGTTCGAGCCAATAATCTAGATGGGATTTCCTATAAGCACAGAATATCTAGCTACGCAACAGAAGCCTCGTTACATGTATAAAATTGTAGGAAGCAAAAGGAGACAGGCTTTAAAAGCCTGTCTCCAAATCAGATATTTTGATGTGGTAGTTTCGCTACTACATAATAGAGGGCAATAAATTTAAAAGAAAACAGTTTTCTACAAACAAAATTTAAAAGAATTTTGTGCAGTGTTGCCATTGTGTAATTCATATCGTAATACTTCCTGATAAAGCCTACCTTCAAATTTGCTACATCATTTAAACATATTAAAATAGATCAGAGCTGTTTTTTCAGTTTGCCATGTTAGTTGGAATTAAATCTTATGAGCTAAATTACAATTACTTCCTGACGTTTGATTGTATAATTAAATCCTGAATTTTCATTGTAATTCGGCGACAATATAATAAGGATTGTTCTACAGAACTATTATTATAGTTCTACCACTTCCTGACGTTCGATTGTGTTCATACCAAGTTCATATCGTATAATCGGGAAAAACGGCGTTAGCGATAGCTATGAAATGAATATCGCTGTCATTTTATATGTAAATTTATATGGGAAATGTCATCGATCGTCCTTCTCAAGCCAACTGGACGCCGTTTTTTTCAGAAGCATATCAAGTGATACCATAATATAGTACTATATTACGATACATGGCGTTCGATTGGGCTTAAACTTGGTATACTATATGTTCAGTGACATTGTAATATCATGGTACCATGAAGCATATAAAGTGGTACCTTCTATAGTACCATATTTGATGACATAGCAATATTAGGTACATGGCGGCAATAGGGCTTAAACTTGGTATACTACGTATTTTCGGTGACATTGTAATATGATGGTACTATGATGCATATAATCTGGTACTATAATATAGTACCATATTATGTACATGGCTTCGATTGGCCTTAAATTTGGGATACTACGTATCTTCGGTGATATTGTAATATTATGGTACCATGGAGCATAATAAGAGGTACCATAATATAGTACCATATTACGATACCATTTCCTGGCGTTCGATTGAGCTCATATTTGATATATACTTGCGTATTTTTGATGACATTGCATTATTATGGTACCATGAAGCATATCAACTGGTACCATAATATAGTACTATATTACGTACATGGCTTTCGATTGGGCTTAAACTTGGGATACTACGTATTTTCGGTGACATTGTAATATGATGGTACTATGATGTATATAAAGTGGTACTTTAATATAGTACCATATTACGATACCATTTCATGGCGTTCGATTGTTCTTAAATTTTGTATACTACGGATCTTCGGTGACATTGCAATATTATGGTACCTTAAAGTATATCGAGTGGTACCATAATATAGTACACTATTATGATATCATTTCCTGGAGTTCGATTGGGCCCAAATTTGGTATACTTGCGTTTCTTTATAAAGATTTGTTTAATTAATAATTTTAATTTATTTTACGAATTTTAATTTATTGTTCGATGTCGTGACAGCAACTTTTATGCCGAACTAATATATTATTAATTGTACCTGTGCCACTTTTTAAAATCTACCTAGGTCTATATAAATAACGTGGTAAACGGAAGAAATTTGTTATTATAGTATTTTTTAGTCAGTTAACATTTTTTGTACTGCATTTTAATAAATTATTTCCATTATTATTAAACTTATATTTCATTACTAACGTTCCAGCATTAATAAATATCACTATCAATCGCCCTGTATATTATTAATTTTAAAAGTAATTAAAGGTATTTTCTTACTTAACATTATAAGGTATAGTGTATATTAAAAGTGTATATGTTTTGTAATAATATACTTAAAACTATTTTAATAGCCAAAGGAATAATTAATATAAGTGTATCTGACAAGGAAAGAAGAATAGAAAGAAACACATACTGCATTATACACAATAAAAAGAATGGGATGCCAATTCAAGTCTTTTTGAATCTGGCAACTGTGCATATTTAGCCGAGCTATAAGGCCGTCGACGAGCCGTCGATTCAAAACCGAAAGTTCAAAATTTCTAATTATATTCTGATTATGATATTGTCGCGCCATCTAGTATTCTATTTGTGCAATTTTAGCTCTTTCATTTCTAGTATTTTTCTGTTGCGTAGCTAGATATTCTGTGCTATAAGCCTTGAACCGATGCCATAACTCAGTATAAGGAAAATATACCGGGCGACCCGAGTATATAATAGTTGATAGGTTAATTTTGATATCCCTATCTGCCTTTGTTTATAGCATTCTGCATGTTATTGCAGTAGCAGTCTCTTGACAGATGCTTAAAGTCTTTACTTACTAGCCTATTACTCTACTTTACTAGCCTTATAGTAGTATTACTTATATGATTTAAATATAGTAAAGCCCAGGATAAAGGTTATTTTTCGGGCACTTTTAATATAAACTAAATTATTATAGTATTTTTAATGTTTGTGGCCCCAATTTTGCAATTTGATACAGTTGTTTAGTTGGTTATAGACCAGGAAAAGACTTTGGAGTTCTTATATTTATATTTTGTCAGCGTTTCGATTAATATATAATCTTCATCGGGACTATCCAGCGTACAGTTATATCATTACTTTTTGTTTATCAAAAAAAAACTATCCACAAATGACACTATGTTTTTCCTCCTTAATAAAGTTTACTCCAGCCTAAACAACCATCATTCTACAGCAACAATTTTCTGTGATTTTTCTAAGGCGTTCAACTGTGTAAATCATAAGATCCTAATTAATAGTTTAAGTTGTATCTGAGCAACAGAAGTCAACTTGTGAGGGTGGATACCAATAATAGCATGCCAATAGAATGTGGAGTACCTCAAGGCTCAGTACGAGGCCCTATTTTGTTTTATTAACGACATTGCTAACATAACATCAGTAGTAAAATATGTCTATCTGCGGACGACACTAGCTTCACTTGGAGCAACAAGGACGCCACGGCACTTCATAGGATCATATCAAATGACTTAATCACCATTAAATCTTGGTGCGATTCGAACCTCCTGAGTCTCAACATTTCTAAAACTAAAGCTTTGTCGTATAAAAACTCGCTGCAGCCTTTTGTACTTAACAACACCACCATTGACGTCGTAAAATCTGTAAAATTCTTAGGGCTTGTTGTAGACAATTCTCTAAAATGGGACATGCATATCGACGCTTTGTCGAAAAAATTAAGCTCTGCCTGTTTTGCATTAAGATCTGTTTTTAAGGAGCTTAACTTGTCAGTGGCTAGAACTGTTAATTATGCACTTTTTGAGTCGCACCTCAGATATGCCCTTCCATTCTGGGGTACGTGTTGTGCGACTCAATTTGATCGCATTTTCAAGCTCCAGAAGCGAGCTGTTCGATATTCACTGGGACTAAAAAGCAGAACTCATTACCAGGACTTTTTTAAAAAAATAAAAATATTAACTTTTCCTTCCTTATTTATATTTGAATCCGTTTGCCTAATATGTAAGCATGTATCAGCTTCTCAAGAAAGGCCATCTCACACTTATCCACTCAGGAACGCGGAGCAAGATCTTTATCTACCTACCCCACGCTCAGAGTTAGTTAAAAGTTCAATATTATACAACTCGAAAAAAATGTACAATCACCTGCCATTTGAAATCAAACCCATAATAATAACATCATTTTCTTCATTTCGCAAAACATTGAAATCTTATTTACTAGAGAAGGCTTTCTACGCCGTAAATGACTTATATTTTGATAATCGAATTTGATCTTGAACTGGTCTAATATTTGCTATTACTATATTTTATTTATTATTTACTATAAACTTTCAAAATATTTTTGAATCTTATTTTTGTTTTTTTATTCTTTGACATTGTAAACATTTATAAATGTTTATTTTAAACAATAAGACTGACAATGTAATTTGTATACTTGTTTTGTATTCTCTTTTGTTTGTTTACTTTACCTTTGTCTACAAATTGTTAATTTTTTTGACAATAAAGACATTTATTTATTTATTTATTAACCGAAACGTTCCCAAAATACAAATCTAAGAGCTCCAAATTATTTTAACTGGCCTATAACCAACTAAATAACTGTATTAAATTATTATACATATTTTGTGTATTTTTTTAGAGGAGGCTCAGCTTTCATATACCACACGCCACTGGTGTTTTCGCGTATTGTATCCATGTCGAGATGCGCGTTATTATTACATATCGCCGCATTTCTTCGGCATAAAATTGCGAGTTTACTACGTTTATTGGCCCGGGAGAATGCGAAAAATGTTCGCCTTACCTGATAGTGACGTTCCCGGCGTGACCGCGCTGTCCGCTCGGTGTTTTTTATTCGTTGTCTGGAAACTGGAAAGCTTTTTCAGCAGCATATGGTTCTCTATCTGGGTCAGTTCGCTCTGCAACACAGAGAAAAATAATTAAACATTTCGAAACAAACCACAGATAATACACTTAGATGCAAAAAACGCAACAGAGAAATTTTTGGTCAAATTTAAAGTGTTATTGACATGATCCAAAAAACAAAATGCTCAGGAGACATGGTTCTGACCGTAAATTTATATTTTAGGGAAATTTACACATGAAATTATTGCACAGGGTGTTTTAAAGTTAGGATAAAAAAAACAACCCCGATTAACCCTGTATAATATACCAAATATTAAAGATGATAAAAAACTGAGTTTACGAATAAAAGGTGATATAATTATATACAGCTTGCTAAAAAAATTATGAAAATAGAGCTAAAAATAACAAAAAGTATGACGCTTTAAATTTGACCAAAAATTTCTCTGTTGCGTTTTTTTTTGCAACTGAGTGTATTTCTTACGGCCTGAAAATATTTGCAATTATTTAAGACTCACACTGTATACATTTTTTTAAATGCTTTTTTGTAATTATTAAGTCGGAAACTTATCACACTACCCTCGTAAGATTGAGAACCCTGGATTTAAATATTTCTTACCTTATATTGGAACTCCATTCGTTCCTTGTCCGATACAAATCTCTCATATTCCCGACTCAGTTCTGGAGAGGCCATCAGCAAGTTCCAGAGCTTATTTTCGGCCCGGGTCCTGGCAATGCGCAACTCCTGTATTTGCTTTTGCACCTCCTTCTCGTCTTTGTCAAATTTCTCCAACAGTTTCTTCCTGGTCTCATGATTTTTGATGATATTAACGGTTTTCCGATTTAGGTCTTCATCCAACTGTCTGCAATATACATTAAACAACTGATTGACCTCCAATACCAGAGAAATGAGCAGTGGCGGTTAGTACTAAAGGGCACAGGGGAACGTGAAAAGGAAACGTTCTCCAAAATTAAATTCTTAATAATAATAAATAATTCTAATACATAGTTCTCTTAAATTCTCGATCGTTTTACACTACTCTGTTCATATGACCACTTTAGGCTTGGTCAAAAGACACACAAAATGTGGTGGATAGAAGTATATGGCTGTTGGTAGAATCACAGATAAGGTATATTACAAGTACAATTTTGATGTACAGGGTGGGTAAAATTTGACGCTTTTAAATGGAAACACCCTTTTCTATAGGAGATAGACGAAAACTAATATCGGTGTCTGGAGCTCAATTTTCATCAAAAACATGATGGTGAAAACCGCACATCAATATCTGTTACCGTTTCGGAGTTACGGGGTGTTTTTCAAAAATGTGCATTTTTAACAAATCGCTGTAACTTTTTTGCTATGGAAAATTTTGTATTTCTATGAAAACATTTCCAAAGCACCTTTTTACGTAGAATTTAATAGTCTAAGTATAATTTTTTTAAAATTAATAATTTAAAAGTTATGAACAGAAAAAATGATTTTTTATTTGGGACACCCTCTATATTTTTAATTAACTGAAAAGAATTTAAAATTACCTTTCCAAAAATATAGCACACTTGATATTTTGTTATAATCCCCTTCGAAATACAGAATTTTTAGTAAGTTCGCCACTTTTAACTAGTAGGCTTTGGACCCCTTATTGATGACATGCCCAATTCGAAAACATATTTTTCCAGCAAACGACGCACCTCCTCTGAATGCTGAAGTTATCAGCAAATTTTTGCAGCCAATTTCCAGAATAATTGGATAGCTAACCAAGATCCTAGCCGTTGGCCGTCGAGGCCGCCTGACTTAGAGCCCATGTATCTAATCCTATGGATATATTTGCGGAAGAATAAAGGTTCCTTATTCTTCCGTATAATCTAGACAAGAATTAAAAATACTAAGCAGTTATAAGAGGGTATCTTTCACCCCCACTGAGTTAATGAATTCCGCGAGAAATTTTCAAAAACTGCCCCTTCTGTCCATAACAGAAGACGGTCGATATGTCGAACACCTGTAGCAAAATCTCATGTCTTGGTTTGCTATTTACTTTTATTGTTATTAGATATAGTTTAAATGTGTTGATGTTGGTTAAATATATTTTAAATTGCTATAAAATTCTGCATCTCTTATAGCAAGTATTATTTCCGTTTTAATTGATGCTCACAGCTAGAATTTTTTTGCATTACAGCCGGTGCCGTTCAAAGCCTACTTATTTAAAAGCGGACGAACTTTTATATACTCTATATCTCGAAGAGGAATCTAACAAAATATCAAGTGTGTTATATTTTTGGAAAGGTAATTTTAAATTCTCTTCAATAAATTAAAAATATACAGGGTGTCCCATATAAAAAAAAATTTATCGTTATATGATTTAATTTTTGTTTAAAATTTATATTAAAAGTATATTGAGATAATATGACAAATATTTTCAAAATAATAAATACACGTATCAATTATTATATCTTGATTAACATTTTTTATTAGTCTATATTTTTAGTAATTGTTGTCAACGGAGCGAAAAAAACGCTCCAAATTAGCATTCACGTCTATATCGTTCTGCGCATGCTCAGTAGCATATTCAGAGAGAAGGATAGGCTTATACGATAATCTTGTTCTAGAAAGAAATAAATAGAAAAATGCATGTGAAAGTCCCGTAAACAAAGTCGTGTGTAATATATGTATATTATACTACTATATTATAGTAGATAGTGTGTATAGACACGATGGCATAGCTTTATCCACGAAGTTTTTAAGATCTAAGGGGACACCCTGTACAACGAAATTTGTACAACAAAATATACCGCTGGCACCAAAAAGCTGACAAAATGACAAAGAAGACAGCCAGTTTTCAATATTACTGGACTTTTACTTACCCTTTCAACAGTAAAATCGATTGTTCCAGCTCGAAAATCCGTTTCATAGCTTCTTTCTGTTCCACTACCAGTTCCGTAAACTCCACGGAAATGGATGGTTTCACCGGACTCTTGCACACCTCCATGGACACCTCCTTGGACTCCTGTCCGATTTTGACAGCGCACAATCCGTCACCTTCACCTTTCTCGATCTTCAGCGCGTTGATGGTCATGTTGAGGATCTCGATTTCCCTCTTCAATGTCGCGTTCTCGTTGGCCAACGCCGCGTTCTCATTGGTTAACATGGCGTTCTCACTGGTCAACGCGTTCACTTGTGACCCACTGTCAGACTGAACTGGCTGGTTGTCGTGTCTTAACCGGTCTACTTCCGCTTTGAGGGTGGCGTTCTCCGTTTGGAGGTCGCTGACCAGCTTGATGTATTGTTCGATGTGCAGGTCGGTGTTGACTATGTTCTTTTTCACGTTCGATTTGATACTTTTCGCCCTATTAGCGTACCTGAGAAAATTTATTTTCGTATATATTTATATTCATATAAGTAATACTCGTATAATGCTAGTACACTATCGAGACCATAGACTTACAATAAAATATAGACTGAGCATCTCATTCATAAATAGCTGGCCAATGCGGTCAGACAATGTCTTGTTATTGTTTTAGGTTCTAACGAGTGCGACACGAGCGATAGACAGGTTGTCTCCGTCGTAACAGTCGTTCCCTGACGACTCTGCCGCGAAATGCAACGCTGTCTTTCGTTTCTCAGTACACCTGAACTCTCCGTATCATAGGCGGGTATTTTTTTATTTTAATGAAGCGATAATTCAATTAAAAATATATCGTATTTAAACTTTTTTATATTATTAAGATTTAGGAGAGGTTTTTTTTAAATAAAAGCTTAGAAAAAAATACGTCTTACGAGTCTAAAAACTTTATTTATGATTTATTTTGTGATTGATTTTACATTTTACTAAAATATTATCTAAATAAGCGCCTTTCTACATCAACGCCACTGACTCCCAATTGGTAAATTGAGAGTTGCCTACCGGGCGAAAGTCGTTTCAAAACTTAAATGGATTATTTAAGCGAAATTTCTTGCAAATTTGGCACTGGCGAACCATATTTTATAGTTCTTCAATAGAAAAAGTAAATAAAATAAACACTTAACGACTACAAACTAAGAAAATGCGATAATACAGCCAAGGGCAGTACACAGGGAAGTAGTGGCAACAATGCTTTACTACACACGTGCGAGGTGTACTACAAAAATAAAAGAATGAAAAGGCGACCTCGCGTCTCTTCGGTGTTGCCATATTGTAAAGAATTTATCCTTTTTAAATAGTATCCGACTTATAATTTAGTAGTATAAGGACTATTTAATACATGTATGGAATATTAAAACCTACTTTATTAAAATGCAAATTAATATCTCAATATATCTGTATAATAAGAAAAAAAATATTGATAATATTAAAGACGTGACAACATAGGCTGGATGAGGAAGGCTCGGTCGGCGGTAAGAAGAAGAAGTAAACATGTGTACAAAAAAGATTGTTTGACCGCGTTTAGATCTAAATAGTGTACTCTATATTTTATTTTAAGTCTATGACCGAGACAAAACTATTTTTGAAATGAAACTTCTTTACACGCGCTGAGAGTAAAAATTCAAGGCCTTGACACACAAGCTAGCGAGATAAAAAGCGGTAAGGACCAAGAACGGTAAACTAATAGGATTGCTCATCCTCACAAGACGTACGTTCGCCTCTTCCCGCGCTTCAGCTGACAGTTGTGACGTCATTGTAGTCCTTGTCATGATAGTGTGTATTATTAGTTGCCTATGGTAAACTTATAAAAATAACGGCTGAGAAATTTTGAGTTAATTATTTTGTCTCTCACTTATTTATAGAGTGTATAAATACGTTCATTTTGTGTTGTGGATTGCGACAGAGTGCTTACTAAGTGCCTACGATATTGTTTATTATTTTAAAGCAAAATATGGAAGAACTCTAAAAAAAATGCCTGCAAACGGTGATGCTGGGAACTGCTGTTCTTAAAAATGCATTATCCGAGTATTTAAAACGATTTATACAGTTAATTTTCTATACTGCAATACATATAAGGTGTTAAATAAATAAACTAAATAATGAACGTTTTGCATCCGGTAACCAATAATGCACGTTTGTGTATTATTGGTTGCCGGATAAGGACTAATAACCATGACAAGGACTACAATGACGTCACAAAGCGAGGAGTTTTCGCATGCACCTGGCGGACATTGGCTGAATGAGCAGTCCTATTAGGTTAACTGTTCTTGGGATAAGGACGAATAACCATGACAAGGACTACAATGACGTCACAAAGCGAGGAGTTTTCGCATGCACAGGGTACCTATTCTTGAATTTCAGGGAGTAGAACTCCCGAGAGAAGTAGGCGTGGTAATCGTAAAACTGGTAGTTTCCGTATTTTTGAAAAATATTGTGGGAGGGAGTAAGAAATTAGGGAGATGGTAAGGAGTTAAAAGTTCTCTTACAATAAAGCGAGGGAGAGAGCAAACCTAACCCAACTTAACGTATTTATTTACGATGTTTTTTGTTTACTGGTCTGTTACATACTTAATATAATAATAATAGATAAAAATGTCTCTTTGAATGTGTGTAAAAAATGTTTTATGCAGTGTGGATAGTAAACATGTCATTTTTAAAATTAATAAAAATGCATTTGTTTGAGAACCCAAATTAAGGTCTAAAAAGAATAAATGCTTAATAAATTGTACATATATAAATTACGGTTATAGTGGAATATATGGCTTTAAATATGGATAAAAACATCAAAAAGTATATTTTTTGAACAATTTGAAATTTAGATAAAACATTAAAAGTCGTTTGTGTGTCCCCGCTGTATTAATTTCATTAATTTGAAAATACTGTCTCTGAATAAAGTTTCTGTATTCACTTTAGTACAAGACATGCAAAAAAAACCTTTTGTTGATCTTATGGGAGGTACAAAGACATAAGACACAAACAAATCAACCTACATTTGCCATCGTTCGAAATTTTACATTTTAAAGTAAATAAGACGCCATCTACACAAGCCTGAGCAAGTCAAAGCCGCTGACCATAGAATAAGTAAGCTGCTGAATCTCAAAATTTGCTGTAATTTAATTGGTCGTACAAACCGGCAACGCTGTTCCCCGATTTTACTTCCTCCCTTATACTCCTCGGTGCTTTCGGTATTTCAAGAATACGACATTTCGTTTTCAGGGAGGTCGAGTGAGGGAGCATTCCCCGGGAGCTCCCAGGGACCACTCCCTTCTCTCGCTTTCAAGAACTTTCTTCAACTTTTGGCTGAATGAGCAGTCCTATTAGGTTAACTGTCCTTGGGTAAGGACAACCTAGGGCATAGAAAAAATTGTCCGATTTAAATGAAATTTGGTACATCGATAGATTGGACCAAGTCCAACTTGACCGTGTACGACACGTGTTACTGTGACAGTTAGTTTTGACGTAAGAAATGTCAAAAGTTGATGCCTCTAACTAAACGAAATCATCAGGATTTTTCTTAATTACTGGTCGATTGGAACCAAACTAAGCACGTGGATAGAGGTACCCGAATGGAGTCCTCAGACGGACAGACAGGCGAAAGTATGAAGGAGTTTCACATCAAATATAAGCACATAGTGCACATACAATTTTTTTTATAGCTGTTTCACGTGGAGTCATTACTAGTGAATATAAGTATACAAACGTACTATACTAAGGGCTGGCAAAGCTTAGTCTTGGGTCGAGATTTCCATATGTAAGAAGAGTACAATGCGTTTTATAATGTACCGAACAAAGAGGGAACAGTAAACACGTTGCCAAACACATGAAATAAACCGAGAAACTGTGCACATATTGCTAAGAGACGTGGAAGGGGATAGATTTGTCGTAGTCGAGCGGCCGACCCAATCAGTACCTCTGTCAGTACATAAAGTTCTAGGGAAAGGTGTACATCATGCGTTCAGCTTCACGATTTAATTACGTCTCGTGATACTTAATTTGTTTATTTATTAACGAGTCGTTGTAATTTTCCCTATAGCTTGAATTTTTTTAAGTTCAAGCTAGAAATACTTGCATTTTTGGTAAAAATAAGTGGAATTGAGTTGGTGTTCGATAGTGGTCGCGCTATTAGAACTCTGAATTCAAAAATCGATATCTCGAAATCTATTAAAAATAATAGATTGTAGTTTTTTCAAGAACTTTGTTAATATTTCTGCTGTATTTTCTTTGTAGACAGTATGTAAAAATCTTCATCAATAAAAAAATTACACGATTGCTGAAAATTGCTATGCTCTAAAAGTAAATGGATGGATAGTTCACAATTTTTGAATGGAAAAAAAACAACCTTATCGAATTTTTCTTATGTAAACATATTGTAAAATATCCGATCTTGAAAATAAAAAAAAGTTTCAATATCTAAAGTGGTTCTTGAGTTATGGCCTGTAATGTGTTAAAAAGTTCAGTTTTTAAATTATCGCGATTACTGACGTTTTCTCGTTATAAAAAAAATGATACCCTAACGATATCCTTATAATTCCATTTCAGATGCTCAGTCAAAAAAAAGTATTTTAAAAATAAGCGGTTTGCGATCGTGATTTTACTTTACTTGATAGGGAAAGGCGTATCAGCAACGCCGCAACAGCACACCGTCGTGCGTCACGTCGGTCGGTCGCATTTCTCTCACTCCGACTTAATTAGATCCCTATGCGATTTACTTCCACACATGTAAATGCCGACCCAAAAGTAACAGTTGCCAGCACGGTATACCTACATCAACAAAACTTACTTCAAAGTGTTGTATGTTTCTTCATATGACAGAGACGATGGCGAGACATTCGCTATCATAACGGTGTGACAGTTACCTCCCAAGCTGTCTTTAAGTAGTCTTGTCAATTTTGAATCTCTGTTAATAAAATCACATAAGTAAAAATAGTAAGCTATTATAGGTAAATATATGGGGTACTTGAAGCTTGATGTTACCTGTATGGTATGTGGTTCTTTCCGTTGATCAAACTATTTATACAGTTGCCGAGGGCTAAAAGTGAGCGGTTGATGTTAGCGCCCTCTTTAAATCTGGGTCCGACGTATCCAGTAGCGGAACCCCTTTCGCTGCCTGCCAAGTCTATCATGCTCAATTTAGCCGTCGAAACCTAAAATAAAATATACAGACCCAATTTTATACCATCCGGATCCGGTAAATTAAGATTAATTTTTAAGTTTAAGTAAACAATACACAATATCGCTATTAAAAAATAGGGGTTGATGGTAGAAGGATGAAAATTTAGAGTTGTGTATTTTTTAATGCCACATCAAAAAAAAAATGTTAAAAACAAAAAATAAAAAAAGACCTAGTGAATATATATATAAAATTTCATCAAAATCGGTTAAGCCGTTTCGGAGGAGTATAGTAACAAAAAATTAAAAAAAAAACTATTAAAAAATAGGGGTTGATGGTAAAAGGGTTAGGTTAGGTTGTGACAAAATTTAAGGTTGTGTGTATTTTTTTAATGCCAAATCATAAAAAAATAAAAAAAATTGTCCAAAAAATAAAAAAATGGGGTAGGCCACTGTTATCACTTAGGGGTATTAAAAATAGATAACAACCTATTCTCAGACCTACTGAATATACATATAAAATTTCATTAAAATCGGTTAAGCCGTTTCGGAGGAGTAGGGTAACAAAACATTTTTAAAAAACTATTGAAAAATAGGGGTTGATGGTAAAAGGGTGAAAATTTAGGGTTGTATGTATTTTTAATGCCATTTCATCAAAATCGGTTAAGCCGTTTCGGAGGAGTATAGTAACAAAAAATTTTAAAAAAACTATTAAAAAATAGGGGTTGATGGTAAAAGGGTTAGGTTAGGTTGTGACAAAATTTAGGGTTGTGTGTATTTTTTTAATGCCAAATCAAAAAAAATAAAAAATTTTGTCCAAAAAATAAAAAAATGGGGTGGGCCACTGTTATAACTTAGGGGTATTAAAAATAGATAACAACCTATTCTCAGACCTACTGAATATACATATAAAATTTGATTAAAATCGGTTAAGCCGTTTCGGAGGAGTAGGGTAACAAAACATTTAAAAAAAACCTATTGAAAAATAGGGGTTGATGGTAAAAGGGTGAAAATTTAGGGTTGTATGTATTTTTTAATGCCATTTCACCAAAATCGGTTAAGCCGTTTCGGAGGAGTACGATAACTAAAACATGAGAATTTTATATATTTGATAAACACAAATGCCAAAAAAATATACTAAAAAATAAAAAAACTGACCTCTCTGGTAGTTTTTGACGTCATATGAATATACACTTGAAACACGGCGTGCGACCTCGAACTTTCCGCGTTTGCGTCGGTCAGATGTTGCGTTCTTCTTTTGTTACCTTGCTCCAACAGTAAGAACAAGTCGTTAGGGTTGGCGATTTTGTGTACCTTCACTCCCGATATTATCACACCTATAAATAATATTGAATCACTCTGTATATTTTAATTTAAACTATGTCCATGAACAGGCAAGACTGACAGGTAAAAAGTTATTAAACTATACAAAGTACATATAATAAAGAAACGCAAATTTTCTATTAATTTTTATTTTATTAGCTTACCATATTTAGAGTCCTCCCTGAGATATAACGGTTGTCCACCAGGACACAGTAAATCCTTAACTACCTCATTGTAAATTTCTACGTAAGTTAACATCAATTCAAACTCCCTCTCCGAACTCAGCTCCTCTTTTCTACTAAATAAGTCTTTCATCGTCAGAAATGTGATGCCAGGGAATTCTTCTGTGCCTGTTCATTTTAAATAAGTCATAAAAATGAGAATGAGCATTCAAAACAAGCTTACCGATCATGGTATATGTCTTTCCAGCTCCTGTAGCCCCATAAGCAAATACCGAACAATTATATCCATTCATTAAAGTATCGACTAAAGATTTTGTACTGTATGTATAAACTTCTGAGTTTGTTGATGAATTTCCACAAACTCTGTCAAACATAAACTTCAATTCTTTGTTGCCTCTCTTCAGGAAATCTTTCTGTTTGACGCCGTGATAAAAAAACGGCTGTTCCTCTTCCTTTGGATCGAAGATAAGCAGTTGATCGCCTACTACTTTTACAACAGTCCTAAAAGTTGAATTCATTACAAACTATTTGAAAATGAATGCTGCATTCCTATTAACCGAGAATTCTGGTCGCGTTCTTTGGAATTAGGGGGCCGTACCCTTACAACCACTGTCATATTCGTGGCCCTTTGGATACAGGGCGCAGTACTGGCTATAGGCTGCGTTAAAACTTTTACAACTTTGGATATGGTGCCTGTATTTCTAGCGGAGAGTCTGCGACGTGGCGTCGCCAGCTTCTTATCGCACTTAACCATCTTTACCAATTTATTCATCAAGTTTTCAATAACACGCTTTCTAAACACAGTTTATAAGCATTTTTGAGTAAAACATTTGTAAATATTTCTAACAACTTTTGAAATTGTCAACTGTTGTTGTCAACCGTTAAAGAGAACGACCTTATAGTGCGTTCGGAAATAAAGCCACCAAATTAAGCTTTATATTTTGGTTTGTATTTAAGAATAAATAAATAAAATCCCAAAAATATGTACTATTAAACTTTGATTAATCACTTTACAGAATCCTTTTGTTTTTGGTTAGTATTTATGCAAGAAATAATAAAATTTAAAATACATTTTATATATTTTCGGAACGTAGTTATAATTCAAATTTAGGTATATCTAGTTGCCTAAATACACTTAACATATGATTAGGTTGTCAAAAGTGACATGTAGGTGAATAATCGACATTCCAAAAGAGGTTTTAGTCGTTCTGCAATGTTTTTCACTAAATAGCGCAGGTGATAGCAGCAGATTGCAGTTAACTTAAGTGAAAAATAATGTCTTCGAGAGTTCTACGTAAATTGCAAGGTGAAAAAGAGAAAGATCTGGTCGAAAATGAAAACACTTCCGATATAGATATCGACACTCCAGTTGGAGGTGCCCGAAGAAAACAACTTAATATAAACCGCTACGACTTGGTAAACACTTATTTTCTAACATTTATATAGTTGTTAATCTGTAATTTCTCATATAATACATATTTTTTATGGTGTCTCTGCAATGCAGTATAGTTCATGATTTTTTTCAGCTAAACCAACAATCCCATTCAGAAAGTGAAGTAAAGGAAGACGATAATGAAACTGAAGCAGCTAAATCTTGCGAGGGGGATAACGTTCACGAGTCTGTGAAAAAGAAACGCAGGAAAAGGAAGAAGAAATCGGGGAAACATTCTAGTACTCACCGAAGCAGTGAAGACAATGCCGATGTATGTAACCAATATGTTTCAATATAAAATAGTTAATTCAGTATATTTAGATTGATGAAGTGGAAAGGTCAGTGAGGGAAGTGAACAGGCTCCTTGGTGAGAATGTTTCACCTAAAGTTGCGACCCCAACAAATCAAAAAAGCCACGAAAGAAGCAGTTACAAGAAAACTATACTTTCGCTGCAACATAAACACTTGAATCCTAATAATGAGCTTAAGAGGATATTTGGTTCCAAGATTCTTCAAACCGAACAGTTTGTTATTAGTAAACTTCTACAGGGTGGCGTCTTTTATAAGAAGTGGAAGCTCCAAGGAGAACGACAGTTTGTATTGAAATGAAATTTTGGGAGTGTATGTAGCTTAATTGAAAGTATTTTATAAAAATATATGGAGCTATACAGGGTGTCCCCCAAAAAAATACACATCAAAGTTATCTTTTTTGTAATGGAATACTCCATATATTAATTTATTTTTGGATTCTAGGAAAAAAAATAAAGGTGAGTTTTATTAAGGAAGCATATGCCTAAACTGCAAGGATTTTGGCATATTTCACATTTTGTGAAAATGAACAGTAAACTTTAAATTTCAATAAGAGCTGCATATATTTTAATTTACCCTGTATAACTGGTAATGTCTACTGACTAAACAATACAAATAAAAATATCCAGGAAATACTTTGTCTGAGGGACAGGTAACCTTAATAGTATTTTGAAGAAACATGAATTTCCCATTGAATGTCGCAATAATATACCGGGTGTTCCGTTTAAAATAAAAGAGTAACTTAAAAGTGATCAATGTTCAATATTAATTTAGTCTCATCCTGTATAACTTTTCGAAGATTTAATTTGATTTAAAGTACAATGGTTATTTAAATTAAATATTAAGCTATACTGGGTAAATTTCAATTTAGGCAGCTTTTGTTAATATTTAAAATTTGTTCATTATTTTTAGAAAATGTTAAATAATATGTCAAAAACCTACACTACATTTCAGTCATATATTTCTCTAATAAAACTCACCTTTATTTTTTTCCTAGAATCACCACATACGACACGGAATATTGTAGCTAAACGATTAGATTTTTACAAATTGTAAGTTTTGGGTTAGGTTAGGTTAGAAGGACTACACAATTTTAAAAATAATTTTACAAGATACAGATATTGTCCCAAATAAGTAAAAAAATATTGTAGTTGTATTTTTTTAAATGGAACAACCTGTATATTATTCAATTTTTAGATTCTACGATTGAAATAAAGGTAAATTTGATTAAGGTTTATCACACTTAAACCTTACCGTTTTTGAAATATTTTCAATTTTGTGAAATTGCAGTAAAAAATTTAAGCCTTCATTTCTTCAAGGACATTAAAGTTTTTAATAGTAAATATTTACTGAAGATTATATTTATTAATCAGATATTGTGTTGCAATAATAAAAATTATACTACCGTATACAGAGTGTCCAAAAATTTATATTAAATAATGACTAGCTTTAAACGGCAATAACTTGTTTAATTTAAATAGAATACCCTGTATATTTTAAGAGAATCAGATGCACAATTTAATTGTCTATCAAATTGTATTATACCATTTTCTCCCTATCCCTTCAAGTTTTCGTAGGAAATGCATTTTTTATAATTTGGACCTCATTTATCACTATACCCATGGAATATTGACATTTTAGTTTAGCTAGAATACTCCGTGTCGTATGTGGTGAACAACTCTGTATAGAGTGTTCCATTACAAAAAACTTTGATGTGTAACTTTTTTTCGGGACACCCTGTAGAACTATCTATATTAATCCTATATTAATATATAAAATCCTTAAGTGACTGACTCACTGATTAATCACGATCCTGCTCAAACCACTCAACGTAAGAAGCTTATAGCCTAAGAGCTGACGACATATTTAGAGAACATATTTTAGGCAAGCTAGAATAACTTAAAATGTATAGTTTATTAACTGGTGAACCCAGAATCCTAAGTCTGGCTGGGGGGTTGGGGGTATTTCGCTACTGCGCAACCCTTAACATTTGCAAAAAAATAAATCCAAAAAACATTCTTTAGGCAACTTGAAATTTGTTTATTCTTAAATTTTAGCATCTATTTAACCTAGAAATAAGTGTGCCAGACTTTTTTTTCGGGTTTAAAGTGTAACCAGACCATTCCAAATATGTTTAATTATTATACCTAGAAAACATACTTTAGGCATTCTAAAATTTTTACAGCGTATTTATTAGATGATATTAAAAAATATGTGTTAATTGCCAGACGAATTCAATGGGATTTAATACTTGCCAGACGCGAATAAAGATTTTAAATGAGCGCGATAAGAAAGTCTTATGAGTATCTATAAGCGCGAGAAAGATAGTTTATTGAGACCCGGTCGGCAGCCGATGTCTTTAAATTTTATTATAACTTATCTATTTTTATTAGAATTATATATTTTTATAACAATTTTAATAAATACCAACATTTATTCACAACGTAAAATAAAACAACAAATTATTGAGTCTACCCCACGTCTACCCTACATCATAGTTTTACATTTTTTAAATAAAATTAGAACGACACTGATAAACTGGAATTTAAGTCGGCCATATTTGAGGCCCATCGCGGTGTACCTAAGATTTTTGATATGCTCCTTCCTTAGTCTTCTTATTCAAAGGAAAATACTAACTTACTTTCAAAAGGCTTACAAAAAATGATATTGACATAGGACTGGCCACAGATCTAATATCAGGAGTTCTTGTTAAAATAGAAAATCTTAGGGACAATTTTGAAAGTGTGTATGAGCTATCAATTTCAATTGCGAAATCTTGGAATATTGAACCTCAGTTAAAAAAGAAGAGTTCGTAGAGTCAAAGCATTTTTTGATGAAATAGCAGCTGATGAGCCCATTGAAAATCCTAAAAGTCGTTTAAATTGCACAATTTTTTATGCTTGTTTGGATATAATAATAACTCAGTTTAGAATCAGGTATGACGCATTTCAAAATATTTATTCAAAATTTAAAATTTTAAACTCACAAACATTGTTAAAATCCCAGGAATCTGATATCTTAGCTAATGCCAAAGTATTAGTAGACAAATATCCTAACGACCTAACACAAAATCTAGCATCGGAGCTAATTCAAGCAAAACATTTATTTTATGAAAAAATCAAAAATTTTCACAGTAGGTATCATATTTAAAAAAAACAAATACTGATTTGCAGTATACCTGAGATTTGCACTGTATTCCAGTTGTTTCTGGTTCTCCCTGTAACATTCGCTGAACCAGAAAGAACTTTTTCTAAGCTGAAAATAATAAAAAGTTTTGCGAGGTCTACTATGTCCTAAACTACTGTGTATCATTTGAGAATGATCGTGCAAAAGAGGTAGATTTGGACAGCCTCGTAAACAAGTTCCTTTTGTTAAGGTCGAGGAAAAAGGAATAGGGACTTTCTAATATACCATAGGGTACTTCATAAATATTTAAAATTTCTTGTTCCCTTTTTTTGTGTTTTAGTTATTAGCAAAGTTAATAGTAGTTAAATGTTGAGTTGTTTTTTTTTAACAAAACTTTGATTAATTAGAAGCATAAATGTTTGTTTTCTAGTTTAAGTATTTTAAGAGTACTATAATAATAAATAAATAAATTTTGAAACAATTATTTATCAAAATATAAAAAAATATCACATTGTGGCTAAAAAATATGTTTCAAGCAGATATCACAATAATGATGTATTTGAACGAATTTTTGAGTATACTTAGAGGGGCCCCCTAACAAAGTTTGCGGGGTTGCCACGCTACTGTAAAGATGCTCACGAAATTTCATTTCAATACAAACTGTCGTTCTCCTTGCAGCCTCCGTGTCGTATGAGAGACACCACTCTGTATAAATGTTGTATTTATATAACTTATTTTAGTAAGCGTAAGAGTAGAGGTGGATCGAGGGGTCACTTGAAAGCCACGTGGATGGTTACGTATAAAGAAAACTGGCCTCAAGTAGGTAGATCGGGTTTATCCATGTCTCTTAAGGAAAATAAGGATGGACTACAGTACTTCAGCTACGAGCACAGTCTGAGCTATAGGCAGGTGGAAAATAAGTTTTTGCAAGTAGGTTTCAATATTTCAGTTTACCTTTGGTGCAGCGGCGTGCGGTGACAATTATAGGCGGGGAAGCGAATCGGTAAAAAACCCTATTTCGAGACATTACTTTTACATTTTCTTAAAAAACTTACCTTTGAAAATTCCGAGGCCAATTCCATGGTTCGAATAAAATTCTATCGAAAAAAAAAACACAAAGTTAAATTAAACAAACAAAAACACAAAGTTGTATATATAATATAACCACTCATATTTGTCGTAAAACCCAACATGGAAATGTCTAGTGAATTTTTTTACCGACTTCTCCACTCTGGTCTCTAAATTGATAGGAACCGTTGGCCTACCAGACTTAATAATGTCACTTTTTTCTTGGAAGTTCCACTAGAGAATCCCTTTTTTAATAACACACATACAACACAAACACAGTCTAAATTATTGTCCATGCTAGCAGAAGCAGAAGATTGTCCTTCTTGACCCCCCATTACAAACGAAACAGTAAACACTAAGTTAAATCCGAAAAAAATACAATAATACCTATAAAATCGCAAGCGAACCCGTTCCGATAAATTAAAAGCCGCGGAAGGCGGCCGAAAGATCGCTGACGTGGCTAGCAACTGTGCGCGATTTTCTGCGTTCGAGGTCAATAACACCTACATGAAGGAGGCATAGGCGACCGGCGGCGATTTCCAGGCCCGCATCTATGCAGTAAAAGGCTAATTAAATTTACTACGTTTATGTAAGATTTCAAATAAATAATTTTAACAAATCAAATTAATCTTTTGGTATAAAATAACAGTGTTGTTAACGTTTAACTATTTTTTATCTTTAAAAAGTTTAGGGAAGCGGTGCTTCCCCCGCTTCCATAGACCGCACGCCGCTGCTTTGGTGTATAAAGATAATAGGAACAGAGGTTGGGGTGGGTCAAAAAAATCGATTATTTTTTTTCACGTCATACTCTGAAAAAAAAAGGTTGGTAACATAGACTTAAAATAAAATATAGACTCAGTGGCGTCGCCAGATATTTTTTTCAGGGTGGGCCAGTACTGGGACCAGGGTTTATTCGGGTGGGCCAGATAATTTACCATATCATAGTTGTTGATTATATTTACTGGACATTGCGCGGGTGGGCCACTAGTGGGTCCAAGCTAATCCAGGGTGGGCCACGGCCCGCCCGGCCCCCCTCTGGCGACGCCACTGTATAGACTACACTATTTACATCTCAACGCGGTCAAACAATCTTTTTGTACACATGTTTACTTCTGGGTACAGTCGACCGAGCCTTCCTCATCCAGCCTATGTTGTCACGTCTTTAATATTATCAATATTTTTTTTCTTGTTATACACATATATTGAGATATTAATATTACATTTTAATAAAGTAGGTTTTAATATTCCATAGATGTATTAAATAGTCCTTATTCTACTAAATTATAAGTCGGATACTGTTTAAAAAGGATAAGTTCTTTACAATATGGCAACACCGATTAGAGGCGAGGTAGCCTATTCATTCATTTATTACCTTGTAGTACGCGTCGCACGTGTGCGGTAAAGCTTTGTTGCCGCTATGTCCCCGGCTGTATTAACGCATTTTCTTAGCTTGTAGTCCTTAAGTGTATTTTATTGACTTTTTCTGTTCAAGAACTATAAAATATGGTTCGCCAGTGCCAAGTTTGCAAGAAATTTGACTTAAATAATCCATTTAAGTCTTGAAACCACTTTCGTTTCAACTTTTTCTCTTGCATTACATTATTTACTTACTTACATTGTAACAAAATCATAATTATAACCCTGTTAATAATTAATAATGTTTTTATTAAAAATATATTCCGGTGTATTCTAAAATTATCTTCAGAATCTAAAATAACATACGAGAATTTTAAAATGAGATTACATTATGAAACAATATTTTTTAATATACCGGGTCGTCCAAACCAAACCAAACATTAAGTTTTAATCAAGGAGCCTTGGAAAAATAGTTTTGATCGTCTAATGGGTTTCGTGTCTTGTCTAGGCCTGTTAAAAGATATACAAATCGTATTTTTAATCATACATATGTCAATTTTTTCAAATGGAACAAGGGTGACTTATTAGAATAAAGAATTTTTTTTTATTCTTTATTCAGTGAGAGAATATAGGTATGGCAATGGTTCAGATTTGTTTAATATAGCCCCTAGACGAGCACTAGCTGGGACGAATTTATTTTTAGGTTAAATTTATAATGCTACTAAATAATTCGAATTATTAATTCGATTGTGAAATATGAATTATTACTAATTATTCGATCGTGAAAATAATTCGATTATTCCCATCACTACTACTATGGATGCGTCATGAACATCTTCCATATCAGTGAAACGCACCAAGAAACGCACAACCTTAGGGGACATAATAAAAAATTGGATAAAGAACGCTGTAAGTGAAAAAAAAACAGTCGATTTTTTGACCCACCCTAATAGTGGTCCAGTTCTCTGTTCCTTATTGCTCTAGTCCCAAAAATTAATTTTTACGCTTGATTAGTTTTGACTCGCTTAGTGCGGTTTACTTATTACTCTTTGATTCTAGGCAGTGGAAAGTCTGAATCCTGATAATATCGTTGCTATTATTAATGATCACCCTTACCACGTGAATGCGTTGATACAACTCTCTGATTTGTGTAAGTTAAGTGAAGATTTGGCTATGGCTGCGGAGTTAATCGAGAGGGCCCTGTATTGTCTCGAGTGTGCTTTTCATCCGTTGTTCAATGCGGCCCAAGGAAATTGCAGGTTGGATTACAGGAGGCAGGAAAACAGGTAAAATATTTTTTTTTGTTTGCTCACTTATTTTTAGGGTTCCGTAACTCAAAAGGAAAAAACGGAACCCTTATATAAGATCACTTTGTTGTCCGTAGTGATGTGTAGGTACTAGGCATTTTTGATTGATAATAAATATATGTTAGGTACATTAGATAATTACAAATAAACTCTTACCAAAATAAGAAAAAACAAAGAAGAAATATAACCGAAAAAAAAAGGAAATTTGTAAAGCTACTGTCAAAGGATTAAAAATATAATCCCAATTTGAGTGAGGAATAAAGCAAAACTGATTTTATTTGAATTATAATAATAATAATAATGCCTTTATTTCCAAAAAAAAAATGAAAAAAAATAACTCAATTTTAAAGAAAAAAAAGATGATTATCTGACATGAACATTTTACTTCTTTTTCGCCAATAAGGAATATACGTAGATAAAAGCATACACGTAGATAAAGAAATTCAGCATATGGCGCGGCGTAGGTATCTCGAATAATTCAAATTATGTTACTTTTTATTGTTTAAGCTAAACTATTTCTAAAGTAAACAGATTTTAAGAAAAACGATAGAAATATATAATTATCTTACAAATGTATGTATTTTAATTTAAATTCTAAAGGTTATAACTGTATTAGAAGAATATAAACCTGAATATTATTCGCAAAAATATAAAACTTCCCAAGCAGCATTTGGACGTCGGGACAACTTTGTGTCACGCGACCAAACGTCGGGGCGCAACGTCGGCACAACCTCGTGCCAACCCTAGTCTGCACTAGTTTGGAGAATAATTTTTGGGTCGAAACGACGTTGAATACCGACGTTAACTAGAAGCCTAATTTAGTACAAACTGCAACGTTGTTTAAAATCCTAATTCACAGAAATACAAAACTAATATGGCGTCTAAGTCGCGTTTTATCCTAAATTGGGATAATTATAGTAAAAATATGATTTTTATGATTTAGTTAGAGAAATATGTCAGATGGCAGTGAAGGAAAATAAAACAAAAGTATTTAAGTGTGGAGGATGTTTGAAGATCATAATTATTGAAACACTTTAACCGACTCTGTAACTCGTTACCCAAGGCAAAAAGTTAAACGCAAACAACTTTATTGATAAATGTATTGTTTCTACTTTGAAAAATACTAATGGGTATAAAAATAAATAAAATGAGTATATCGAAAATAAGTTAACAATACATTTTTAGGGCAAGAACATGGGCAATTGCAGCTAATGGAGAAGACTTGATTGAAGATATAAATAAGGCCCACAAGTACAGGTTGTGTTCTGTTCACTTTGAATTTAAAATGTTTACCAATTCACTTTGTAACCGTATAAAATACAATGCGGTACCTACTTTGTTTCCTGCCATGAAAAAAATAGAAGTTTCTCAAAAAAATTGTGGATTTATTAATTTGTGAAATTTGAATATTAATAAAATTTGCTACGCCCCTTGATGGGCATAATTTGTACGTAGCCTCTTTATATTGTTCAATAAATATTTTATTGGTATTTTTTTAATTCTTGTTTGTAACTCCTGGCATGTTTTTGTTAGTTGCATGTTTTTTAATTTTAATTGTCTATTCTCTACAGTGAAATATTTAATTGATCTTTTCATTTTTAATTTTCGAGAAGTATGCGCGGTTAACGATTCATTTGTTTGGACAAAAGTATTGCAAATAAAATTCAGTTTCAGTCAATTACAGTATTTTTTTAATACGACCCTGTCGTATTTTCTGAGAAATTTTTTAATACGTTTTAATCCGGCCCTGACTAGGAAACGATAATGGCGCCGACAAGGTCAAATTTTATAGGAATTTTAAACAATGGAATCTGAGTAGAGTTGGCGTGCCGATTGTTTTATGTGCCGTGCTACAAGTGTAGGGAAACATCTGAAAACTACACATTTGTAATTAAATCACAAAAAATATCGTCTTTATTCGGAACTATGGAACTCTCGGTGGGCGAATACGACTCGCACTTTTTTTATAAGTATATTGCTCTTCTATTACACAAAATTAATTTTTCCAGAGCCTTATACGTAACGGTCTTCAAACACCTAATGTTCCTGGGAGGAAGAGCTTGTTCCAGGACGTCGCTAGAATTTTGTAAGCTATTGCTGTCGCTGGATCCGGACACAGATCCCGTCGCTATAAAGCTAGCTATAGACTTTTACGCTTTGCGGGCGAAAGAGTACCAGTGGCTGATCGATTTCATAACTGAATTGGATGCGACATATAACTTGATGCAACTCCCCAATTTTTCCTATAATGTTCCACTTGCCTATTTTAACATTGGGAACACGGAAAAAGCCGACAGTTTGATTCAAGTAAGTATATAATTCCTTCAAAAAATACTTCAGGGTATTTCGCCACTAGAATAAGTAGATATACGAGGCATGTTTTTTAAGTAAGTACCGTTTTGCGATTCCGCCGCCGCAGCGCTTCGGTCGGCGTTCCGCGCATGCGCGCTGGTTACCTGCATCTCTTGTCTATGCACAGACGCCAGTACAGTCTGATTTTTCATTGTATACGTTGTTTATTGAGTGTTTAAGATGCCTCCGACAATCGTGAGCCCCGCCGATTGTGAAGTACGGGCTGTCATACGATTTCTTAGTGCTAAAGGCGTAAAACCGATCGATATTCATCGTGAGATCTGTGAAGTTTACGGACAAACCATTATGAGTGATGGAATGGTAAGGAAAAGGGTGAGAGCATTTAAAGATGGCCGCACAAATGTGCATGATGAAGAACGGAGTGGGCGTCCTTCGGTCGTTAATGAAGATTCGGTGCAGAAAGTGGACAAAGAGGTGAAAGAAAACAGACGCTTTACAATTTCATCATTGTGCGACTACTTTCCTCAATGTTCTCGTAGTGTTTTGTATCGCATTGTGACCGAGAACTTGAATTACCGGAAATTGTGTTCACGTTGGGTTCCGAAAATGTTGATGGATTTGCACAAAACCCAACGTTTAGGCAGTGCATTGACTTTCCTTGAGCAGTACCACAATGAAGGTGAAGATTTTTTAGACAAAATTGTTACTGGTGACGAAACATGGGTGGCCTACGAAACACCAGAATCGAAACAACAGTCCATGGAATGGCGACATTCATCATCACCCAAAACAGTGAAGTTTAAGCAAACAATTTCTGCCCGGAGAATCATGTGCAGTTTTTTGGGACAGAAAAGGAGTATTGCTAGTGGAGTTTCTGCCTCGTAATGAGACAATCAAGGCAGCATCTTATTGTGAGACATTGAACAATCTGCGCCGTGCAATCCAAAACAAAAGACGTGGCAAGTTGAGTAAGGGTATTGTTTTGCTGCATGATAATGCCCGTCCACATGTGGCTAATCGGACCAAAGATCTCATCAAATCTTTTAAATGGGAAACTCTGATCATCCTCCATACAGCCTGATCTGCCGCCCAGTGACCACCATTTATTCCTGCACTTGAAGAAACACCTGGGCGGTCAGCGTCTTCAAGACGATAACGAAGTCAAAACAGTTGTGATACAGTGGTTAACCAGTCAGGCGGCAGAATTTTATGAGGAGGGTATTGAAAAACTGGTACCACGTTATGACAAGTGCCTCAATATTCACGGAAATTATGTAGAAAAGTAGATTAAGGTACAGGCTTTCATGTAAAAATAAAATTATTGCGATATCTTTGCACGTTTTTTTTAATTCCAAACCGGTACTTACTTAAAAAACATGCCTCGTAGATCATAACAAGTAAACTTTTAGTCACGTGATTAAGCTTGACCGGCACGGCGCACAGAGGGGATTTTTTCCAAATTCGTGGCCAAAATGATTTTTGTAGCATAAACTTACTATTTCTTTTCGAAACTAGTATTTACGTTAAAAGTGAGTCATATTTACTAAGAAAATATCTATTATACTTTGATGCTATACAGGGTGACGAAAAATTGCAAAGTTCGAAACAGAGGTAATATTAATTATTAGAAGAAAATATTCAGTAGTTTTCATCTTTAAACATGTATTTTTTGCAAATTGTTCTTATGTTTTTCATTTTCATTACATATAAATTTTAAGGGAGTGTACAACCCCTAAAATATGTTTTATTTTAAAAATTGGTTAATTTTGCAGAAAAACGGTTGAACACGTATTTTCTATCGCTTTTCACCAAAATCAATAGTTTTTTAAATAAAAAATATTTAAGGTTGTTGTTCATCCCTTAAAATTTGAGTTTTGAAAAATCCCTACTTATTGAACCTCTACACCTAACAATCTATACGTAAGCCAAAATTCAGCTTTTTACTCCCATTGGTTTCAGCTTGATGAAAAGGGGGTTGTATTCGCCCCCTATGGGACAATCGTTGTGGAAAAAAATATCTTCGTATGTCAAAAATAAAAATAAAAATACGTGTTCAAGCATTTTGTCGCGAAACCAGTGGTTTCTTAAATAAAAAACATTTCAATATTGAAAGGGTAGTTACAACCCCTTTAAATTCAAGTTTTATAAAATTCTTTCTTATTGCTCGCCTACTTTGTATAAGAAACCTTTGTGCAAAATTTCGAGTCTCTAGACCCAGAGGTTTAAGCTGTGCATTGATATGTGCCTATATCCGTCACTTACAGTCACTTTCACAGACATTTTTTTAAGTGTCCGTTAACTAAAGGACAATTAAATTTAAAGGTGCCATTTATTTGACGTGACGTACAGGTCATGAGTCAGTGTTAAAATGGCACTTAAAAGACCCTTAACCTAACGGTCTCTTAAAAAAAATGTTGATGCAAGTGGCTGTTAGTGAGACAGTCTATTCTATTATATAAGTAGATTTCACATTACGTTTAGAGCCAAAAATCTGTTATTTTGAACAGATTAGCAAAAACTAGCAGTCACTTTTAACACAGTTAATAAGATTAAGCATTGATAAATAAGACAGTGAAAAGCATTGAGCTTAATACGCATTAATAGGGTACCAAATGCTTAACCGAATGAACGCTTAATTTTTCTTTTTCATTTTGAACAATAGAAAACAAAACCAATAAAAGTTTATATATGCATTTTTAAAATACTACTAAGTAAAATATTATATTATTCTACATACATGAAGGTACACAATCCATGTTTCACTTTTCGCAAAAAATTATTGGAAACACAATAAAACCAAACGTTATTAGTAACGAAAATTTAAGTAATGACAGCCAGCATAACATTTTGTCTTGCCAAAGCTAACTTTGGATCAACGTAACTAGAGAATACGGTAAAAATTTATAATAATTTTTTTTTAGCTTAATAGATAGATATGTTGCCTATCGTTTCAAATATTAATGATGAGAATATTGCTCATTTCAGAATTTTAAATTTTGGCCACGAATTTGGAAAAAATCCCCTCTGTGCGGCGTTGCCGACTTTTGCATATTTTCTTTTAATCAAAATATTTTAGGAAACAAAAATGAATTAATTATAAATATACTAAGGGCTGGCAAAGGTCAGGATTTCCGCATGTAAGAATAGTACAATGCGTTTATAATGTACTGAACAAGGAGAGAACAGTAAAAACGTTGCCAAACGTATGAAACAAAGCGAGAAACTGTGCACATTGCTAAGAGACGTGGAAGGGGATATAGCAGATTCGTCGCGATCGCCCAGTCAACCCAATCAGTACCATATCAGTACTTCAAATTTTTACTTACGTACATCATGCGTTCAGCTTCACGATTTAATTACGTCTCGTGATGCTTTATTTGTTTATTTATTAACGAGTCGTTGTAATTTTCCCTATAGCTTGTAAATTATTAACGGCAAGTTAGAAACACTTGCACTTTTGGTAAAAATAAGTGGAATTGAGTTGGTGTTTGACAGTGGTCGCGCTATTGGAACTCGGAATTCAAAAATCGATATCTCGAAATCCATCAGGAACAATTGATTGTATTTTTTTTCAGTAACTTTCTTAATATTTCTGCTATATTTTCTTCGTAGACAGTATGTGAAAATCTTTATAAATAAAAAAGTTACATGATTGCTGAAAATTGCAATGCACTAAAAGTAAATGGATGTTTTTTTTCAATTTTAAATGAAAAAAAAAACAAACCTATCGAATTTTTCTTATTTAAACATCTTGTAAAAGATCCGAACAAAATAAAAAAAAATCAATATCAAAAGTGGCTCTTGAGTTATCGCGTGTTATGTGTTAAAAAATTGAGTTTTTAAATTATCGCGATTTCTGACGTTTTCTCGTTATAAAAAAATGGACACCCTAACGATATCTTTATGCTGGAAGTACACACTCGCCGAGGTAACCCGAGGCGCGACAAAAAAGGACGGTTCTAGCCAATACCAATGCCCATATCGGTAATTTTTTGTCGCGCCTCGGGTCGCCTCGGCTAATTTTATTTATCTAGTTATCTCTTGAAAAAGTCTTTTAAAAATAAGCGGTTTGCGATCGTGATTATACTTTACATGATAGGGAAAGGCGTACCGGCAACGCCGCAACAGCACACCGTCGCATTTCTCTCACTTCGACTTAATAAGATCCCTATGCGATTTACTTCTACACATGTAAATACCGACCCAAAAGTAAGAGTTGCCAGCACGGTATGTAATGTTTGTACAACTTTTAAGGGGGGTTTACACCAGTGGCGGCCCGTCAGGGTAGGCAAGGTAGGCGGCGCCTACCTTAAGATTTTGGCAGAATTTAAGCGATTTATTACATTACATTATTTACTATACTCTGTTTTTTTTCTGAGGTAAGATTTCGACAGACGATGACAGAAGAAAAGTAGATGACGTCCCATACCAATCTATTTATTTTACTAAAAAAAGTTTCTAATAATTTTTAAGTTATCTATGGATAGGTTTAAATATAAATCCGTCACGCGTCGTGTCTTGTTGTTTTTAACCAGTTTTATTGGTTTATTTAAAAAATGACAGATCGTATTTCAATTTTATTGGTTTGACGGAACGATGAACGACAAACGAACGCCGATGCGTATGAACTCGCGTTTAGATTTTTGTCATTTTTGACGCTTGTCAAAGTCTTGCCAAATTATAGGTTATAATTTTTTGTCAACTTTTGTTAAATACCCTGCGTTTTGGAAGATGATGCATTTTAATTCGTATTATTACGTGTGTTTTGTGTCTTTTGAAGTCAAGTGGAGGAAAAATCGAGTGAAAATTAACTGTAGACTCAGAGCACAGTTTATGGTTAATACTCGCTGCCCAGGCAGAAAGTCTTATACACCAATGAAGTTGCCATCGATAAAGTTTGTATACCATTTCGTCGTAGATAAGTGCATCTCGTATATGGTAGAAGGATCAAACTAAACACATACTAAAAACTGGAGTAGCTGTAAAATATCGACATCACACGATAGGTAAATAATGGATTTTAGTACTGCAGAAAAATAATGTCAAAAGGTACTGGTTTAAAAAAATGAAGATTAAAGTTAATTAATCAACCTTTAAGGTATAAAATTTGATAGGTGTTATTATTAATAAAATAGTTTGTTTTATTTACCTATGTTGTTTTATTTATTCCTGTGGAATATTACAAATTTGTATATGTACATAAGTTATATTGATAAATATAATCATAAATGCGGGTAGTTTCATAAAGCTTGAAAGTAAATAATAGTTCTTTTTTATATTTTTTTTTGGTATGTAGTGTCTTGTTCTTGTTTGTTTTGTATTAACACATACCGTTTTTATTAAATAAAATAACTCAATTACATTTTTTCAGTTTTATACAGTTTTTTTCACAATATTTTGAAGTAATCACTTGTCATCTTGTCAATCAAATTTTAAATATATCCTGCTATGCGTTCCAGTTGTACCAACTTATTTCTTTGTAAAATAAAATAAACTACTTTGAAATTAAAATGACAGACACATATATCACTGTCAAGGATCTTCTCGTTGGACAGACTATATTAATGTTGCCAATACATAAAAATACTGTTAATACACGAAAGTGTGTTTTAATAATCAATATTATTTTAATATTTGTGGTCTTGTATATTAACATATTCACTACCGCTGGCGTACGCTGACCGCTGACTGTGCCGCTGCGTAAATGAAAAAAAATAATAATTTTGACCGGTGGAGTGCTTTTGTTCGGCAATTTCTACATCGCCTACTATCAGAGTCGATGCAGGACGTACGGCAGTCTTCTGTCTCTGTCTAACTCATCGTGCGGTAGCGACGCAGCGTAAGTCGGAGTTGTATCACATTACGGCGGGGCTTAGGCGAAATATACGGTCGCCTTCGCATGAAGTCGTGGAGGTTCGGTAGGCTTAGATGTTAAGGGGATATTCCGGATATTTCATAAGGGGGTATATCACATTTCGTTAAGGGGATATTTCATATGATTCATTATACGTAGCATTTAAAACTTTTATATAAAAATTCAAAAAACGTTTAAAGCAAATTGGAAACATTTTTCGGGCTTGTTTGAAATTATTAAAAATGATATAACCGGTTGTATTTCAGAACACGCCACAGAAATAAAAGAATCCGAAATAAAAAAGCGCGTTATTTTATTCATTGCAAGAAGACGATACAACAGATATTACAGAAAAGTCTCTGTGTTATTTCAATTCGATATGTTAATAAAAGCGGCTAAGTCAAATATCTTTGCGAATTTTATTTTATGAAATATTAGATAACGTTGTTGTACATTCAGAAATAAGGTTTGCAGATAGGGACTCGTATGTCTCAATTATTTTTATTTATCTCTTGCGGATCCGAAATTTAAAGAATCCTATAAAAAATTTCCAACGCATTTAACATCTGATTTAACAAACTTGTTATATTGATACATTTCCAACTTCCAACGCATTTAATAGTGATTTAACAAACAAAAAATATTATTGAGCAACATAAATTAATGGATAAATTGCAGGTATTAATAATAGATATGCCAATTTAGAGCATAAAATAATTTAAGGAGAATAATCCTGGAAATATATTTCCAGAGGCTTTCAAATTGTTTGTTTTGTTTGTTACTACACCATTTACAAGTACTTGGGTTGAGAGACATTTTTCATGTTTGAAATGCATTAAAATTTATAGTAGAGATTCCATGAAAAATAAACGTTTACCGTCACTTGCCTTTCTTTCAATCAGCTCTTCAAAAATCTGATGATTTTACTGATATAATAATAAATAACTTTTCTTTATTAAGAGACCGACTCATCAATTTAATATATAAAAAATAATTATTCTTTCTCTCAATACTACCAATTTTTAAGTAGACTAAAATTTTGTCGCAACTAAAATTTTGTCGCCTACCCAGTCACAAGTGTCACGAGCCGCCACTGGTTTACACTTTCAGTAATCTGTGCAAACAGGTTTGGAAAGCCATTTTGTACAAAATTCGTGCAGATTTGTAAATTAACGTGTATTCGCTTACACTTACAGTCATATGAATAATTATGAAGAAAAACTATGACGGAAAGAAAAGAATTCGCCTAAATATTTTTTCCTGTTAAGAATGTGAGTGTGTGTTTTTTGATTTTTTTTATTATAGGAAGCACTGTTAATGTTCCCAAGCGTTCTAATGCCACTACTAGAACAGTGTTCAGTGCAGATAGACAGCAGGGTATCAAGTCATCCGTTTTTCGCAAAACTAAATGAAAAAGAGTAAACATTATCCAACTAGATTTTTTTAATGTTATTCTACGATAATCTTTATTTTTATAGTACGCCTTCATCATTGGGCCAATTGGTTCTGTTATATGTCAGTCGAAATTACCATTTGTGGAAAGATTCCGATTTGATGGCATGGTTAGAAAGAAACGTACATGAAGTGTTAAACAGGGTGGACAAAAATAGTGCTTTGGCAGAAGAATATAAAGAGAAGAGACTAAGGAGGTAAGTGTGGCTACAGGGTTACCAAATGAAAGTCTCTAGGTAATAGAGAGTACCAAATATTGTAATCGCAAAACATTTTCCGATACACGTCATCAATCATATCGACATTGACACTAAAGTCTATAAACCTGACTAAATAAAATTTTGGCAAAAAATGTTTAAATTTGTTGTATAATTCAAGATACCAAGCAGCTCTTCATTTTACTTTATAGAGCAAATGATTGTAACAGATATTTTATTTAGATTAAAGCTGCAAAAATTAGTTTAAACCGAATTTTATTATTTCTCTGTTGGTCACATTGCGCCGTGTTTATCAATGTTGTCCTTTCTTATTTGACAATTATCCTAATGTCAGTCATTATTTTGTATAATATCGTGTTGTTGTGGAATCTTTGTGAGCAGTTCTCGTTTTCTTGCCTATTTTCGTAGTTTTTTTTTAAATCGCACTTTTAAGCGCAAACAGTCCTTTTAAGAACTAAATTTTCGAGTTTTTGTATTGCATTTCTTGAAATTGTGTGTTGAAAATATGCCGAAGCATTTAAACAGTCGAAGCAAAGAGCTTGTAGCTTTCCTGATAAACAATTTAGACGATAACGCGATGATAAAGGTACTTTATTACCCTTGACTGCAGTCAGAGAAGTAAGTTTGATTGATAAGCACATTATACCATTTTCAAAGTTAGTTTTTATTAAATTCTGTGATTATTAGTTTGTGCATTAATAGCACCCTCTTACTTATTACACAGATTATACAGATTATAAACTTTGTTTCTTCTTTATTGTTATTCATGGTTCCAATTTTCGGAATCGGGCACTAGTTAGGTTACTAGTTTGCGCACGTAGCACGCCCACTTATGGCCTCTGAAATTGCGCACAGCGCCTGACCGGCACAGTTATTAGAGAGATATCGGAAAACCGAATAGCGTCATGCAGTATTTACGCGTACCTTATCATGGTTACGATATGCGCGTGTCAATAGAGACTTGTTAAGCTCCTTATTCGATCAGCTTTATACGTTATCCGTTATATAGAGCATGGGCATTGATACAAAAATTAGGGATTACTCTATTAGTGGATAGCGTTCGCCGCTATTTAGGTTCACATAAACGGTACGCTATTACGGGATACACTTTAGCATGGTTGTCAAATGTAATACTTATTTGGGTTAATCAAAGAAGAAAGAAAAAAGAAAACTGCTGCAAAAGGGTTACAAATAATACGTAAAATAGTTCCTAAAAATATATTTTTTGTAGTCTTCTTTTGTCCTTCAAAATATAACCAACATGTTTGAGCGACAAAAATTGGCAACTCCAAGATGTAGTGTCCAAGTTGATGGTTGACATTTGACGTCTTGACATTTGCAAAATTTGATTTGAAAAACAAAACTCAATTTCTGAGGTTATTTGGCAACGTTAACGTTTGACAGATGACGTGTTAAATAAACGGTTCAAAATCTAAAATGACAATACCTGGCCAACAAATTTTGTCGATTATTTTTCACAAACTGCGCACAATCAGTATAACGTTTAGCGTTTTACGTCATTTGCCAAATAGGCGACCTAAAAACTCTCTAATTTTTAACGCAACACCCGCTAATAACGTTACCGCCTGACGTAATATGCGGATCAATTACACCAAGCGCTATTTCTAAATAACGTTTAAAAATTGCTTAAATGGGCATGTGCGGGTATTTGACAACCGGGGCCGGCCGGCGAGATCTTTTGATTTATGTGTGAATTGTTTTGAATTATTACTTTAGTTTTATTAGGTAATTTGATATTTAAGTAGCTGGGATTAGTTTTAATTAAATAAATATGGCCCAAAATATAGATTCCACCTCTTCCAATATTAAAGAACCTATAAAGAGGCTTAGGTTTACAGCAGATGACGACTTAGCCCTTCTAAGAGAATTTGTTGCTTGTTGCCCTAAACCCACTGGCAGACGTTGAACAATAAAGCACCGGAAATAAGCACTTTAGTCCTTTAGTTTTAAAATACCTAGTAAACAAAACAATTTCAAAGTTTTAAATTCAAAGTTAGGTTAAGTTTAAATAGCGGACGCGACGCGAACAGAATTCTTTCCGATCCGATAACTATAAATGAAGAGAGTTAATACCACCTCACGTAAAGGAAATAACAGCTGGCCTTATTGACGTCCATGCACGCTATTCGGTTTAGCGATATCTCTCTATTACGCTGTTTATTGTTATTTTACACGAGTTTATTTTTGCGCACAGGAAAATTTATTCGTTTGCACATCGTCATAAAAAAACAATTTTCGAACCGCGAATTAGGGATAAGATTTTTATCTGTATACATACAGGGTCCGGCAATAGTGCGTCGGGCATCTGTAGCTCCTAGAATAAAAAAATTGAGAATTTTGTTTAAGTGCAAACCTAAAGTATGTACCAGGATGTATTTCAGGAAAATATTTTAACTTCTATAGGGTGGCTCAAAAAGGTGTGAGTGGACCTGGATGATTTTTTTTAAATGGAACACCCTGTATATTATTGCATTTTTGGCTTCCTTTCAGATCACTTTACATAATCCTAAGATATGAATAAATATATTTTGATAATTTCAGAGATATTAAAAAATAAATCAAAAATATATATTTTTCAGCCCTTCTTAAAAAAATTATTAAAAATACAAGAACAGTTCTGAAGTCAAAACTATATTAGGTATTTACTTTAGATGGTCTGTACTTACTTTGCAATAAATATGAAAATCGTAAGTTATACAGGATGTTCAAAACTCTACGCCAAACTTTCTAAAATATAAAATAATTTTTCATCGTTTTTTTAAATGGAACACCCTGTATATTATTTTTTCAGTAGACAGAGAATTAAAAAATGAACATTTTTTGTATTTAGAGTATTTTAAAATTTTTAACGGTTTCGCAGATATATGCGGTTTTATATTTCAGATGGCATTTTCCATAGTAAATTTTTATCAAAGCCACCCAATGATTTTTCTCGCGTATTTTACCATTGAAAGCGCCATATGATAAAATACTGCGTGTATCTGCGAAACCGTTAAAAATTTTGAAATACTCTGAATACAAAAATGTTCATTTTTTACTCTCCATCTAATAAAAAATAATATACAGGGTGTTCCATTTAAAAAACAAAGAAAAAATAATTTATATTTTAGAAAGTTTGGTGTAGAATATTGAACATCCTGTATGATTTACGATTAACATAATTATAGCAAAGTAAGAACAGACCATCTAAAAGTAAATACCTAATATAGTTTTGATTTCGGAACAGTTCTTTATTTTTAATATTTTTTTAAGAAGGGCTGAAAAATATATTTTTGATTTATTTTTAATATCTCTGAAACTATCGAAATATATTTATTCATATCTTAGGGTTATGTAAAGTGATCTAAAAGGAAGCCAAAAATGCAACAATATACAGGGTGTTCCATTTAAAAAAAATCATCCAGGTCCACTCACACTTTTTTGAGCCACCCTATAGAAGTTAAAATATTTTCCTGAAATACATCCTGGTACATACTTTAGGTTTGCACTTAAACAAAATTTTCAAGTTTTTTATTCTAGGAGCTATAGATGCCGGACGCACTATTGCCGGACCCTGTATAGTATACCTAATCTGATATTACTGCTATAATGCTAGTAAAGACATTTTTAAGCATTTCTAACATTTTTTTATTGTTAGATTTTCAGGACCAATGCCTTTAAGTATAGGCAGACACATCATTTTATCTGATGACGTCAAAGGATTGTCATTTTCGGTAAGTATTAATGAGTGTACAGGGTGGGTTAAATTCGACGCTTTTAAATGGAAACACCCTTTTCTATAGGAGATAGACAAAAACTAATATCGGTGTCTGGAGCTCAATGTTTGTCAAAAACATGATGGTGAAAACCGCATATCGATATTTGTTACCGTTTCGGAGTTACGGGGTGTTTTTCAAAAATATGCATTTTTAACAAATCGCTGTAACTTTTTTGCTATGGAAAATTTTGCATTTTTATGAAAACATTTCCAAAGCACCTTTTTACGTAGAATTTAATGGTTTAAGTATAATTTTTTTAAAATTAATAATTTAATAATTATCAACAGAAAATTTGATTTTTTATATGAGACACCCTGTATATCTTTAATTTATTGAAAAGAATTTAAAATTACCTTTCCAAAAATATAACTCACTTGATATTTTGCTCGATTCCTCTTCGAGATGTAGAGTATACAAAAATTCGCCCGCTTTAATTAAGTAGGCTTTGAATGGCACCGGCTGTAATGCAAAAAAATTATAGCTGTGAGCATCAGTTAAAAAGAAAATAATATTTGTGCTTTGAGAGATGCAGAATTTTATAACAATTTAAAATATATTTAACCAACATCAACACATTTAAACTATATCTGATAACAATAAAAATAAATAGCAAACCAAGACATGAGATTTTGCTGCAGGTGTTCGACCGTCTTCTGTTATGGACAGACAGGGCCGTTTCTAAACATTTCTCGCGGAATTCATTAACTCAGTGGGGGTGAGAGATACCCTCTCATAACTGCTAAGTATTTCTAATACTTGTCTAGATTATACGGAAGAATAAGGAACCTTTAAGGTTGTCGCCCACTAGACAGCGGCGCGACGCGGCGCGGCGCCATGTGGAAATTTCTTTTGTCTGCTTGCCATGTATTTAAATGGACCAACGCACATTAGAGCGCGCAGCGCAGAAGCGCGCCACGGAATTTCCGTCAAGAAGTCGGAAGACTTCTCTAGCAACTTTTTTCCGTCTCCCGCGTTTCGGCGCGTTGCAGTGTGCGTACTCACAAGGGAGATAATTTTGCATTCGAGTCTTTTCAGTTGGCTTTTTGACTAGGAACTAGTGATATGTATTAATGGCAGAATTGTATTTTTAAAGGTAAATTAGGCAAATCGATTTTCATAAAGGAATATGATATTTTTTTTAGTCTTCCCTCACTAGAGACAGATGGACGAAATGCTTTTCTATCAAAGATTTAATATAATTGAGGGGTGTAGAGGCAAAACTGGCAATCTCCACTTTTTAACAAAAGTGACAATCTCCAATTTTTAAATTCTAATTACCTAAATATATAAAAAAGATCAGGGTTTTTTTTGACCACATAACTAATATACACATCAGAATAAATAAGAATTATCAAAAATATTAGTAATTTGTCTCTTCTGAAAAAATATGATGAGTAGATATACCCGGTGTTTTTTCTTCTAAAACCCTCAATTGAGGAGTGCGTAAAATGTTTCGTTTATATTTTGTAATACTGAAAAAAATGATTTTGTCTTTTATTAAATCTGGAAAAAGATGTAAAATTCTCCAAACTTCTTTCTTTTTTGGTTAATCGTATGAGTCCAAACTTTTCCTCACCCCCTCTTCCTCTTCCTCTGTTAGAAGAGCACAAAAAATACGCTTTCGTCCGTACTTGAACTCATTGCTTTAAAAACTAAACTACAGTAAGTAAAAAACACTTCGACTATAACTAAATAGCGTTGCCGCGTTTCAAAAGCGCACTATAGTGGGCGCAGTCCCTTCGCAGCCGGAAAAAATTCTCGCGCCGCGCAGCGGTCTAGTGGGCGACAACCTTTATTCTTCCGCAAATATATCCATAGGATTAGATCCATGGGCACTCAGGTGGCCTCGACGGCCAACGGCTGGGATCTTGGTTAGCTATCCAATTATTCTGGAAATTGGCTGCAAAAATTTACTGATAACTTCAGCGTTCTGAGGCGGTGCCTCTTCTTTCTGGAAAAATATGTTTTCGAGTTCCATTAAGGGCATATCATCAATAAGGAGTCCAAAGCCTACTAGTTAAAAGTGGCGAACTTTTAAAAATTCTGTATTTCGAAGGGGAATATAACAAAATATCAAGTGTGCTATATTTTTTAAATTCTTTTCGGTTAATTAAAAATATAGAGGGTGTCCCAAATAAAAAATCAATTTTTCTGTTGATAACTCTTAAATTATTAATTTTAAAAAAAATATACTTATACCATTAAATTCTACGTAAAAAGGTGCTTTGGAAATGTTTTCATAGAAATGCAAAATTTTCCATAGCAAAAAAGTTACAGTGATTTATTAAAAATGCACATTTTTGAAAAACATCCCGTAACTCCGAAACAGTAACAGATATCGATATGCGGTTTTCATGATCATGTTTTTGATGAAAATTGAGCTCCAGACACCGATATTAGTTTTCGCCTATCTGCTATAGAAAAGGGTGTTTCCATTTAAAAGCGTCGAATTTGACCCACGCTGTACAGGGTAGCTCTAAAAATGCCTGGCCGATATAAAATAAGCCTTTTCTTAACTGTTCCACCCTATTTAACCTCGTGACCTCGTTAGTAATGGGATTTCTTGTTCCTTATCAAAGATATCGTTTGCAGGATTCGTCGGGGCCAATAATGACCTTCGATCCCCTCCCTCCCAAGGACTCTATCAATCTGTATTCGAGACCAAAGCGACCTACGGTTGTAAACAATGTCTCGAACCCGTTGGCTATGTTTTTGGGATCTCTGATGCCCGATTTCAATCCTAATCAGTTACCAGGAAATGTCGAAGGGTGAGTGTAGTCTGTCCAACGACAAAATTCTTGACAGTGATCTGTCATTTTAAATCAATTGTTCCAATTGATTTAAAATGACAGATAAATTGATCGTAATCGACGTAATTGATTATACGAAAACGGAAGGTGTTTCATAACTAAGATCCATACCAAAGTTGTATTTTTTCTTATAGAACATCCGGTATTTTATTTCAATTTTGGGTTCTTGGGCCCAAAAAAAGGCATTTATTGTAAGGGTTAAATATGTTTCAAATCTTTGGCTTTTGAGATATTTAAAGATATTTAAATATGCATGCTACAATACAATAGATTATTAACACCCTGTACATTACTTTTCAGAATTAATTTTTGTGCTGAGTTTAAAGGTAGAGAAATAAACTTTACTGAAAAATGTTATTGCTTCCTTAAATTTATACAGGGGTGTCAAAAATGTCTGATCTATTTTAAGGATTTATTTTATATAAAAACTTCGTTATTTCAAATGCAACACCCTGTATTTTTTTTAAATAAATCGAAGCAGATTCAAATGCTCTTTCAAAACATATTATGGTATCCTATACCTATCTAGCTCAGATTTTGAATAAAAAGCGATTTTTAAATAAAATGATAATCAACACAGACGACAGTTAATAACTATTTTCAAAATCGACATTAGTTATGGACATTATTATTTAGATTTATAACAGTTTACTTAAATTTACCCACAATAGTTTAATGTAAGTATTCATTATTTTATCAAGAAAGATAAAGCACTATCTGCTGCTTTATTTTGTGAGGAAAATTGCTTCTTGGCCTCAAGGGCTTATGCTCAAAGATATCCAAATAGGAATCTTCCAAATAAGCGTTCCTTTGAAAACCTACTTGTCCTATTTCACAGAGCTGGTAGTATGGTTTATAAAAAACCTATTAGACAAAAACCTGTCGTTAGAAGTGAAGAAAATGAATTTGCCGTAATTATTAGTAGTGGGAACTATCGAATGAATACTATCGAAACATTCGATAGTTGCAATTCATTCGAATAATTCGATAGCTAGTAAAAAACATTCGTTGAAAACTATTCGAATAAAAATTATCGAATAGATGCGTCATCTGCCTTGAAATATTGTATTCTAGTAATTCGGCAGCAAAAACCATTCATTTATAAAATTCATTCATTTATGAAATTCATTTATTCGTCAGGATCGATTATAATAAAATATTAACTGGATTTTAGTTGTCGCCCGGCGATGTAGGTTTCTTTCCGAGAAACCCGAGAGCGGTCGGTGGCAATGCTATGAAAGAAGCCGGCATCTTTGATTTTTTGCGGAGTCATATAAAGATAAGGACACATTATTTTTTTTATTGAGGTGCTAGTATTTACACAGAAAATACATTATGAAGGGCGCTGTTGCCATATATTGGTATTAGTTGATATTAGCAAAGAATATTATTGTTTGGCTTTAGTTAGTTAGGGATAGTATGTCCATATATTTTGCATTTTTTTTATTAATAATCTGGTGTTAGGTTAGGTTAGATAATAAAATATTTTGGATGTAGGAAAATTATTTTTAATGTTTTTAAACAAAGACTGGTTTAATAAAAATAATAATAACAGTAATAATTTGTTATACCTATTAACAACAAAATTTAAAATAATTTAATATAAACATTTTTTTACGTAGTAGCAATATATAAACAACAAATTAGATGTCAAAATTATTTATATTAGATCATATTTAAAAATAATATAGTCTTTAAATTTTTTGACATCGTTGGTTTATTAAATAATAATAATTACAGAGCTAATTTGTTATATTAACAACAAACTTTAAAATCATGAAATATAAACATTTATTAATTTTCTAAGCATGCAGTGTAATGGAAGGAAAATATAAATGAAAAATTAGAAATCAAAATTATTTATATTAGGTACTTTATATTATTATTTAAAAATAATATTTACTTTTACTGGCATTTACTTTAAAAAATAAATGAAATATTTCTTCGCAAAAAACTACATGTAAGAGAATTAGCATAAACAAAATACAAACATCGTTAACTTTTTTTTTAAATTGGCACGTGTAAAACTTCAAGTTCATCTCATCTCTCTTAAAAATTGCTACTTCTCAAAATTTCCCATTAAAAATAGACCATATATACCATATAAAATAAAATAATTGAAAGATCGGGCTACGGAAAATCACACAAATTTTCGGAAAAATTTTGACACCTGCACACGCACACAATCGTCAATTAAAAACTACTATTTTAGTATTTTAAATATTTTAATAAACGCAAAAATAGCACAGTATTTATAAGGTGAAGTTATAAAAATTTGGAAGAACTAATAATGCACTGACGCACACAAAAATCAAACGAATACTAAATTTCATTTTTCATTTATCAAAAGCATTCGATAGTCGTGGCTCAACGATAACCATTTAGTCGCACGGCGAGGTTGTCACATATGCTTTAGTATACAAATGAATGAATGATTTTATTCGAATAAAACCATTCGATAGTTGAAATCATTCATTCAGTAACCATTCGATAGTCTAATTCATTCGATAGTTCCCATCGCTAGTAATTATATATCTCTTTTATAGAAAATCCATGTACCTACAAGTCATCGTAAAATAAATCAAAGAACTACTTCTTCGTTTTTCTTAAAGAATAATAAATTCATATTTAATAAATATTATTTATTAAACTATTGTATGTAAAATAAAAGTAAACTGGTATAAATTTAAATATGTCTATAAACTAATTTCGACTTTGAAAATAGCTACTGTCACTAGAAATTTGCCATGACGACGCTATAGCCAGAGAAGAACAACCGTAGAGAAGCGACAAAACGAATCCCGCCTAAAAATTTGGAGTGGGAGGTAAAACGGCCAACTGTCATCTCAACGGATTTTCGGAACACGGGCAGCGTTGCCATTGTTAATGCTAAAGTCCTTAAATATAAAAATAAGGAATATCCCTAAAAGATAGTGTTGAACGCGGTAAATCGACAAATCGCGGAAACCCGTAAAATATTAAAAGATAGTTACTATTCAAAATTATTCCTAAATATTTTTAATATGCTTTTTACTAAACACATTTTTTATCAGTGTATATCTTTTTTCATTTCTTCATTGAATTTCTTTCAGTGTAATAAACCGACGATCTCTCACGTACCTCAATTTGAAGGTCACAAAACTTGGTCCCCCTCACTTCAATAGTGCCGACGGTTTTTGTCGCTTCTCTACGATTGTTCTTCTCTGCTATAGCCCTCCTCGTTGCCATTGAAAATTTGCTCTTTATTCTAAATCTGAGCTAGATAGGTATAGGAAACCTCAGTATAGTTTGAAATAGCATTTGAATCTGCTTTAATTTATTTTTAAAAATACAGGGTGTTGTATTTGAAATAACGAAATTTTTATGTAAAATAAATAGAGTAAACGCCACGAATGTTTGGGAGTGATTCATCACTCCCAATTGATGATAACTCCTTGATATGAAGTTAGAATCGACACGCGCGCTATCATTTTTACATTTAAAACGTAAATTTTTACCGCAGACGTAGGTTTTTAAAAGCCCGGTTTAATCATCTGCCTGCGGTCCTCCTACTTATTCTAAAATGTTACCGTGAATGACAAAGACGATACTATACTCTGTTTTTTTTCTTAGGTAAGATTTCGACAGACGATGACAGAAGAAAAGCAGATGACGTCCCATACCAATCTATTTATTTTACTAAAAAAAGTTTCTAATAATTTTTAAGTTATCTATGGATGGGTTTAAATATAAATCCGTCATGAGTCGTGTCTTGTTGTTTTTAACCAGTTTTATTGGTTTATTTAAAAAATGACAGATCGTATTTCATTTTTATTGGTTTGACGGAACGATGAACGACAAACGAACACCGATGCGTATGAACTCGCCTTTAGATTTTTGTCATTTTTGATGCTTGTCAAAGTCTTGCCAAATTATAGGTTATAATTTTCTGTCAACTTTTGTTAAATACCCTGCGTTTTGGAAGATTATGCATTTTGATTCGTATTATTACGTGTGTTTTGTGTCTTTTGAAGTCAAGTGGAGGAAAAATCGAGTGAAAATTAACTGTAGACCCAGAGCACAGTTTATGGTTAATACTCGCTGTCCAGGCAGAAAGTCTTATACACCAATGAAGTTGCCATCGATAAATTTTGTATACCATTTCGTCGTAGATAAGTGCATCTCGTATATGGTAGAAGGATCAAACTAAACATATACTAAAAACTGGAGTAGCTGTAAAATATCGACATCACACGAGAGGTAAATAATGGATTTTAGTAATGTAGAAAAATAATGTCAAAAGGTCCTGGTTTAAAAAAATTAAGATTAAAGTTAATTAATCAACCTTTAAGGTATAAAATTTGGTAGGTGTTATTATTATTAAAATAGTTTGTTTTATTTACCTATGTTGTTTTATTTATTCCTGTGGAATATTACAAATTTGTATTTGTACATAAGTTATATTGATAAATATAATCATAAAAACGGGTAGTTTCATAAAGCTTGAAAGTAAATAATAGTTTTTTTTTTATATTTTTTTGGTACGTAGTGTCTTGTTCTTGTTTGTTTTGTATTAACACATACCGTTTTTATTAAATAAAATAACTCGATTACATTTTTTCAGTTTTATACAGTTTTTTTCACAATATTTTGAAGTAATCACTTGTCATCTTGTCAATCAAATTTTAAATATATCCTGCTATGCGTTCCAGTTGTACCAACTTATTTCTTTGTAAAATAAAATAAACTACTTTGAAATTAAAATGACAGACACATCTATCACTGTCAAGGATCTTCTCGTTGGACAGACTATATATCGCGTTTCTTTGATTGATTTGTTTTTGTGCGTCAGTCGTCATTGGTGTGCTTGCAGTGCGACCAATGGGGCATTTCAGTTTATATTTATAACCAAATATATGTTTTAACAAGACTTTGACAGTTAAAACAACAAATTACAACAGATTATATATTGATTATTATATGACTTGAAACACCACGGCACTGGAATCGTTTTCTGTGACCTTGAAACAGTTTTATGTGACCTTGAACAGATTAGTTCACATGGTAGCGACCGATGAATCACTCCCAAACATTGTGGCGTTTACTATACTTAAAATAGACAGCAGTTTTTGATACCCCCGTATACATTAAACGAAGCAATCAAATTTTTCAGTTTGGCTTAAAAGTCAGCACAATAATTAATTCTGAAAAGCAATGTATATGGTGTCGACAATCTTTTTTGTTATAGCATGCATATTTAAATATCTTTAAATATCCGAAAAACCAAAACTTTTAAACATATTTAATCCTTATAATAAATGCCTTATTTTGTGTCCAAGGATCCAAATATGACATAAAATACCGGATGTTCCATAAGAAAAAAATATAACACTTTGGTGTGGATCTTAGTTCTGACATACCCTGTACATTTCAAAATAATTTTAAATTATGCACATTGCCTTCCCCCATATATCCATAAAATATTTTATTTCTACATCTTTCCGTTTTCGTATAATCAACCGAGGCGAATGAGGTGCGCCACCCCCTATATTCCCGAAGTTTCCCGAATACAATTCGGACCACCCTGTATATCCCTTCATTATTTTACAGAGGTCAGCAACAAGACGAGGCTCAGGCTCTTCCCCGAGACGATTACAGCAACGGCGAGTTCAGAAGAAGCGTGGCAACGTTGGTGGACGCCATGCGCGACCTCCTGAGCAACATCCACCCGGAACACCAGCGCCACAACGACGCCGACGACGACAACGGCGACTCCGCCGACGACGATCTCACCTAGGGGAATTCCGGAAGGCCTCGGCCAGTGGCGTGCCTATTCCCGACGTTTGACAGAGGGAGTGGGTCTCGGTCGGGGCCGCGCAGTATTCGGTACGTTTGAACTACTTCCAAAGGAAAACACTTTCTAATATAAATTATACAAATTAAGTCTGTTGTTTTTGGTCGGATTTGTGTTATTACCAAGCGCGAATTTCAGTTTTTACAAACTTTTATTAATATTTAAGATATTTTTCATCTACCGTATGATAAAAAATGGCGTCCAGTAGGCTTCCAAAAAACATGCACCATCTCTCGTGGGGAGATTCGTCACGTAAAAATAAGATTTATTTTTCATATCAACATAGGTTCGATTCTGCTTTCATATCAACATATGTTCGATTCTGCTTTGTTTCGTAGCTACAGGGTGTTAAAGTCTTAATAATCTTTCGATTTATTATAATTTTTGTGATTTGAATGAAATTTTGGCGGTAAAAATTACTATAAGTGCTACATATTTTAATGCTAAAAAGTGTCGATAAATTTATCAAGGATGTATGTGCATATGGGTTGTCACTCGAATATTTTTCAAAAAAAAAACATGTGTGCCACTTTTGTGTGGGCCGCTTAATGCCTATTAAAAGTTATCTCTTGATATTTTGTCGAATTCGGCCTCCTTGATGAGACAAACGCATTTTTATTAATCACAATAAATAAAGTTAATAAATTATATACACTTGCGTGCATAGAAATCGGCCCAAGGCAAAGTTTTAAAGTTAACTATATATTTTTTAGAATCTGTTTGTCAGATTAGGAAAAAATACATGCTGTTTGAAAGACAATTTCATATTCTTTGAAAAGAGTTTAGAGATATTAATTTGTATTTTGGTTTCTTTGAATTAAAATTATTAAATTAATGCATGAAACAAATTATCGCTTTTTATTACTAAGAGGTGTATGTTATTATTTATTTATTTATTTATGGACAATTAACTAAACTAAATTTTCAATAATGGGTATGACCCCCTCTTGCTCTAACAACATCTCTCATACGATTTGGCATAGATTCGATCAAATTTGATATTGTTTCTTGCGGGATGTTAAGCCACTCTTCCTCTACTGCAACAATGAGCTCTGGGATAGAAGTTGGGGCTCTTCGTCTAGTACGAATTCTTCGTTTTAGCTCATCCCATAAATGTTCTATCGGGTTTAAGTCTGGACTGCATGCTGGCCATTCCATAACCCGAAATCCGACTTCTGAAATGTAATCGTGTACGATTCTTGATGTGTGTGCATTCGCATTGTCATGCATAAAAGTGAATTCGTTTCCAATGTAGTCAACGTAAGGTACCACATGAACTGCTAAAATCTCCTCAATATACCTAGCACCAGTTAAACCTCCTCTCCCGTGCCGACGACGGTCGCCCCAACGGATGAAAACTGGGTCGGTTCGCGCAGTCATAGAAATTGCATCCCAGATCATGCAGGAACCACCTCCATAAGCAATCCGCTCCTCAATGCAGCATTCTGCGAATCGCTCACCTGGCCCCTCCGCACAATGGATCGAAGCATAGGAAAATAGGGACATTGACTTATTTCGAAATTAACACTTTTATTTTACTGTTTTTTATGTACGACTTCAATAAATACAACAAAAATCTAAATTAATATAGCATTTTGTACCATATAGTTTACAAAATATACAGGGTGTCTCAAAAAAGAACTAATATCTAAACAAAAATATTATAACAAAAAAGAAATTGCTTTCTCTGTTAAATCTAAATTAATATGGCCTTTTGTACCAGATATTTTAAAAAATATACAGGGTGTCTTACAAAAAGAGCTCATCTATAAACAAAAAAGAAAACAAAACATTATAACATATGAGAAATTACTTTCTCTGTTAAATCTAAATTAATATGGCCTTTTGTACCAAATAGTTAACAAAATATACAGGGTGACTCACAAAAGAACTAATCTCTAAATAAAAAAGAAAACAAAAATATTATAACAAAAGAGATATGCTTTCTCTGTTAAATCGCTATGAATTTTATCACAGCTACGCATATCAGTTATATATGGATCGGAAGACAACAAAAGATTATGTAAAGTGTCTTCATTTGCAAAAGTTCTGTTAGACCTTCTTGAACGGCATTCTCTATATTTCCGAAAGTATTTATTCCTAGACTCTGAGGCCTCTTCAGACAGATGCCCTATCGGAAACCAAAAATTGCTGATGAGTTTTGCTCCGTGTATCAAAATTTTGTGTAGAGAAGATGGCATGTAATACCATCTATAAAGGTTAACTCTTCTGCACAATACAAATATCTTTTTTGCAAATTTATTAAACTTTTCGGCATTTATTTTTTTTTCCTGAAACCAAAACTTGGAGTAATGTATATAGTCTTTTCAGCAATCAATTCATCGTTTCCTGTAATTTGTTATGACTTTTCGAAGTTTCGGAAAAATCTTCTCGCAGTGTTTCCATCGTTAGTTGTGCCCCATCCCTGTTTAACATCATCGACTATCAAACCCATTTCCTCCCTAAATCTAAAATAAAATTGCAAATATATTCTGCAAAGCAACGCGTGATGCGCGTCCACGGCAAACTCGACAAATTGCCGAATACCAATTCAATTGCCGAATACCGAATACCAAAACGAAAACATTTCTTTTCAACCTATATGCCTTATGTATTGTAGTGTAATTCAGTCCCACTCCAATGTTCTTCGACGAATATACTTACCTATATCGGCAAATTACAAATTGTTTGATGGTGCACTGTGCGTGCATTGCATAAATTCAAGGATTTTGACATTAAAAACATTATATTTTTTGCAGTGGCACTTTGGGGCAGCCAATGTGCTAGTAAAGGTGGCTCTTTACATTGCACGTAATATCTCCACTTACATCCGCTTACATTTTTTTGTAATTCAAGAAAACTTTATATTTTTAAGTCTTAATGACATAAATAAAAAACAAATGAGTTTTTCACTTCTGGTGTGACTTTTTTTAAATTTAACAATCCAATACTATAGCCCAAGAACGCTTCTAATAAGTCGTTATATATAACAAACGAATATCTTTTACATCCATTTTAAAATTACAATCAAATGTAAGACTCTTTATCTACCAATTTGAATGATTTTTCAATTTACTTCAAATGGTGCTCATATGCTCAATAAGTAAATAACAAACAGACATACTGTATATGTTTTACAAGACTAGAATATCTCTGTAACACAAATATGTAAAAAAATATTTAAATTTGGAACTCTTCAAAAACAGCCAATGTCCCTATCTTCCTATGCTTCGATCCATTGTGCTCCGGTACACTTTTCTTCTTTGGTCGCTACCATAGAGGCATATCCTGGTCTCATCTGAGAATAAAACAGATTCCCATTGTTCTAGTGTCCAATTCAGATGTTCCAGTGCAAAACGCAGGCGTGCTTGACGATGAGCTGGGGTAAGTTTTGGACCAATTGCGGGTGTTTTGGGGGTCATGTTACTTTCCTTCAATCTTCGTCTTACTGTCCACTGACTAATAGTCACTCCTCGTGTTTCACGGAGCTGCTGTTGCACCTGAATAGCATTAAGACGCCGATTTCTTAACATTGTTGACACAATAAAGCGGCCATCACGGTCCGTTGTATATCTCTTTCTACCAGTTCCAGGTCGACTACGAAAGGATCGAGTCTCTTCATATCGTTCACACACTTTTCGAACCGCTCCGCGTCTCATATGTAGTTGCCGAGCTACAGCTCTCTGTTTAAGTCCATTTTCGATTAAAGCGATTGCTTGGGCGGCTTTTTCCGGTGATGCATGCATTAAATTGAAACACTAATCAAACAATGAAACACAACTAATCAAAGAATAAAAGAACAATGTGAAAATTTCGATTACAAAGGTAGTAATTGCAATATTTGACAAGTTTGTTATTCTTATTGTCACCACAATACAAATATCTTTTATTTGTTTACCCGTTGCTTTGAATAAGAAGACTAAGGAAGGAGCATATCAAAAATCTTAGGTACACCGCGATGGGCCTCAAATATGGCCGACTTAAATTCCGGTTTATCAGTGTCGTTCTAATTTTATTTAAAAAATGTAAAACTATGATGTAGGGTAGACGTGGGGTAGACTCAATAATTTGTTGTTTTATTTTACGTTGTGAATAAATGTTGGTAGTTATTAAAATTGTTATAAAAATATATAATTCTAATAAAAATAGATAAGTTATAATAACTATTTATTAACACAAACATCCGATACGCTACTGAAGCAGGTAAGTCAAATTAACGTATCTAAATTCTTTGACATCTAATCTTTGACAAGTAATAAATAAAAGCTAAAATGCAAGAAAAATATATAATTTAGTTAATTTAAGTGAATTTCATAAATGATCGGTTTATGAAAGTTATCTACCGCACGCTACACAACCAACTATTTTAGAGTCTTTTTCGATAAATCGCGATAGTGTCACTGTTAATTTAAGTTCTGCCACAATTTCCATCTAGATTTACTACCTTTATACAACTATCAGTAGTAGAATAAATAATAAATAACATAAAATAAGCTCCGTAAAGACTGACAAATCCACAAAATTTCAAATCAAATTCAAATGTGTCAAATGAATCGTCAAACAGAACTGTCAAAGATCCCCACCCTAGAGAGCTTTTATGGTGGCTTTTCCGCCCACCATGCATGAATACATGGATAGCATTATGCTCCTTCCTTAGTCTTCTTATTCAAAGACCCGTTGGTACGCATATAAACGATAAGTACCCTGAATAAATTTATGCTCATATTAAAGCATGTTAAATAGTCTTTGAAACAGCTCATATTTTTTACTTACCATGATAAACAGATTCTAATAGACACAGTTAAAACCAAAAGTTCACAGTGGGCCGATTTCTATGCACGTTAGTTTATATTTTACCTAATTTATTATTAAATATTATTACTATTAGTTATTATTACAGTCCAACCTACAGAAATTTCAAATAAAAAAATAATGGTATTTAAAATAATTACAAAAAAAAACTAATTTTAAAAAGTTTTAACATCCTGTAACTCTAAAACTACGCATTTCCATACCCATGTTTATAGGAACTTTTTTTCATATTTTTTGACGAGGAATCAATGAGTACTTATTTAAAACTTTCGCAAGTTAATGATACTAAAATTTTTTAAATGTTGCTATTAGACTTGGATCAAGACAAGTTATTAAAATATCAAGAGACAACTTTTAATCAGCATTAAACTGCTTAACACTATTTCACTAACAAGAGAAAAAAGTCAGTGGCGTACATGCTTTTTTTAGAAAAATATTCCAGTGACAACCCATATGCACGTCCCTGGTGAATATGTCGACACTTTTTTAGCTTTAAAATATATCGCATTTGTAGTAACTTTTACCCGCTAAAAGTACATGGAAGAAAATAATATATAATATAATAAATCGAAAAAATATTAAGGATTTAACACTGTAACTACAAAACAAAGCAGAATCGGACCTATGAAAAATAAATCTTATTTTTACGTGAGGTATCTCCCCACGAGAGATGGCGCATGTTTTAGGAAACACCCTGTATAAAATGACAGTGATCTTTATTATACGCCGTTTTTTTCCCGTCATATTGTATTTTTACTAAACTGATTCTTATGGAACTGTAGAGACATATTAAGAACCCTTGGAAATATACAACTTTATACTCAGGGATAGGCGAAACAATCTGCGATTTTTTAGCAAATTTCAATCGACATTGATACTGTCACAATTCCATAAATAAAACTTGTAAAAAAATAGTTTTCTACGTGTAAAATATAGTTTTTACAGGTAAAAGAGTAGGGCTTTTTCAGTTTTAAACGATTATTTTTGATTTATATTTGTTTACACTTTTAGTTTATTCAAAATTTACATACGTTTTTCATACTCAGAATATCCACACAGAATTTTTGTCAAGTTTAGCTTGTCATGGTCAATATCAAGGATGAACGTGTAAAAATCCGAGATGTAAAAAACTAGTTTTTTACGTGTAAAAAACATTTTATGAAAAGCAAAAAAATATACTTTTTACAATTATTAAAATTCATTTAAAAAACTGTTTTCTCTTAATTTTTCTGTTGTTTTGTTTTTAAGATTTTAATTTATGTATTTCCTTTTATTTAATCTTTTTATTTTTTATTATTTTGCGTAGGAAGTGACGCTTAAAATTGAAATTTTCAATTGGTAATAATATGAACTTGACCGAAGTCTGTTATTAGTCGATAGGTTTATTTAATTCTGGTGTTGTATGAATATATGAATTGTGATTCAGACGTGTAATAAAAGAGCTTTATAACCAGATATACCTGTTTTTATTTGTTTAAAGATTATTAAATCTTTCTCTCTTAGTAAAGTAATAAAAAATATTTAGGTTATCGTCTCCTTTTTACAGCTAGGGCTAATCTGGACGAGGCTTACTTTTTACAGAGTCCACCTTCTTACAAACCTAGCGAACCATCATAGATACTTAAAAACTACTTCAAATAATTCTTTTTTTGCAAAAAACACTAATAAGCACAAAATTCACAACTACTGTACAGAACTCACAACACCGCTCTATCAAACACGAATGAAACTGTAAAATGTCAGCGTAATTTCTACAGATTCCTATAATTTGTAGTAAAAAATAAACCACAGCGTTGCCACAGCAATTTCCCTAATATATTTTAACGTAATTTAATTAGTAAACTAAAAATAATTTCAACGGTATAATCTACATATTTTAATTAAAATTATACAGGATGTCAAAAAATAGTGTATCTAACTTTGGTCGGTGATTCATACAGATAAAAATAAAACAAAAAGTTCCTATGAATATAATATGTTCATTATGACACCCTGTATACAGGGTGGTCCGAACTGTATTCCGGAAACTTTGGCAGCATATTCTGCAGATAAAAGAAGTAGAATTTTAGAATTTAGAATGAGTGGGAGGGGGGTTAATCACTTCGACCTTACAGATCCATTGTGTCCCCCTTTCTTGAATCATAACTCATCATACAGTCCCAGGGCTTTGACAAAAGCCAGTATCTGGGACGGTTTTATAGAGGGTAGTTCTCCATCTCCAATATCAGTCGTACCAAAATTCATGGCACGAATGGTTGTCGTCTCGGCGCACTCAGTGATGAGGTGTACTGGTGTTTCCCCATCTTCCCCACAGAATCTGCATTCGCCGTTTCTTCTTAGTTTCATCTACTGAGGTGTTCATTGATGAGACAGTGTCCTGTTAAAAACCCCGTGACAATCCGAAGATTGTTCTTACTCAGACCCAGGAAGATCTTGATTTTTCTTCATCATAAGCCCTCAGAAACTTCTTCGAGTGTCTTAGACCATTGGAAAATTTCCATTCCAGGTTGCGGATGGAATCTTCCAAGTTCTTGAGTTCCGCCTTGAGTTGGTTACCACTTGGAAAGCAGAACGGTTCTGGTTCAGTTAGTGGAGTGTTCGCTGCTTTCCTAGCTAGATTATTTGCTTTTTCATTGCCTTCTATCCCTTGGTGAGCAGGCACCCAGTGTAGGAGGACTTTGTTTTCTTTGCCTAATTTATTCAGCTTCTCTATGCATTCTTTGACCAATTTCGAATTGATTGATACGGAGTTGATCGCCTTTAACGCTGCTTGACTATCAGACAAGATGGCTATTTCTTGTTTCCGAGAGTTCCTATCTAAGATAAGTTGTACGCATCTCTCGATAGCGTAGATTTCTGCCTGTAGGATACTAGGGTAAGTGCCCATTGGTTCGGAGTAATTATAATAATAAAAGAAGTAAAAAAGTTCGTATAAATGTATGTTCTAAAATGCTTAGTTCCGGAGATACAGGGTGTAGAAGTCTCATTTTTATTTCGGTTTTTCCAAATAATTTCTGCAGTAAGTAGCAGTAGGTTAAATTAAACATGTTGACTAAATAGTGATTAGACTGAGATCATAAATTTGAAAATTTTTGTGTCAAAAATTATGATTTAAAAAAAAAATTCCCAAATTTATCTACTCAACGTGTTTATTTTTCGTCAATAATGACATGTATTGACTATTTCCATTCTAAATATCTTGAGAACGGTTACTCGTAGCGATTTTTACAAAGAGATATTTTTTACGTAAAAAGTCACAGAGATGTATATTTTTTCCCTCGGTAGTTTTATACAGGTACGGACAAAAAGTTATTAAGCTTCAAAACAGTTAAAACACATGTAGGTGGCGCCCTCTACTAATAGGAGTCATATTGACATCAAAATCAAATTTCTCATGTCAAAACACTCCTAGACACCAATTTTCATCCAAATATTGACGTTACTTCATAAATTATTTGGAAAAAATCGAAATAAAAATTAAACTTCTACACCCTGTATCTTCGAAGCTAAGCATTTTAGAACATATATTTATAAGAACTTTTTTACTTATTTTTATCTGCAGAATATGCTGCCGAAGTTTCCGGAACAGTACGGACCACCCTGTATACCTACACGCAAATATTTAACGTTAATAAGTAACGTCTGTGGAGACCTTTACTTTAACCAATGATAGTATAGGATCACCTTTAGGTACCTTTTTTTATAACATGTCACTGTCCATATGAATTTGAAGTAGACCGTACCTATTTTTAAGGTAAAAAAATATTACCTAATGTCAAAGGCGGCAAAAAATTGTTCAATTTTTTCTCTCGATTTCCTATAAAAATACGTAAAAATGAACGCCACAAACATGCTGTCGGCCAATAAGGTCAAGCTGCACGGAATGACCTCCAAGAAATGGACCACCAAGGACAAAATAACGCAATATAAGGGCCTTATTAAACTTTACAGTAAGTATTAATGCAGTATAATCACAGCCTATTCAGTACCAGCCGGCCAACTTATAGTGGAGGCACTACTTTGGGTGTGCCCAGAAAGACTCTGAGCTAGTAAATTGTCAATCTAAGGCTACAAAGTAAATGGATGTTATATAATTAAAATTTTTAATTTTTTTTGTTTTTATTTTTTTTTTAATCACCACGTTTAATCTAAAAATTTAAAAGTGATTTAGTAATCATGTGTATATATTGAACAGCTAGGGATAGGAAGATTATTGAAATGGACACTGGTGTAGCTGAGAAGAAGCAAATCAGAGAACTGAAGAAGTTACAGAAAGAGATAGAGCAAAATAAGCACGATTTGGACAGTGCCATTCGAGGAGATAAGCAAAAATTGAGGAACACATTGGCGGAACATCGGGAAATGCAACTGGCCTACCAATATTCCCAACCCGAGGTAAATACGAACACTTTTTGTTAAAACGTAAATTCTCAAGAAGAAAAAAGCGAGTACAACAAAGCAAACTCAGTATTACCACAGATTATACAGATTATAAACTTTGTTTTTTCTTTATTGTTTTTCGTGGTTCCAATTTTTGGAATCGGGCACTAGTTAGGTTAGTAGTTTGCGCACATAGCACGCCCACTTATGGCCTCCAAAATTGTGCACAGCGCCTGACCGGCACAGTTATTAGAGAGATATCGGAAAACCGAATAGCGTCATGCAGTATTTACGCGTACCTTATCATGGTTACGATATGCGCGAGTCAATTTTTAACGCAACACCCGCTAACAACGTTACCGCCTGACGTAATTTGCGGATCAATTGCGGTATTTGACAATCGGGGCCGGCCGGCGAGATCTTTTATTTTAGGTTATGTTTGAATTGTTTTGAATTATTACTTTAGTTTTATTAGGTAATTTGATATTTAAGTAACTGGGATTAGTTTTAATTAAATAAATATGGCTCAAAATATGGATTCCACCTCTTCCAATATTAAAGAACCTATAAAGAGGGTTAGGTTTACAGCAGATGACGACTTAGCCCTTCTAAGAGAATGTGTTGCTTGGCAGACGTTGAACAACAAAGCACTGGAAATAAGCACTTTAGCCCTTTAGTTTTAAAATACCTAGTAAACAAAACAATTTCAAAGTTAGGTTAAGTTTAAATAGCGGACGCGACGCGAACCGAATTCTTTCCGATCCGATAACTATAAATGAAGAGAGTTAATATAGTAAACGCCACGAATGTTTGGGAGTGATTCATCGGCCGCTACCATATGAACTAATCTGTTCAAGGTCACATAAAACTTAATTCCAGTGCCGTGGTGTTTCAAGTCATAGAATAATCAATATATAATCTGTTGTAATTTGTTCTTTTAACTGTCAAAGTCTTGTCAAAACATAAATTTGGTTATAAATATAAAATGGAATGCTCCATTGGTCGCACTGCAAGCATACCAATGGACTGACGCGCAAAAACGAATCAATCAAAGAAACGCGATATAGTATCGTCTTTGTCAATCACGCTAACATTTTAGAATAAGTAGGAGGAGCGCAGGCAGATGATTAGACTGGGCCTTTAAAAACCTACGTCTGCGGTAAAAAATTACGTTTTTATGTAAAAATGATAGCGCGCGTGTCGATTATAACTTCATCAAGCGATGAATCACTCCCAAACATTCGTGGCGTTTATTATATCACCTTACGTAAAGGAAATAACATCTGGCCTTATTAACGTCCATGCACGCTATTCGGTTTAGCGATATCTCTCTATTACGCTATTTATTGTTATTTTACGCGAGTTTATTTTTACGCACAGGAAATTTGACTCGTTTGCACATCGTCATAAAAAAACAATTTTCGTACCACGAATTAGGGACAAGATTTTTATCTGTATACTTATAGGATACCTAATCTGTGATATTACTAACTATTTCAATCATTATTGTTTCGTATTATTGATTCATTCTTTCAAGCATTTCTGTACGCACTATACCTTTATTTTTGTTTTCTTTAGAAAGTTATCGAAATGGTGGAACAAGTGAACTTTAACAAAAGAAAATCTAAGGATTTACTCCTCCATAAGAAACAACTAAAAACCAAGGAGCTGATTGACTTAAAGGTAAGAATATCTACTGCTGTCTAGTATATCCAACGACAGGATCCCTGAAAGTGACATTTGTCGTGTCTGTCATTTTAATTCACAGACAAATCGTATTTTCTGTCATTTTTTTGGATGTCGTGTGTCAAAATCTTCCCTAACTCGTTGGCTATACTTTAATTTATCAATAGCACTAGAGCTGGGATGTTTTTAACGTAGTTGCACTATGCTGAAGTGGAAGACATCTTAAAATTCGAAGGCTTGAGCTGGCAATGCATGTTTCCCAGTGAGAAGCAAGCGCAAATAATAACGGGCAAGGTGCAAGATGCCATTTTGAAGAAAGAGGCTGCTATAGTTATCAGGCATTCCTATAAGGAGATGATAGCCATAATGAAAAAGGTAATGCTTTTTTTCATAGAGTTTTAGTACTAAGGGCTGGCAAAAGTTAGTATTGGGTCGAGATTTCCGTATGTAAGAAGAGTACAACGCGTGTATAATGTACTGAACAAAGAGAGAACAGTAAAAACGTTGCCAAACGTATGAAATAAACCGAGAAACTGTGCACATTGCTAAGAGACGCGGACCACACATTTTTTATTGTTATATCTTTTAGGATGCCTTGTACTTCGATGCCATACTGGAAGCTATAAGGAACGATGGTATAAACCAGGGCAACTGCATGATCAACGCGACCAAGCTAGGCCAATTGGCCACGGAATACTTGGATGACAGACGACAGGAGTTCAAGGTTTTGGAAAAGATCGTTAAGAGAGACTTGGCATCAAGGCGGATAGATCTGGAGAACGTCAGTAAAAGGGTGCTGTCGTTCGGTTCCAATATCAAAAATCTGCTCAGAAGAGACGTAAGTCTTTTAGTATTATTAAATAATGGAAAATGGTAAATTATATAATGGAAAATAAATTTCTTGCAGTTTTTAGGTATATAATAAAATTATATAAGAGTTTCTTGCCTTGAACTGCTAATATAGAAATTAATTCCACGCTGTGTTCGACATAATGTGGATCAACCTGCTCTCACTACCGGTTTCGGGGCCCTACTCCATTACATTACTACCCCTACATTGCACGCAGGCCGCTATCTCGCGATGCGGGACTTAATATCTTACCGCTACTTTACGACAAATCGTGTTTATATACTCTGCGCTGTGCTCGACAGATTGTGGAAATACCCAAGCTCACCTGATGATGGGGTAGGGCCCCGAAACCGGTAGTGAGAGCAGGTTGATCCACATTATGTCGAACACAGCGTGGAATTAATTTCTATATTAGCAGTTCAAGGCAAGAAACTCTTATATAATTTTATTATATACCTAAAAACTGCAAGAAATTTATTATATATATATATATATATATATATATATATATATATATATATATATATATATATATATATATATATATATATATAAAAAATATTTCAATCATAATTGAAATATTTTTTTAATACTGTCGGCCATCCCTTGGCTTTAATGACTGCTTGACATCTTCTCCCCATCGAGTCTATTAGCTTTGCACAATAATCAATTGAAATTTTATGCCACTCTTCCTGCAAAACTACCCATAAATCTTCTCGGTTTGTGATTTGTCTTTTTCTGATTTGCTTTTCTAACTGCATCCAAAGATTCTCGATGGGATTTAAATCGGGCGATTGAGAAGGCTAATCCAAAACCCGAATTTTTTCCCTTGAAAGCCAATTCTTTACAAGTCGAGAGGTATGCTTAGGATCATTATCCTGTTGGAAAATCCATGACAAAGGCAGATCATCTTCGTATGGCAACAAGTTTTTCGCCAATATCTCAACATACTTTTGAGCATCCATACGCCCATCAATTCTGACTAACGGACCAGTACCAGATCGTCTGAAACATCCCCACACCAGTTGGAATTAAATACTTCGGGTAAAATGTTTGACCAGGAGGCCTTCTCACATATCCTGTAGAATCACTTCCAAATAAATTAAACTTACTTTCATCACTGAAAACTACTGAAGCCCACTGATCTTGTGTCCAGTCTTTGTGATCTCTAGCAAACTTTAATCTTGCCATTCTGTGGCGCTTCGTTAACAAGGGCTTTTTAACGGCGCGTCTACCATAAAGGTTCTCCTTTAGTAGGCGCCGTCTAACAGTCAGTCAGAAACGTTTACATCTGGGTATTCCTCCCTAAGTTCCTTGTTAATATCAACGGCACTTTTTTTTGGGTCGCTTCTGGCTTTTCTTAAAATTATGTGGTCCATTTTTAAGGAAGTTTTTCGCGGTCTTCCACTTTTAACTGCGGGATCTACAGTCCCTCTTTGTAAATAACACTTAATAATCTTACTTACTGTACCCCTTCTGGATGTCCAACCGCCTAGAAATATCAATTTGCTTCACACCCTTTTGATATAATGCAACTATCTTCTGTTTAAAGTCAGAGGCATAATACTTGCATTTCGGCATTGTATTTGAAAATAGTACTATTACACCAAGTCACTAAGGCAGACCACTAACTAAAGTAATTTTAAATAAAAATATTTAAAATGTTTCCATACTTTTGTAAACAACCAAATACCAAAACACCATTATAATCGACAAAACCTTGTCAAATGTTTTTTATATTTTATCAGTCAAATTCTTGAGGTTAATCAAGAATAGATAAAATACAGTGTTACCAGCAAGTGAGATATTCCTAAGAAATAGTATAAATTAAAATGTTTCCATACTTTTGTTCGCCACTGTATTTAAACCAAAAACACCTAATATAGTCTGTCCAACGAGAAGATCCTTGACAGTGATAGATGTGTCTGTCATTTTAATTTCAAAGTAGTTTATTTTATTTTACAAAGAAATAAGTTGGTACAACAGGAACGCATAGCAGGAAATATTTAAAATTTGATTGACAAGATGACAAGTGATTACTTCAAAATATTGTGAAAAAAACTGTATAAAACTGAAAAAAGGTAATCGAGTTATTTTATTTAATAAAAACGGTATGTGTTAATACAAAACAAACAAGAACAAGACACTACATACCAAAAAAATATAAAAAAGAACTATTATTTACTTTTAAGCTTTATGAAACTACCCGCATTTATGATTATATTTATCAATATAACTTTTGTACAAATACAAATTTGTAATATTCCACCGGAATAAATAAAACAACATAGGTAAATAAAACAAACTATTTTATTAATAATAACTCCTACCAAATTTTATACCTTAAAGGTTGGTTAATTAACTTTAATCTTAATTTTTTTAAACCAGTACCTTTTGACATTATTTTTCTGCAGTACTAAAATCCACTATTTGCCTATCGTGTGATGTCGATATTTTACAGCTACTCCAGTTTTTAGTATGTGTTTAGTTTGATCCTTCTACCTTATACGAGATGCACTTATCTACGACGAAATTGTATAGAAACTTTATCGATGGCAACTTCATTGGTGTATAAGACTTTCTGCCTGGGCAGCGATAAACTGTGCTCTGGGTCTACAGTTAATTTTCACTCGATTTTTTCCTCCACTTGACTTCAAAAGACACAAAACACACGTAATAATACGAATCAAAATGCATCATCTTCCAAAACGCAGGGTATTTAACAAAAGTTGACACAAAATTATAACCTATAATTTGGCAAGACTTTGATAAGCGTCAAAAATGACAAAAATCTAAAGGCGAGTTCATACGCATCGGCGTCCGTTTATCGTTCATCGTTCCGTCAAACCAATAAAATTGAAATACGGTCTGTCATTTTTTAAATAAACCAATAAAACTGGTTAAAAACAACAAGACACGACGCATGACGGATTTATATTTAAACCCATCCATAGATAACTTAAAAATAATTAGAAACTTTTTTTAGTAAAATAAATAGATTGGTATGGGACGTCATCTGCTTTTCTTCTGTCATCGTCTGTCGAAATCTTACCTGAGAAAAAAAACAGAGTATACAAAACTAAAGTGTCAAAACGAATGACAATGTCAGGAAATAAATAAATAAATGTGGCAACTTGGCATTTTTTTACAGCAGAGCTACCACCTGAATCCCCAGCGCGAAATTTAAATTCTAGTTAGTCAGCACTGCGCCGAATATGTTCATAGTTGGCAACAATGAATTTAAAAGTCGCGCCCTTGTTTACGTAACTAAAAGTTTGATTGATATCCACACAAATAAAAATAAACTTCTGGTTAATTTTACTCCTCTATAAATTCCATCTCCTGTATATATTTTTATATTATTTTTTAGAGTGATCTGAATTTGGGAAAGGTTCAACTGAAACCTTCGGAAAGTTTTACCGGTCTTCAGCTTGATCTAAAGGATGTTGAGATGACTTTAACCTACCTGAAAAATGCAATTTTTGTGCCAAGTTTGGAAGCTATATATCCATGGTAAATGGGATAACCCTGTACAGGGTGGTTCGAATTCGCTCATCATTGGGATTTCGGAAACCGTAAGAGATATAGGATCGGTTAAATAGAGGCAAAGTTGCGCAATTTGATGCTCAATAAAATGCCGTTTTGCGTTTTGAAAAATTCCGAATACTTCCGAATATATTCGAAAAAAATGGAATTTTCAATTTTGTTTTCTATTGTTTCCTGGCTTTATTTGTTAAGATAACTTAAAATGAAAAACACATTTTCATAGTCACTTTTTGTGCTCTATATCTGTGTGATTAAATATTGACTTTGACGTTTCGGCTTCTGGCGACCATCATCAACCTAATTTTTTTAGTGATGGGTTGTTATTTAACTATCTGTTATTTTATAACAATTATTTATAAATAACATAACGCAATCGTTACTACTTCTAAAAAATAACAGATATAAAATAACGACACGTAGAGATCGGCCGCTCGTGAAACGAAAAACGAAGTCAGCGCTCTGCACAGCCACGAAATTCTATGCTGCTCGAAGCAATTACAAAAAACAACTAGTATGGATGGAAAACATGTTATTTCGTCAACCATCGATACAGGCGGCGAGACAACGGACAACGGAGTGGGGAATGCGCTACGGCGAACGTAGCTGCTTCGGTCGATACCGTCGATGGTCGTATTGGGTTTGCAACAGCTTAAAAATAATAGGATATAAAAGAAGCAGGTTTTTTGAAACAGTTGCGGGCATAACGCCTGGCGGTCGAGATAACAGGAGTGGGAAAGGAACGCCGCTGCATCGGTCGATTGTCGATGGAGGCTCGCAACGGGTTGGAGAAGCAGTCATTTTAGATACGTTGTTTTTCAACCTGTTACGAGCATAACAGGGCGGTGGTCGAGATAATCGGAGTGGGAAAGGAACGCTGCTGCATCGGTCGATTGTCGATGGAGGGTCGAAACAGGTTGGAGAATAACGATTCAGTTGTTTTAGTTACATTGTTTTTCAACCTATTACGAGCATAACGGGCGGAGGTCGAGATATTATGGCGCTGTATGTTTCAGTACTTACTTATTAAGTTTCAATATTTAGGTATTTATTTATTCTGAAAAATTTTCAGACACACATATTTTATTTTAATATTTTTTACATATTTTAAGATTTTTTAAAAATATATACAGGGTGTTTCATAAAATATGACCATTGATTAATCACTATTCTGCTTAAACTGCTTGACGTTTAAAGCTGATTTTTGGCAAACGGATTGACTGTGGGGTTGAGGTTCGATAAGGAGGGGTTTTTCGAATCTCAAATTCCAACAGGGTGAAAACGCCCCTCAAATACTCGTATTACAATATTTGTTATTTAAAAAACGATTAGTCTTTCGGGAAAACGCCTGGACACGCATAATTTATTTTGTTTTTTTACATATTTTGAAATTTTTTAAAAAATCATACAGGGTGTTCCAAAAAGTTGAGTAATTGATTAACCACGATTCTGATTAAACTGCTCGACGTTTAAAGCTTATTTTTGGCAAATATGAGAAAATTTTATCCAGTTTGTATGTTAATGGAAATTCTTGTTTTGCTTTATCATCACCATTAGAAATTATTAATTCGACGTGAACGAAGTCGCTGGTACACGCTAGTTAAGTGTAAAATTAATTCGAACTCTAGTGTGTAGTTGGTTTACTTATGAAGAATATACTACACATTTTCTTATATTGCTATTTTTTGACCGCAAATGGTAAAATCATAACTAAGAGCTTCTCGCCCGTCGAGTGAGATGCACCCTGTACATGGCAGGGCGTAGGTAGATCGGAATGTATAGGTATAGACGAGTGGCGGAATTTTGGCTTTTTTTATATCGCAATTTGTAAACAGCGCTTATTTGTAAACAACCACCGTTTTTAGAGAGGTATTTTAGATAACAATCGATATTTAGAAATGTTTTGACACCCTGGAAATACTACCACCGCGCACGTCATTGTTGCAACTTGCAACTGCGTTAATACGCCTGGCGGTGACCGCCTCATACTCTTTCAGATATTTAGCAGTAAAATAAAGAAACCGGTTATTTTAAGCTGTTTTTTATAAATAACTATAACAGTTTCAACTGTTATCTAAAAATTACAGATTTGTCCATCACTAATTTTTTTAAATACGGACCTGATTTTTTTCAATTTAATTAAATCTTCATCACTCTTAAAACACTATATATAGTCTCTTTGATATTTGCCGACGTTTCGTACAGAAAATTCCATCACCAGAATATTTTATGCAAAAAAAAAAAATAAAATAAAAATGCAATACGGCATTTTATTGAGCATCAAATTACGCAACTTTGCCTCCATTTAACCGATCCTGTATCCTGTCGAATTCGGGCCACCCTGTACACAGGCTAATATTGCATTGAACCCTTGAACTCACATTTTTATACTAATAATATGGAGTTATGCAGATGTTGTGTAGTTTTTTTAATTTTCAAATATAATGCTAATAGAAAAAAACATTTTTCAGTCTTCAGGAGCAACTTCGCCAAAAGGAGCGTTTGACAGAAATGGTGGCAAAATGCGAAGCCAGCAACACTGAACTGATGACGAAATCAAATCATGCAGCATCAATAAAATCTGAGCTGGAAAATACCATGGTGGAAACAACTAACCAGTGAGAATCATTTAAAATTTTTATTATTTTTTATTTTGCTTCTAAACATACAGGGTGTGAATAATTCTATTATTACAATTGGGTGTTCCAATATTCCATGGACATACAGTATGTCCCCGGATTGGCCCCCATTAAATTTCGGTAATTATTGGGAAAACTGGAAATCGTCCGACTTTCACCAAAATTGGTATACACACTATTTTGAGGTCGTAGATTACGAATCTGAACTTTTTTCTTGGCGGTCTCTTTCGGTTTTTCAGAAAAACGGAAAATTATTTCAACATTGAATTTTTCTTTATTTCGGCCCTATAAAGTAATAATTTCACTATATTTTCATTATATTATTGTTTATCTAAAAGTTACACTTGATTGGGGATAGAAAAATATCCAAAATTTTACTGAAAAACACTTTTCTTAACAAAATAACAAAGAAAATTGAGACCAGATGGAAGTTTGACATTTCATATATACTTCTTTCTCTCTCCTATGTAATGAGAGAGACAAATATATTCTAGACCTAATCTAGAAATTTGAAAATTTACAACGTTGCCATATCTTCTATTTTTTTCGGGTGATAAGGGATGTTAAATAAATTACCTATTATGAGATCGACAATAAGTAAATATACCTACATATATCCACAAAGTTACGCGGAAGAGTTTTGATTGCACTGGTTTGGGAGGTTCTCAATTAAGCTGAAGAATAATATCCTTTCAAAAATAATGATAGAAAAAAAGTGTGTATCACACCCAGACAAATTAGGAACAAGTTAAACAAATCAATATTACTATATACGCTTTTTTTTCAGATATAAAGAAAGTAAAACGAACTTCTTAAAAGAAATTGGCGAACAGGAGGAGCAGATCGAAAGCATTACTAAGCTGACGGAGAACAGACACAGCGTCCTTGCTAAAATACGCGTGGCCCTGAAGCATCTGCAGTTGCTGGCCAATTTGCTCTCTGTCGAAGAGAGCAAAGACAGATCTCATAGGATGAGAAGGCAAATTGCGATTGCAGAACTCGTAGAGAAACCCGCCGAAGACGAAATAGATGGTAAATACAGATATATAGAGGTACATGTAGATTGTATGGAGAAAGGAAGTTAATCACCAAAAAATATGTGCCATCTGTCGCGTCGTGGGGCGATTCCTGACGTAAAAATAAGATTTATTTTTCATATCAATATAGATCCGATTCTGCTTTGTTTCGTAGCTACAGGGTTTTAAGTTGTTAAGTCTTAATACCCTTTCGATTTATTATAATTTCCTTCCGAGTGTTTTTAGTGATTCTAATGAAATTTTTAAGGTAAAAGTTACTATAAGTGCTACATATTTTAATGCTAAAAAATTGTCGATAAATTCATCAAATACATATGGGTTATCTCACTGGAATATTTTTCAAAAAAAGAACATGTGCGCCACTGACTTCTTTTCTTTTGATATCAATAGTGTGTAGGCCGTTTAATGCCAATTAAAAGTTATCTCTTGATATTTTGTCGAATTCGGCCTCCTTGATGAGATAATATATGCAATTTTATTAATCACAATTAACAAACTTAAAATAAAATTAATAAATTATATATTTTACCTAATTAATTATTAAATATTATTACTATTAGTCCCACCTACAGCAATTTCAAATAAAAAAATAGTGGTATTTAAGGTAATTACAAAAAACCTAAAATTAAAAAGGTTTTAACAAACTGTAACTCTACAACTATGCATTTCCATACCCATGTTTATAGGAACTTTTTTATATTTTTTGATGAGGAATCAATGAGTACTTATTTAAAGCGTTCGCAAGTTAATGATATTAAATATTTTTAAAGGTTGCTATTAAACTTGGATCGAGGCAAATTAATAAAATTGCTTTTATCTCATGAAGCAGGCTGAAATCGACAAAATACCGAAGAGACAACTTTTAATGGACATTAAACTGCTTACGCTATTTTGCTAAGAAGAGAAAAAAAAGTCAGTGGCGTACATGCATTTTTTAGGAAAATATTCCAGTGGTGATAACCCCATATGCTCGTCCATGGTAATATATCGACACTTTTTTAGCTTTAAACTATGTCGTAATTATAGGAACTTTTACCCTCAAAATTTAATTCGAAACGCTAAAAGTACTTGGAAGAAAATTATAATAAATCGAAAGATTATTAAGACGAAACAAAGCAGAATCGGACCTATGTTGATATGAAAAATACGACAGATGGCACATATTTTTTGAAACACCCTGTATAAGGTCGCAATGATTAACTTCCTTCCTCCATACAATCTACATCTACCTCTATATCTATTTCTATATTTGCCAAAGTTTATGGTACGAATGGCTGTCGTCTCGTTAAAATACTTTAGGTGTATCTCTAGTTTTTCTTTTATTTTTGATTTTGTTACGTTTCAGTCACTAAAATAATTCCCGACTTGGTGAAGAAATTTACGAAACTAGCCCAACAGGCCAAAGATTTCTTAGAGCACGCCGAAAGGGAAGAAGGCTACAAATCTTTCGAGCGCATGATGTACGAGTCTACCAAAACTATGTCTATGGATTACGTAATTAGCGAAGAATGTAAGTAAATTTAAATAAATAATAAACAGTCCCTACACTATCGCCAAAATGTTCTACGAAATATTTCTGGAAATATTAAAAATACAATTTAGTATTTTTTATTTATTTGGGACACTCTGTATCTTGTAAAAATATTTTTAAATTGTAGCTCTAATAGTCCTTCAACGAACCCAAAACTTACAAATTGCAAAAATCTAATCGTTTAGCTACCATACTCCGATAGGGCTTGTTTCTCTCTACAATTTCCTGTTTCACAATGTACCGTTTGTGTCCGGGAAGGGTTCACAGTTTCATAATTGTCGTTTTTCGAAAGAAATCAGTACATGTATATTATATCCTATATTTTTCATTTTATTGATTTTATGGAAAGCACTGTTCATTAAAATGTTGTATCCTATGTTATAGGGCGTGTTTCTCTCTACAGTTTCCTGTCTCACAATGTACCGTTTGAGTCGGGGAAGAGATCATAGTTTCATAGTTGTCGATTTTCGAAAGAAATCAGTACATGTATATTATTTCGTATATTTTTCATTTTATTGATTTTATGGAAAGCAGTGTTCATCAAAATGTTGTATCCTATGTTATAGAGCTTGTTTCTCTCTACAATTTCCTGTCTCACAATGTACGGTTTGTGTCCGGGAAGGGTTCATAGTTTCATAGTTGTCGATTTTCGAAAGAAATCAGTACATGTATATTATTTCGTATATTTTTCATTTTATTGATTTTATGGAAAGCACTGTTCATCAAAATGTTGTATCCTATGTTATAGGGATTGTTTCTCTCTACAATTTCCTGTTTCACAATGTACCGTTTGTGTCCGGGAAGGGTTCACAGTTTCATAATTGTCGTTTTTCGAAAGAAATCAGTACATGTATATTATATCCTATATTTTTCATTTTATTGATTTTATGGAAAGCACTGTTCATCAAAATGTTGTATCCTATGTTATAGGGCTTGTTTCTCTCTACAGTTTCCTGTCTCACAATGTACCGTTTGAGTCGGGGAAGAGATCATAGTTTCATAGTTGTCGATTTTCGAAAGAAATCAGTACATGTATATTATTTCGTATATTTTTCATTTTATTGATTTTATGGAAAGCACTGTTCATCAAAATGTTGTATCCTATGTTATAGGGCTTGTTTCTCTCTACAATTTCCTGTCTCACAATGTACCGTTTGTGTCCGGGAAGGGTTCATAGTTTCATAGTTGTCGATTTTCGAAAGAAATCATTACATGTATATTATTTCGTATATTTTTCATTTTATTGATTTTATGGAAAGCACTGTTCATCAAAATGTTGTATCCTATGTTATAGGGCTTGTTTCTCTACAATTTCCTGTCTCACAATGTACCGTTTGTGTCCGGGAAGGGTTCATAGTTTCATAGTTGTCGATTTTCGAAAGAAATCATTACATGTATATTATTTCGTATATTTTTCATTTTATTGATTTTATGGAAAGCACTGTTCATCAAAATGTTGTATCCTATGTTATAGGGCTTGTTTCTCTCTACAATTTCCTGTCTCACAATGTACCGTTTGTGTCCGGGAAGGGTTCATAATTTCAAAGTTGTCGATTTTCGAAAGAAATCAGTACATGTATATTATTTCGTATATTTTTCATTTTATTGATTTTATGGAAAGCACTGTTCATCAAAATGTTGTATCCTATGTTATAGGGCTTGTTTCTCTCTACAATTTCCTGTCTCACAATGTACCGTTTGTGTCCGGGAAGGGTTCATAGTTTCATAGTTGTCGATTTTCGAAAGAAATCATTACATGTATATTATTTCGTATATTTTTCATTTTATTGATTTTATGGAAAGCACTGTTCATCAAAATGTTGTATCCTATGTTATAGGGCTTGTTTCTCTCTACAATTTCCTGTCTCACAATGTACCGTTTGTGTCCGGGAAGGGTTCATAATTTCAAAGTTGTCGATTTTCGAAAGAAATCAGTACATGTATATTATTTCGTATATTTTTCATTTTATTGATTTTATGGAAAGCACTGTTCATCAAAATGTTGTATCCTATGTTATAGGGCTTGTTTCTCTCTACAATTTCCTGTCTCACAATGTACCGTTTGTGTCCGGGAAGGGTTCATAGTTTCAAAGTTGTCGATTTTCGAAAGAAATCAGTACATGTATATTATTTCGTATTTTTCATTTTACTGATTTTATGAAAAGCACTGTTCATTAAAATGTTGTATCCTATGTTATAGAGTTTGTTTCTCTCTACAATTTCCTGTCTCACAATGTCCCGTTTGTGTCCGGGAAGGGTTCATAGTTTCATAGTTGTCGATGTTCGAAAGAAATCAGTACATGTATATTATTTCGTATTTTTCATTTTATTGATTTTATGGAAAGCACTGTTCATTAAAATGTTGTATCCTATGTTATAGGGCTTGTTTCTCTCTACAGTTTCCTGTCTCACAATGTACCGTTTGAGTCGGGGAAGAGATCATAGTTTCATAGTTGTCGATTTTCGAAAGAAATCAGTACATGTATATTATTTCGTATATTTTTCATTTTATTGATTTTATGGAAAGCACTGTTCATCAAAATGTTGTATCCTATGTTATAGGGCTTGTTTCTCTCTACAATTTCCTGTCTCACAATGTACCGTTTGTGTCCGGGAAGGGTTCATAGTTTCATAGTTATCGATTTTCGAAAGAAATCAGTACATGTATATTATTTCGTATATTTTTCATTTTATTGATTTTATGGAAAGCACTGTTCATCAAAATGTTGTATCCTATGTTATAGAGCTTGTTTCTCTCTACAATTTCCTGTCTCACAATGTTCCGTTTGTGTCCGGGAAGGGTTCATAGTTTCATAGTTGTCGATGTTCGAAAGAAATCAGTACATGTATATTATTTCGTATTTTTCATTTTATTGATTTTATGGAAAGCACTGTTCATTAAAATGTTGTATCCTATGTTATAGGGCTTGTTTCTCTCTACAGTTTCCTGTCTCACAATGTACCGTTTGTGTCGGGGAAGGGATCATAGTTTCATAGTTGTCGATTTTCGATAGAAATCAGTACATGTATTGTGCATTATTTCGTATATTTTTCATTTTACTGATTTTATGGAAAGGACTGTTCATTAAAATGTTGTATATCCTATGTTATAGGGGTTACTCCGTGTCGTATGTGGTGAATAACCCTGTATACTAATTCATTATAATAAAATTAAATCATAAAAATATTGTAATTATATTCATGCAGTTTAAGTTCATGGAATTTCATGTTATGTTCTAGCTTTGATCGATTCCGTGTTTACGGATCACAACATCCTGACCAGAGCTGATATTAAGAAGCAAAGCGAAGAAATCGTACAGGCCAATCAAGTATCCGACGATTTCGTACCGGACAAAAAGAAGAAGAAGCGATTTTCTTGAAAAAAGTGCCAGAAAAAAATTATTAATAGTGTAAAAATGAAAAATAAAGACAAATTACAAATTTCTATAATATGTTTATTAGTTTTCTCTTCGACATATTCGACAAATCATATATAATTTTACACAGGGTAGTCCGAATTTTATTCCGGAAACTTCGGCAGCATATTCTGCAGTTAAAAATAAGTAAAAAAGTTCCTATAAATGTATGTCCTAAAATGCTTAGTTTCGAGGATACAGGGTGTAGAAGTTTTATTTTTATGTCGACTTTTTTCCAAATAATTTCTGATGTAACGTCAATATTTCGATAAAAATTGGTGTGTGGGAGTTTTTTGACATGAGAAATTTGGATTTTGATGTCAATATGTCTTCTATTTGTACGGGGCGCCACCTATATGTGGTTTAATTGTTTGAAGAGTAATAACTTTTCGTCCTTACCCGTATAAAACTACTGAGTAAAAAAATATACATTTTCGTGATTTTTTACGTAAAAATATCTCTTGGTAAAAATCGCTACGAGCAAGCGTTCTGAAGATATTTAGAATGGAAATAGTCAATACATGTCATTATTGACAAAAAATAAACACGTTGCGTTGAGTAGATAGTTATTTGACTGAAATAATAAATTCGGGAAATTTTTACTTTTATTTAAATTAATTATAAACTTTTCTTCGAGAAAATGACGATAAAACAGTTTCTGTTGAACTTTTGTCACAAAAACATTTCAAATTTATGATTTCAGTTTAATAACTATTTAGTCAACATGTTTAATTTATGTCAATGTCAGGTATTGATAATTTCGATTCCAAATATCTCGAGAACCATTACGAGTAACGATTTTTACCAAGAGACCTTTTTTACGTAAAAAATGTCGCAAATGTACATTTTTTTACTCAGTAATTTTATACAGGTACGGACGAAAAGTTATGACTCTTCAAAACAGTTAAAACACATGTAGGTGGCGCCCCCTACAAATAGGAGCCATATTGATATCAAAATCAAATTTCTCATGTAAAAAAAACCCCAGACACCAATTTTCATCCAAATATTGACGTTACTTTAGAAATTATTTAGAAAAAATCGAAATAAAAGTGAAACTTCTACACCCTTATCTCCGAAACTAAGCATTTTAGGACATACATTTATACAAACTTTTTTATTTATCTTCATCTGCAGAATATGCTGCCGAAGTTTCCGGAATAGAGTTCGGACCACCCTGTATATGATGTGTAAAAAAATATATACAAAAAATTGTAGGAGGAGTACCAGGAAAATGAATAAGACAAACACGACGATTTTTTAAACGTTTGTTTATTAGAACAGTAAAAAGTAAATTTTAACACGAATAGCATAAATATAGAAAAAATAATATGAGTAACGGTCGACAGTTGAGAGTATTTATATTAATCTTCGGTTTCCAACGTGGCGTATTTGTTTGAAGAATTAACAGGTGCATCCTCGTAGAGATCGGAAGAAAGCTCTTCATCTGAGTCTTCTTCGGTGACGGTACGATGGCTGACAGGTTCATCGTTATCAGTAGAAACATCGCTAACCGCTCCACCAACGGCCTTGTCCAAACTCTCGATGGTATCTTCGATTTCTTTGCTCAACGCCTGGATCCACTTAACTTTTTCGACGTCAGGATGAGTTTGCCAAAATTCTGTAAAATTAACCCAACTAGCATTAAGCTAGAACCCCCGACGAGGTCTAAAGGTGCGTCCACATTGTTCGCGAGCAGGCCGAACGAACACGTAAAACACGAAAAACATGGCAAACAGTCGGAGCGAGATGTTCGTGCTTACGATCACATAAAATGCCTGTTTCGACTGTTCGGCTCTGTCGCGGTACATCAAAGAGGCTTCGGAGCCATGCGAGCATACTTTACGGCGTTACTTGTGTTGTTTGTTAAGTTTTTAGTTTGGTTTCATTCATAGGATTCGGTATTTACTGCAGTATGATGATACTACCATGATTTTTCTTATTTTATTTTGTTCAGAATTACAAATATTTGTGTTTTGTTCTTGGATTAATAATATTAAATATAGTACCTTTAATAAAATATAACTCTATATTTATATTACCTACTTATTTTAATCTGATCTTTGAGAATTTTATTTATATTTTGGTATACGCCTGGTATTATTTTTGAAATGCTTTGCTTAGAAACTTTGAATAAATAACCCAAACTGGTATCTGAGTCTCTAGTTGCAAGGAATCTTAATGTTACGGCCAATCTTTATTTAACTCTTTCTTTAACCGGAATACACTTCCTAAACGTTGTATTTTTTTCTTTCTATACGGGCGCCAACTAAGTTAATAAGTCTTTCAAAATCAGTTGCGGACATGCGATAAAAAATATTAAAAAACATTCTGTCTGTTTGTAAATCGCGTAGATGTTTACTTTCACTGTGCTGGGATTTACTTTTGAAATTATTAGACATCCAACACCGCCTTTTTTTCTCTTTGTCTCTTCCGTTTTGCATTAATGATCGCACTAGCAGCCGCTATTAAAAATACTTCTGTATCATCCATGTCCGAACAGCACGAACGCAAGCACTACATTACAATGTAGACGCCGTTGCTTGCGAGCCGAAAGATCTTGAGAAACACGACAAACAGGAAGCGCAAGTAACGCAAGCACAATCAGGAGCAAGAGCGCGAGCAGGATCACGAGCAATGTGGACGCACCTTAACGATTCCTCTGGGGACGTTGGCGTATAAATTCTCTACCTTTATAATCTGGAACGGAACCGATCGACAGTTGGATTCCTTTCTTAATCATCTTAATTCACGAAATAACTCAATCAGTTTAAAGACTGAGAAAGAAAAACTTTGGTCTACCGCTTCTAGATGTACTTGTCAGTAGAAGAGATGGATCCATTAGCATTGCTGTATATAGAAAACCCACACATATGGGACAATATTTAAATTCTCCGTCGAACCTTTCTGAAGCAACCAAAACAGGTATAGATAAAACACTAAGTCGTAGAGCAATCACTATATGCAGTGACCAAGAATCCCTAAATTCTGAACTAAGTAATATTAAAACCGATATGCTTCAGAATGGTTACTCTGCAAAATCCCTACACAATATTATATCCAATTGCAGATCCGACTCATTAGTAAGCCAGCCTGAGGAGGATGCTCTCTCTCTTGACCATTCCATATGAAAGGAACATTGGAGAAGATCAGGTGAGTAGCTAAGCAATATAAAATTAAAACTGTTTTGAAGTCTGGGACTACTCTAAGAAATATCCTAGCAAAAACAAAACCTGAATCATCAAACCAAGAGATAGAGTGCATCAACCACATACCTTGCGAGTGCGGTGAATCGTATATTAGAGAGACAAAACGTCCTCATGTACAACTTGACGAACACAAAAAACATAATACGCAAAGAGGTGAAACAAGTCGGGCATTGCAGATCATGTGTGGTACAAGCACCACAACATAAGATGGTCGGAAGCCCGGGTTATCCACAAAGAACCCCGTTGGAAAAAGCGCAAATTTAAAGAGGCCGTATTCATTTCTAACAATAATAAAATCTTTAGCAATCCAAGTATGGAAATTTCAACAATATGGCAACCACTCATAAAACGCTGCAATGCAGGTGTTCTTGGTGGAAAACCTCATGCTTGACTGCACTCAACAAATTCACGGGTGTGTAAACAAAAAATAAATAAAAACTATGGAAGTTCGAAACTCTTTTAGTTTTAATATTATTACTAAATATACTCACCTCGTCTACGAGTGTAATGAGGCGGCCTGAGACACAGACATATCTTGCCATCTAGCGCCATTCTAAGCAAACTATTCGCGGCCCTATAGGAATCTAATCTGGCGGCTTTGGCTGTCAAATAGCCTCGTTTTTTCGCCCACCCGTCGCAAATGTCCATGGCCGACCACGTTTCGTCGTTGTACGGATGTTCTATCCTCAACATTTTTATCAAATCCAGTCTTTCGCCTAAAAATAGTTCGTCACATTTTTTACATCATTACCATAGTTTAAGGAAAAGAGTAGTTGCACTCTTGTAAATATTTTCTGCCAGTTTTTGCAATCTGTCGAATATTGGCAGATTACAAAGCGTTTCAGTTGAATTCCGTCCGTCGAGCTGCGAGGTTCGAGCGTTGCGGTCCAGCACAGAGACGGATTAACAAAAAATGAGTGCCTTACTGTGTGCTGCTATTACTTGTAGTAATAATTCAAAAAATTGTTCTTTGAGTTTTTTTAGATTTCCATCGAATGTAAATCGGCAAGCTGATAGTAATTATCAATGAACATTTAATTATATTTGTTCATTCTAGAAGCTGAGACATTATGTAATTAATTAAATGTTATTATTTTTTTAGCATGTGCGCAGATTTTAAAAATAGTTTTTTAGATATACAGGTTGTCTCAAATATGCGCATGAAAATATTTTTTGGTCACGGGATTTGATATAAAATTTTCATTCCAATAATAATTTACGAGATAATTTATATATGTAGATTGGTTTTTGGAACAATTTTAGAGTAAATATTTTGTACATCTAAAGTCTCCGCAAATTATTCATATTTTTTAATTGAAAGAATTTTATAATAGCATAATCCCTTATAAATTTAGCGGACTGTATTTTTTATGTTTTTTCTTATTTATTTTTTATTATAAGTGGTCGTAATATATCAATATTCAAAATATTATAGACAAAATATTGAGGTTATATTTGAGGGAAGAAGAGTGCCACACCTAGCTTTAAACCACCGTAAATATACAGGGTGGCCCATTAGTGCGAGGAAGTCCAATATCGTCGTCGTTGTCGAAGATGTAAAAAAAGTTTTATTCATATATTTCAAGGTTTATAAAGGGCCGTATCCTAAAATATTTTGTTATATACAGGGTGTCACAAAAAAAGTTATGGTAAAGTTAGTTTTATTTTTTCTAATTATTTTACATCATTCTATATAGGGTATTTTTTATGGCGTCACCAAAGTCGGAATATTTAAAATGGTATATCTCAATTTTTTTAAATGCAACATTCTGTATATTATTTTTCTGTCAGACGCAGAATTAAAAAGTGAACATTTTTTTATTTAAAGTGTTGCTAAATTTTTAACGGTTTCGCAGATATTCGTAATTTATTATATTACATATGGCTCTTTCAACAGTAAATTTTTGATCAAAGCCACCTAATATGATCTTTGTCTGATATTTTATCGTTGAAAATCCCATGTAATGAAATAGAGAAAATATTTGCAAAACGGCTAAAAATTTAAGAACACTTTAAATACAAAAAATGTTCACCTTTTAATTCTACATCTGAAAGAAAAATAATATACAAGGTGTTGCATTTAAAAAAAAATAAAATACAACATTTTAAATATTACGATTTTGGTGACGCCATAAAAAATATCCTGTATATGATAAAGTAAATTTTTCTACACGAATTTATTCTGGTATCCTTCATGTTTAAGAAAACATATCTAAGTATTAATAAAGTTATATTCACTCTAGTTTTTTACCACTTTTCGTATATAATGTTTCTAACCAAAATTTTAGTAAATAAGAAATAGAATGGCAACATCGCAGTGTGCTTTAAATAAAAACAGTGTACTATATGCAGAATTTTATGCCGAATCCAGTTATCTACAGAAAATTAAACTTGTTTTAAATCAAAAAAGAGTTAATATAAAAATATGTCATTATATATTTATCCGCATTTTTCCCATCAGAAGATTTTCAGATACAGAAGAATTATTACCTACACGAAATGTGAAAATATTCTGTTTTCAAGCAAGTTTTTACTCAATAATCATTTTTTTTTATTTTATTTTATTGTGACCTCATATTTTCCTAAATACATATCTGTGAAACTATGGCGAGTGCCACGACTATACTTTGCCTAGTTAATAGACCACGACTATACAGCTACGTCAGTGGTCACGGGAGGCGAGAACAAGGTCATATAAAGTGGCAGAAAAAGAACAAAGGATTTGACAAGGAGTAAAACTACTAGTTTCCTTATACTATGTCATTACCTAGACAAATAAAAAAACTAACCTAAATATTTAATGGTACTATACGGTTCTCTTAACTGAGCTATTGGAAAACTACCCATGAGCACTTGCAACGGTTTGGGCACTTTTGACGGGAACACTAGACCGGGACAGTCGCATAGCCTTACGTTATTTGTTAGGAATATCGTTTGAAAGTGTTTGGTATGGCCGGGAGTTTTCGAGACACTGACCACCTGAAATAATGAAATCGAAATGATCTTGTGGTATTAACAAAATTAAAATAATGCCGTACTTTTTTTCCCATTATGGCGTTCATCAGTGACGATTTTCCTACGTTAGGTTGCCCTATACAGCCGATGGTAAGGATGCCACTCTTAAACCTTTCGTACTGGAAGTAATCGGTGTTGTTTTGGACGTGAAGGGTCTCACCCACTTCAATTTTTTCCTCTTCTTGATATTCTTCCCGTATTTCTTCCTGTGATACACATACAAAATCATTTATTAGTTCTAAAAAGTTACAAAAATACGCTCAAAATGTAAAGACGGGTTGATATTGAATGACAGTATTGTTCAGAACTGCTATTGAGAAATAACAGTTACAACAGTCGTTACTTTGAAAAAATAACAGGTTTGATAATAACAGTGCGTTGACAGTGATGGCTCCCGAAGTGACGGAAGGATGGCCGCTCTACACTAGGGTAAACAAAAACAACCTATGTAATTTATGAGTTAAAATGAACCTAATAACTGAGAAAAAACATCCCCGTATTCCAGGCAGAAATCTTCGCCATTCTACAATGTGCGAGAGAAAACAATAGAAGAGCTTATTCAGATAAGCTCATCAATATATGCTCAGACAGTCGGGCGGCACTTGGGGCGCTTATGAGCCCAAAGGTATCGTCGAGACTCGTCTGGGAATGCCTAGGTGAACTGGGAGCTCTGGCTCGAAGGAACAGAATTAAATTATTCTGGGTGCCGGGCCACAGCGGCATCCAAGGCAACGAAAAAGCCGATGAGCTAGCTAGGCAAGGATCATCGGCATCCTGTCTTGGTCCAGAGCCAGTACTGGGAATACCCAAATGTATGGCTAAAACTCTGGATCAGGGAAAAGCAGAATGTCCACTGGAAAAACAGACAGGGGCACAGGCATAGCAAGGCTTTTATCCAAGGACCTAGCTCTAAAACCGCAAAAGAACTGCTAATGCTTAGCAGGAATAAATTGCGGATTATAACAGGCCTCTTGACAGGACACATGGCTGTCAAGTATTACCTGAACAAGCTCAACCTGTATCAAGGAAGTCTTTGCTGCAGACTCTGCGCTAAAGATCCTGAAACAGCGGAGCACATAATATGTTACTGCGAGACTCTGGAAGCGATACTTTTTATTTGGGAAAGCTAGGCTAGAACCGGAGGAACTATGTCGCAGTGTTTCCGGCAGAGGACGGCCCATTATTGTGAAAAAAGGCAGGATTTTAGCTCACTTTTAAAAGGTGTCAGCGAACATTCAAAGTTTGCCATTTAAATAACACATAAAAAAATATTTTTCCATTAAAAGTACCATAACTTTGAAGCCGTTTACGATAAAAAAATTTACATCGCGGATTTTACACCGACACCTTTTTAAATTGAGCTGATTTTTAGCTCAATTGCCTTCCGGGGATATTTTTTTCTCGGTTATTAGGTTCATTTTAACCCATAAATTCCATAGGTTAGTTTTTTTTGGTTCACCCTACTACACATATTCTTCCAAACTAGTAACGGTTCCAAGAAATAACAGGTATGAATACATCAGTGCATGATAGTCTTGTACGATGCTACCGAGTTTTATCAGGCATGTAGAATGTAGAATGTTTAGAAGGGGAGTTAATCACCGCGACCGTATAGATCTATTGTGTGTTCCCCTTTCTTGAGTTATAACGAGTTATAACTCATCATACAGTCTCAGGGCTTTAACAAAAGTCAGTATCTGAGACGGCTCCACAGAGGCCAGCTCTCCATCCTCGACATCAGACGTACCAAGGTTCATGGCACGAATGGTCGTCGTCTCGGCGCACTCAGTGATAAGGTGTTCTGGTGTTTCCCCATTTTCCCCACAAAATATGCATTCGCCGTTGTTTCTCAGTTTCAGCCTACTGAGGTGTTCGTTGAGGAGACAGTGTCCTGTTTGAAACCCCGTGACAATCCGAAGATTGTTTTTACTTAAATCAAGGAAAACCTTTGATTTTTCTCGGTCATAAGTTCTAAGGAACTTTTTCGAGTGTCTTAGACCGTTGGAGGACACCCATTCCAAGTTACGGATGGAGTCTTCCAGATTCTTCAGTTCCGCTTTCAGTTGGTTCCCGTTTGGAAAACAGAACGGTTCTGGTCCAGTTAGTGGAGTGTTCGCTTCTTTTCTAGCTAGATCATTTGCTTTTTCATTGCCTTCTATCCCTTGGTGAGCGGGCACCCAGAGTAGGAGGACTTTATTTTCTTTGCCTAATTTGTTGAGCTTCTCTAGGCATTCTTTGACCAACTTCGAATTGATGGTTACTGAGTTGATCGCGTTAAGTGCTACTTGACTATCGGATATGATGGCAATTTCTTGTTTTCGATAGTTCCTATCTAAGAGAAATTGTACGCATCTTTCGATAGCGCAAATTTCTGCCTGAAGGATACTTGGGTAGGTGCCTATTGGTTCGGAGTATTTAGTTTTCGGCCCAAATACTCCTATCACTGTCCCTGCTTTGGTTTTGGAAGCATCAGTATACCACGTGATGGTATGGTCTTTTATATGCTGACTAAGCGTTTCTTTCTTCTAATCCTTTTTATTACTCAATACTACAGTGAGGTGATTCTCAAAGTTGTAAATTCTTGGTATGTCATCCACTGGGAGTTGGAGAAGTGGAATTTTCTTTTTAAGGGTGTTCCAAGCCCCTGACCTGAAAATTCTCCCAGTACTGTTTCCGTCAATGACCATCCTAATCATTATCGCATTGGCATAACTACCGACGACAATATGCAGTGGTGTTAGGTCTAGAATGACCTCCATTGCTGCTGTTGGACATGTTCTCATGGCACCTGTGATGCAGATACATGCCAGTCACTGTACTTTGCTTTTATCAGGCATGCAACAGCTCCAAGAAATAACAGCTATGAAAATAATAGTGCTTGCGAGTGAACGTTCGCGATGTGATATTGTGAGTTATGCTACAAGTTTTACCAGGGATGCAACAGTTCCAAGAAATAACGGGTATGAAAATAACAGTACTTGATAGCGACCGCTCGTAATGTGATATATTGTTCATTGTGCCACGAGTTTTACCATTTTACCAGACATACAACAGTTTCAAGAAATAACAGGTATGAAGATAACAGTGCGCTGGTAGCTACTGCTCGCGATGTGATATCATGATCGTTGTGCCACATGTTTTACCAGGCATGCAACAGTTCCAAGAAATAACAGGTATAAAAATATCAGTGCTTGATAGCGACCGCTCGCGATGTGGTATCGTTATTGTTGTACCACGAATTTTACCAAGCTTACAACAGTTCCAAGCAATAACAGGTATGAAAATATAACCAACAATAACAGTTCCAACTGTTATTTAGAAATAACAGTTTTGCCTTGCTCTGTCAAAACGGGCGTAACAGTCATAACCAATAAAAGACAAGTTCCTAACCTTACAAATAACTTTAACTTTATTTAATATCTTATCACAATACAATGCAAAGCCACAGAAACAGTAACAGGTATTTACTTACCTTTATTTTACTTTGCCACGAAGTTAAGTCTACTTTATCTCCCACTAAACTGTTACACACCTCGTATAACTGTTGATTACCTTCGGCAGCCATGCGTACCCTACCTTTTCTCCTTCTAACTTGCAACCCTGCGAAAAAATGAAACAAAAAAATATTTACAATGATTATATCAGCAACTTAGCCATCTGTAGCTATTCCTGTTTAAGTGTTTTGACTATTTACCTCCTTTATCTAATCTCTGGCCCATAAGATTGTAGCCGGGAAGGCTAGTAAACAGACATATTTTTAGAAGAGAATATTTCTGCTCAAAGTAATGCTTCCAAGCTGCCACTAGAGGAGCCGGTGCTAAATCTATTTTGTTCAATACCAAGATGAAATCTTTCTTTAAATCATCAGTTACATATCGGTATAAAGATGGTGGAAACATAACTACCTAAAAAAGTATTTTAGAACTCATTTCAGAACTTATTTCTCTAAGATTACTGGAAAACGAATATCCACGATAAAGAGTACTATGTCAGACATTTCCAGAACCCTCCACAATTGTCTCCACGTTTCCAAATTTAGTTCAAAGTAACTAAGTTCTTTCATATCAAATCCAGCTTCTATAGTCTTCAAATATTCGGTAAAATATCTATTAAATATAATATAGATAACTACTAACTAATCATAAGAATTAATAGATTTCTCTATACCTGTTTTCTTGTGCATCAAGTTGTTCTTTTGACAAATCAAAGTTCCAAGGAGGTCTTTTGGGGAAATCTAATTTATTCTCAAAAAAAAGATCTCCGTCTATTTCTAATTCTTTTTCATCCACCTTGACCAGGCTGTGTCGAGCCTAATAATAAATCGAATTAAACTCATAGACTGTTCTAGAAAAATACTTACTTACCTGTTCCTTTTTCTCTTTAACTTCTTCATTCGTTTCTCTAAAAAATTGTAATGCATATCTGTTCGGTTTGGATCTACCGCTCTTTGTAGGTTGATAATTCAGTTTCTGGATGGAAGGCCCCGAATCGTCATCGCTGTCGTCCCCTTTTCTGTCCAAAAAAGGCACGTTTTTGCCTCCTGAAACAATGCGCAAATTATCCCGGCATTTTTTTATGCTCACGTTATTTTTTACCATGTTTTTCTCGTTTGGATTTTAACTGCTCCTTTTTGGCCTTCCCACTAAACGGAGTCTTTCTCCTGCCTTGGGGCATGTTAATAATTCAGTTTTATAAAACGTACAAATAGATTTTTGTTGAAACGTATTTTTCATTTAAAATATTCTTCGGAAAACACATAAATTAAATGAGGTTAAGATATACAAATTCATATGACATTTAATAAAATATCTGGAGTCTGCATGTCTCTTTTTAATGTGTTCTGAGAAACAAAGACAAATCTAGGCTTAAAACATAAACAAACGAATCATCTGTCACCAGTGTTGCCGTTTCAGTATAATTGTCTGAATTCAAAACAGATTGAATACAAAAGATTTACGTGTAAATATAAAATATCAATGAGATTACCATGTATATAACAATAATGTAAGTACGGTTCTTGTTCTCTGTCCGTAGTAGCAAAATGTTAAATTCGGTACATTTTTTCCAAATGCAATAAATTATTCATACAAATTCAGTAAAATCTCTAAAACCGTACGGCAACACTCTCCCTCACTGTCAAAAACATCAAAAACAGCTGCTTTGGTCTACTGGTCTTGTTTTTGTTCTCAATTTCTTGTTAATTGTTTGGTTTCGACAATCCATTTGTGTTAATTTCTCCGTTTTCGATGTGAAGTGGTGCTCCAACATGTATTTTCTAAAATCGTTGAAGTGAAACGCACATTTATTCATCGGTAGAGAATAAAATGTAAAAGAAATACCTTGATGTCTTTGAGTGGGACTGTTTTTTATTTTATTTACCATGGATAACAGAGGCAAAGCAACAAAACAAAATTCCGAAGAAATTGTAGAAAACGGGGATGCAAAGAATGGAAACGTAGCTTTCGATGGAGCTGAAGAAGCTGTTTCCACTGATTCCGATGAGTATTTAGCAAACCCCTTACGGTAATGTTACAAACTATGTTTTTATAAGTATAATTTGTTAAGTTTTCGTTATTTACAGATATAGAAACTATGATTTAAACAGCTCTACTGCCTCAAATGTAACCCTTTTAGCTCAGAGTATGACTATTGCCGATCACAACAGTTTTACTCATCAAACAGATGATAATGTGTCTTATACGACTAGTGATATCTTAAACCCCATACAAATACCCATAGTGGGCTATGAAATTATGGAAGAGCGTGCTCGTTTTACTGTAATAAATAATTTTCAAAGTGTAGGTAAAGTTTTTTAGTATAATTTTCTCGTAGGTATACAAACTTCGAATTGAAAACAAGATTAACGGTGATTGCTGGTACGTGTTTCGACGGTATACGGATTTTGTGAGGCTTTGTAACAGACTAAGGAACAAATTTCAAGATGTTGTTAGGCATTTACCAAGGAAAAGATGGTATAGGATATATGAAAAATCAATAAAAGTTGGCATAGAACTTTAATGTAATAATTTCCGTGTCTTTGATGACTTGCAAACCAACTTTTATTGATTTCTCTATAGGTTTTATATTCTTCTGATTGTTTTTTGATTCTTTTCTAACACTAATGTTATTATTTCAGGTTAAAAAATAATTTTGATCCGATTTTTCTCGAGGAAAGAATCAATGGGCTCCAATCTCTAGTAAATGCAATTTTACAAGTACCTGAATTGGTTAGTTCCATAGAAATACAAGAGTTTTTCTGTCTGAATGAGCCCCCAATGCATTCTGAGAGTAATGGCGAGTCGAGGGCAGTTTTTGAGGCTTTGGAAGACACAATATCTGACTTAAAGTTGCAGCTTAAAGAGAAAGATGTGGTTATAGATAATTTACAGGAAAAAATGCAGAGTTTGTTGAATGAAAATGAAAATTTGAAGAAATCTATGAGGTAGGAATAGGTATCTAGATCACTGCCGTTCTTTAAAAGATCAGCCTGGGGGCGGACTTTTGTTTACTTCATCAGCTGTACATACTTAGATATTGGGTTAGATTCCGTTTCATATTTTGTCGGTTGATTTTTGGTTTTAACTCTGATTTTTGGTATTATTTATTATTGTAGTGCAAAAAACTAATTATTTTGGTGTTTAAGTGACATAAACTACTATCAGATATATGGTCATTCTCGGTTTCGCATTAAAAAAAAAGAAAAATTACACGTTGTGTAAGTGATTTAACCTAAAAGTGCCCATACATTTTTTACTTATCGTGATTTTTGTGTGTGTTTTTTAAGACTCTAACAATTCATCAATAAAGCTTAAGTGGAGTGTGTTTTTGGTGCAATGCCTCATCTTTGTTGTGTTCCTGGTGGAAAGGATAGTTATACTAGGCAGCCTAAAGTGTCCAGAAGAGCAAGAAAAGTGGGTAGAGTTATAAATCTAGAGAATTCTATTGAAAATATCTTTAATAAATTTAAAAATAATATTCTCCCATGATGGTATTAATGAAAACTGGACAATTATGTTTATTTTATTCATATTGTGGAATCTCCACATTCCACAATATGATTGTTTCACCACATTCCACAAGTTGTTGGTTCAGCTTCGATAGATTCAAACACGTAAGTTGGTATTATGATCTAGGGAAAAATAAAGAATATGTGTATTAAAGATCATGAAAAAGATTATTATTTTGAGTTCAAATTTTAAAAAAGATTTTTGTAAAGACAAGACTGATACAGTTTAAAAGAAGAATGTGTTTTTGTTTGATAATATATAATGTATGTGAAGCATAACATATATTTGTTCAGTAATTTTTAATGAATAGTGTTGATTATTTATAATACCAAATTAATATCAAATATTTAAGTGATGGCTGAATACAATATGAATAAAATAACAATAAAATTGGTATATTTGCATAATACAAAATTAAGTTTTAAGAATAAAGGTGTTACTAAAAATACTAAGAAATTCATATTTCTTTGTTTTAATTGGTCTAATGTTATTTACATTTTACGTAAGAATTATACCGTATCATCGAAAAAAATCGGCGTCTAGTTGGCTTGGAAATGAACATCGATGACATTCCCTAAATAACTGTAGGTACACATAAAATAATTAACTAGAATTTTACAATCTTGGAAAATTTGATATTCTTGAACCTTGTTTCTAAATATTCTAATTTTTTTGATTTTCTTGGCATTTTTTAGTGTATTAATTGAAGTAAACATTATGAGGTGTGAATTATATTGTATATGTAATTTTTTGGATTATATTCGACACTATTTTTCTCATATGACACAACACTGATGAAGGCTATAGTTATCCGAAACGTTTTTTTAAACCAAATAAAAATAATGAAAACCCAAATGAAAACTTAAATCAGCGTTTTTCCCGAACCTAAAAATCCCAAGAAAATCAAAATTTTAGAATAATTTTACATATAAAATGCCAGCGATCTTCATTTCATAGCCATCGCTGACGCCTTTTTTTAGATAATATTGTATTATTTGTAAATATAATTTTTCGAACATTGATACTTGCAAAATATACATATAAATTTTGTGAATGCAAATAATAATACATCAATATTAGTAGATATTGAATGTTTTTTGTTAAATTAGATCGATTTTCAAACCCCAAAATTTAAAATATATTTACATTTTACCCATTATCTTATGTACCTATACATTATTTGTACATTGTAAAACATTTGCTGCATTTGTATGGTTCATAGTTTATTTGCCAAAGTATTTATTACTATAAATAGGTATATATGTTGTAGTTATATTAACTGTATATTATGTATATATCATGTAAACTATATCATTTTTAAAATACAAACCAAAAATCTGAGGAATAATTATGTTTTCCATGTATTCTACAACATATTTATTAATCCGTTATATCTAACTAGCGTGACGTCATAAATCTCGCCCCCAGGCTGATCTTTTAATAGAAGGCACTGTCTAGATTATAATTTTTTGACAGGGTGGTCTGAATTGTAATGGAATAATAATCTGTATTTATTTTTGCAGAGCTAACATATCCAAAGAGGTATCATCAGGAACGCAATAACTAATATCAAGTATTAAAGAAATGAATTAGGAATATATATATTTTTATATTATATTAGTTTAAAAACAAGTGACAATATGTTAGGACGTTGCAATAAGGATTAATATAGTTTTGTGAATAGTGTTTTAATGTTAAATCAGTTACCTTGTATTTTATACAGAACATTTATAGTTGTAAATAATTTATTAAACAATTTTTATAATGTTAAAGATGTAGTTTCCTTTTAATTCAACCAAATCTGTGGCTCTATTTTTTTTCTAATTATTGACATAGTATTAGTTATGTACCGGGTGCGTCTCAAAAGTGGCTCACCCCTATAACTTTTATTTTTTCAGTTAAAAAAACAAGATCTGGTATGTTAGTATATGACATTAATTAGAATTGATTGACGTTTTCAATTGTTTTCGGTCACTTCCTGTTTCACCGGAAATGACTACAACTTTTGATTGAAAAAAAAACACTATGAATAGAATGACATATCATATGTCAACTTTTGACATTTTCGCATATCAAATCGGTATCGAGTTATTCGAAAAAAAAAAACGCTTTTTCCAAATATGCTAATGAGCCACCCTCGTTCCATTTGAAAAAATTGAGATATGATTAAAAATACGATTTGAGCATTTTCTAACTGATCAGGAAAAGACATTAAAAACATTAGACGATCAAATATATATTTTTCCAAGGCTCCTTGATTAAGAATTAGTATTTCTAACATAGCCATGGCTCTAGATTGAATTTTAAAATACAATTTTTTATTAAGCGATAATGTCAAAAGTTGACATATGATATGTCATTCTATTCAGAATGTCATTTTCTATCGAATAAAGCAAAAAAATACCGAGGGTGCCATTTAAAGATGAAAAGTTGTAGTCATTTCCGGTGGAACAGGAAGTGACCAAAAACAATTGAATTAGTCAATTAATCCTAATTTATGTCATATACTAACATATCAAATCTCGTTTTTTATCTGAAAAAATATAAAAGTTATAGGGGCAAACCACTTTTGAGACGCACCCGGTATAGTCTGTTCACTGAGGGTGCATCCACACTATCCTAGAAACGGCGTAAAGACCTTGAATAGATTTCCAGTAATTGTATTGGCTGAAATTTTTGACGCATAAAATTTCTGACAGATGAATTTTTCAGCCAATAGAATTACTGGAAATCTATTCAAGGTCATTACGCCGTTTCTAGGATAGTGTGGATCAAAATTGCTGCTATGCGACCCTCAGAGAATCACTGAGATCCTGGACAAGTGTCTTATCAACAGACAGTTTCCAAATTCGTGGAAAATTGCCAAACTTGTTCTAGCAGAGAAACCCAATAAAGATGGAAGTCAAGACAAAAAATATCGTCCAATATGTTTAATTAATGCAAGCGCCAAACTGTTAGAATGTCTTCTGAGGGATAGACTGGAGGATGGAAACAGACTACACCCAAACCAATACGGGTTCCGCAGAGGCAAATCTACGATAGACGCGTTAAACATTGTTACGAGTAACGTAGACCGTATTAAAACGAAATCGTATAAGAACAGGGGATACGCGGCACTGCTTACATTAGACATTAAAAACGCATTCAATTCTGCCCCATGGACAGGAATTGTTGAACAATTAGGGAGCATAAAGATCAGTAAATACCTCATCGTTATGATTAAGTCTTTCTTGTCAAAAAGATATGTAATTGCAGAAAACGGCAAAAAACACAAGATGGCGTGCGGGGTACCGCAGGGGTCCATTCTAGGACCGACCTTGTGGAACATCTTCTATGACCAGATCCTGAGGGTCGATATTGGACCATATAATCTACTGATTGCTTATGCGGATGATCTGGCTGTCCTGATTACCGTTCCGACCATCACTATCTTCGAAGAAAAGATACAAACAGCTGCCCTAACTATAACCAATAAGTTAGATAGAATGGACATACATCTGGGCCAGAAAAATCAGAACTAGTCGTTCTCGTAGGACATCGCAAGACGACGAACTTAAATATCCAATTGGGAAATTGCCACATCAGACCTCAAAAGGCAATAAAATATATGGGCGTTTGGCTTGATTCCGGGATGCGCATGACTACACATGTCCTTAAAATCAGGGACAGGACGGTTGATACCATCAAACAGCTGACCAGAATCACTCCTAATATTAGAGGCCCCAGTGACGGAACGAGGAGAATGCTTGCCTCGGTTGTGCATTCGATCAGTGCCTTCTATTAAAAGATCAGCCTACGGGCGAGATTTATGACGTCACGCTAGTTAGATATAACGGATTAATAAATATGTTGTAGAATACATGGAAAACATAATTATTCCTCAGATTTTTGGTTTGTATTTTAAAAATGATATAGTTTAAATGAAATATACATAATATACAGTTAATAACTACAGCATATATACCTATTTATAGTAATAAATACTTTGGCAAATAAACTATGAACCATACAAATGCAGCAAATGTTTTACAATGTACAAATAATGTATAGGTACATAAGATAATGGGTAAAATGTAAATATATTTTAAATTTTGGGGTTTGAAAATCGATCTAATTTAACAAAAAACATTTAATATCTACTAATAGTGATGTATTATTATTTGCATTCACAAAATTTATATGTATATTTTGCCAGTATCAATGTTCGAAAAATTATATTTACAAATAATACAATATTATCTAAAAAAAGGCGTCAGCGATGGCTATGAAATGAAGAGCGCTGGCATTTTATATGTTAAATTATTCTAAAATTTTTGATTTTCTTGGGATTTTTAGGTTCGGGAAAAACGCTGATTAAGTTTTCATTTGGGTTTTCATTATTTTTATTTCGTTTAAAAAAAACGTTTCGGCTAACTATAGCCTTCACAGTGTTGTGTCATATGAGAAAAATAGTGTCAAATATAATCCAAAAAATTACATATATACAATATAATTCACACCTCATAATGTTTACTGCAATTAATAAACTAATATAAACTTATCAAAAGATGACCACATATTTTTTAAAATTATTATTCTTAACACTAAAATTATCTACATTGACTATGGAGTACGCAGTAAACATTATGTGCGTGGTGTGAATATTTTATATGCAATTTTTGGATTATATTCGACACTATTTTTTTCATATGACACAACACTGATGGAGGCTATAATGTTAGCCGAACCGTTTTTTTTAACCAAATAAAAATAATGAAAAACCAAATGAAAAATCAATCAGCGTTTTTCCCGAACCTAAATTCCAAGAAAATAAAAAAATTTAGAATATTTAGAATCAAGGTTCAAGAATATCAAATTTTCCAAGATTGTAAAATTCTAGTTAATTATTTTATGTGTACAGTTATTTAGGGAATGTCATCGATGTTCATTTCCAAGCCAACTAGACGCCGATTTTTTCGATGATACGGTATAATTCTTACGTACAATGTAAATAACATTAGACCAATTAAAACAAAGAAATATGAATTTCTTAGTATTTTTAGTAACACCTTTATTCTTAAAACTTAATTTTGTATTATGCAAATATACCAATTTTATTGTTATTTTATTCATATTGTATTCAGCCATCACTTAAATATTTGATATTAATTTGGTATTATAAATAATCAATACTATTCATTAAAAATTACTGAACAAATATATGTTATGCTTAACATACATTATATATTATCAAACAAAAACACATTCTTCTTTTAAACTGTATATCAGTCTTGTCTTTACAAAAATCTTTTAAAATTTGAACTCAAAATAATAATCTTTTTTCATGATCTCTAATACACATATTCTTTATTTTTCCCTAGATCATAATACCTACTTACGTGTTTGAATCTATCGAAGCTGAACCAGCAACACTTGGAGTGGAGATTCCACAATATGAATAAAATAAACATAATTGTCCAGTTTTCATTAATACCATCATGGGAGAATATTATTTTTAAATTTATTAAAGATATTTTCAATAAAATTCTCTTGATTTATAACTCGTACCCACTTTTCTTGCTCTTCCGGACACTTTAGGCTGCCTAGTATAATAACTATCCTTAGTAACTATCCTTTCCACCAGGAACACAACAAAGATGAGGCATAGCACCAAAAACACACTCCACTTAAGCTTTATTGATGAATTGTTAGAGTCTTAAAAAACACACACAAAAATCACGATAAGTAAAAAATGTATGGGCACTTTTAGGTTAAATCACTTACACAACGTGTAATTTTTAAAATTTCTATTTTTTTATGCGAAACCGAGAGTGACCATATATCTGGTAGTAGTTTATGTCACTTCAACACCAAAATAATTAGTTTTTTGCACTACAATAATAAATAATACCAAAAATCAAAGAGTTAAAACCAAAAATCAACCCACAAAATATGAAACGGAATCTAACCCAATATCTAAGTATGTACAGCTGATGAAGTAAACAAAAGTCCGCCCGTAGGCTGATCTTTTAATAGAAGGCACTGATTCGATGATCCTGTACGCCTCGCCCATTTGGAGCAGGGCAACAGATTATAAATACTATGAAAAAGTCCTCGAGAAAATTAACAGAATGCTAGCCCTACGCGTAGTGTCGGCGTATGGTACAGTTTCCACAGAAGCTGTTCTCGCTCTAGCAAAAATCCCCCCAATTATCCTACAAATCGAGGAAAGAAATTTAATATACAGGCACGGCTCAGGGTATCGATCAGAGGCCAGGAAGATAATACTGGACAAATGGCAGAACCGATGGGAGGCATACCAGGGTCGAATTAAGATAAATATCCCGGACGTGAGGGTTTGGAAAACGGACTATTACATCACCCAGGCGAAGACAGGGCACGGTGCTTTTGGAGAGTACCTGTTTAAAATAACTAAGGCAGAATCCACAAAATGCTGGTATTGTGAAGCATCAGACACGGCCAATCACACATTATTCGAGTGTAGTAGGCATTTGGAGACTAGAGCATCGGCGGAACAAATATGCAAGGTTAAAATAACAAGGGAAAATGTCGGCGAGCTTATGATGGAATATAGAGAGAACTGTGAAGCAATCACCAGGATGATGGGAGCCATCATGCTTAAAAAACAGGAAGATGAAAAGATAAAAATTTGGCAGACACAGACATAAGTGGCGAAACAATCTCCAGTCCTGAAGTAATGCCGCAAGGCGGTTCCGAGATTGGAGAGGTAACTCTACAGATGGGTTTTTAGTGGGTATGACTCGGGTGAGAGGTGACCCCCCACATCTATAAAAAAAAAAAAAAAAAAAGGATAGTGTGGATGCACCCTGAGAGAATATCTGATTTCGACAATGACCTCCAAAAAATTACAGAATCACAATCAAATTTTTCAAGCAAACCCGCAAAAATTCAAATGTGTCAAGTCAAATGTCAAACAAAACTGAAAAACAAAGTATTTCCATGATATCACTTAAGTCTAAAAATACCAGTAAACTCATACCTTATAATAAATAATATAAAATAGGCTCAGAAAGGCCCAAATACGCAACATGTCAAATCAAATTCAAGTGCCAATTGAAAAAACGTCAAACAAACCTGTCAAAATTGCATAAATAAAGGGCTACACTGGAGAAAAATATAAGGAGTAAAAAAACGGAAAAAATATATAAATATTTTATTGACACCTAGATAGAATTTGTTTTATTATTTTTAACTGGATGTATCATCATCGTCACTGGTCATGTCAAAGCCTTCAGTTTTATTCTCCGAATTGTTTGACTCAGAAAAATTTTCCGGAAGCGAATAATTTTCTGAATCGTCCGTATATATCGCCAGCCAATGGCTGAGCGGATGCGGGTTTTCCGAGTACAACTGGGACAGTACGCAGTCGGTACAGTAATCTACTGAATCCGGACACACAATGCAGTGCCACCTGGAGCCTATGATTGGATCTTCTTCGCAGTAATCACACTAAAAATATAAAATTACATATTGCAAGAGACAGTTTTGGGTCGACATAGGTCTAGGAGTAAATCTTTATAAGTCGGAGAGAGAAAAATGCGAAGTATTTATTACATAACCACCGAATCCTATATTTCATGCGCTTGGAAACATACTTGTTCTTTGTTCAGTACATAATACTACTGTTCTGAGCCTATTGACTATACTCTTTGTACACACGAAAGTCAGACATTGCCCAAGGTTATTAAAAGATAAGTAAAGACATCTTAATACCAATTAAAGAGCCATATTTTAATTCCGATTTAATAATCATATAATAAATAGTATACACTTAATATCACCCGGTGCCCGGTGGCGTAGAGGTACAGGCTCTCGTCTACCAATCTCAAGGTAGTGGGTTCGAATCCTACACCCGGCATTTCATCAGCCGACTATTTTTATTAAAATATAAATAGTTTGGGTACCTAGGTCGATTCAGCCTTAAATGAGTACCTGGAATTCACAATCCTGAGGTAATAATAGGCGGTTGAAGCGTAGTGCTAGCCACATTACCTTCCTTGTATACCGAACGGCTCTAGCATGGCAAGCTGTACCTTGCTACTCCCAAGGCGTCAAACGCTATATACGGGAGCTATTATATTATTATTATTATTACTTAATACCGCAGTTGGCTTGGAAATGAGCATTGATGGCATTTCCCATATAGGTAATTTAACATATATAAAATGACAGCGATTTTCATTTTATAACCATCGCTGACGTCGTTTTTTTATCATATTGAGCAGAGGCCAATAATATTTGGAGATGCATAAAACACGATTTCGTCTTTTAGTCCGACATTTAATGGTTTATAGTCGGTAATATTATTTTACCAAAAATATTAACGTAAAAATTAAATACCTTACAGATACTCTCGTACTAAGCACAGTATAAATAAGTTTTTTTCTTGTAAATAACATTCTTATCGTTTGCATTTTATGCACATGGTGTTTGTTTAGTGCTTTTGTCCAAGTCTAAATAATGGTGCCTGACTCTATGTCTATATCACTGCCGCGCCGCGCCGTAGAAACGAACGGTCGCATTGTGATCCGATTCAATTTTCACGATTCTTTTTTACGGCTCATTGTTCAAATCTTATGGATCCGTACTGGCCACGATTCAACTGAAGGAACCGTATTGTAAGCAATGAATCAATTCTCACGCCTCTTTGAACGAACGATCGCATTGTGATCCGATACAATTTTCACGATTCTTTTTTACGGCTCATTGCTCAAATCTTATGGATCCGTGCTGGCCACGATTCAACTGAAGGAACCGTATTGTAAGCAATGAATCAATTCTCACGACTCTTTGAACCAACGATAGCATTGTGATCCGATTCAACTCTCACGATTATTTTTTACGGCTCATTGTTCAAATCTTATGGATCCGTGCTGGCCACGATTCCATTGAAAGAACCGTATTGTAAGCAATAAATAAATTCTCACGACTCTTTGAACGAACGATCGCATTGTGATCGATTGAATTTTCACGATTCTTTTTTACGGCTTATTGTTTAAATCTTATGGATCCGTGCTGGCCACGATTCAACTGAACGAACCGTATTGTAAGCAGTGAATCAATTCTCACGACTCTTTGAACGAACGATCGCATTGTGATCCGATTCAATTCTCACGATTCTTTTTTACGGCTCATTGTTCAAATCTTATGGATCCGTGCTGGCCACGATTAAATTGAAAGAACCGTATTGTAAGCAATGAATCAATTCTCACGACTCTTTGAACGAACGATCGCATTGTGATCCGATTCAATTTTACGATTCTTTTTTACGGCTTATTGTTTAAATCTTATGGATCCGTGCTGGCCACGATTCAACTGAACGAACCGTATTGTAAGCAATGAATCAATTCTCCCGACTCTTTGAACAAACTATCGCATTGTGATCCGATTCAATTCTCACGATTCTTTTTTACGGCTCATTGTTTAAATGTTATGGATTCGTGCTGGCCACGATTCAATTGAACGAACCGTATTCTAAGCAGTGAATCGAATCACACGATTCTTTTTGAATACTCGTTCAATATTTGCCCACCTCTACTGTATACGGAGCGATTAACAATGATTGAAATACTTCCCAATACTGTCTTTTTAGGATTCTGAGGATTTTATGATTAGTGATTGTTAATGATGAATTCGACACTTTGTCAGTTTAATAACATATTTTCTTACTTTTATGCTTAGGCGTAAAAGCGCTTTACTTTTATGCCTAGGAGTTAAAATGACTTTTTTATATTTTTTTAAAATTAATTTTTTGTTTTTAAAAAGTTGCTTTTGCAAACGCAAAAATGGACAAAATCGTAATTTTGAAATTGTTTTTAACAATACGAAAATGATTCTGGTAGGCCCTAATTTAACTGCTTAAAATAAAATCCTATAAAAAAATAATGAAAATTATTTAAATGCCGAATTATAAACAGGAAAACAAATTAGCTCTATATCCTTTCCAACAAAAAATAAACAGTGTGTTTTATTTTTCATGTTTTATAAACAAAATTGTTCTTTATGAGCTTTTTGAAATTCACTGTATATATTAATAATATATACTTATTAATTTAATATGTGAATACTGAAAATTGGGACTTACCTTATATCCTGCATGACTAAAAGGCATATAATCTGCAGAATCTTCCTTTGATTTTTCCTGTCTCACCCTCTTTAACAAGTTGATCTGTAATTCTTGACAATTCTCTCCAACCGATTCATTTTCATCGTTATGATGATAATCAGTTCTCATCAGATAATTCTCTAAACAGTAAATTCACATTTTAATATACAGGGTGGCCCGAAACGTAATCGGAAAACTTCCGTAACGTATTCTGCACATAAAAATAAGTAAAAAAGTTTGTATAAATGTATATCCTAAAATGCTTCGTTTCGGAGATACAGGATGTAGAAGTTTCATTTTTATTTCGGAATTTTTCAAATAATTTCTCAAACAACGACGATATAGAAATTCGATTTTGATGCCAGTACGACTTTTGCTTGTAGGAAGCTACTACTACTTGTTTTTTAATTGTTTTCAAGAGTAATAACTTTTTGGACGTACCTGTATAAAACTACCGAGCGAAAAAATATACATTTTCGCCGATTTTTACGTAAAAAAGATCTCTTGGTAAAAATCGCTACGGGCAACCCTTTTCAAGATATTTGGAATCGAAAAAATCGATACAGGTCATATTTTTTACTTATTTTTAGCTACAGAACAAGACCACCCTATAGAAAAAAAATGATTTCGAGCGAATGGCAACGTCAACTTACCAGACGTAGCTTGGTTTGGATATTCTGTATGAGGAGACATATTGCTAGGTCCAGGAATGTTATCCATGTTCTCCATTTGAACAGGCACATTTAATTCTGGAAAAAATGTTGTGGGTTTCCATAAATAGTGGTTATGGCGTTGATGCTTATGAAGATTCGATTTCTGTAACGTAAAAAATATTTATTTACTATTGTAATAACACACACAACAAAGAAAAATTATTTTATATTTTAGAAAGTTTGGCATAGAATTTTGAACACCCTGTATGGTTTAAGCTTACGATATTTATAGAAAAGTAAGTACAGACCAACTCTAATAAATATATAGTTTTGATTTCAGGACGTTTCTTGTATTTTTAATATTTTTTTTAAAAAAGGGTGAAATAAATATTTTTTTAATTTATTTATTAATATCTCTAAAACTATCAAAGCCAAATAAATAATATCTTAGGATGATATCTTATGTAAAGTGATCAGAAAGGAAGCCAGAAACCAGAAATGCAATAATATATAGGGTGTTCCATTTAAAAAAAAAATCATCCCGATCTAAACATGCTTTTTTGAGCCACCCTGTAGAAAATAAAATATTTTCTTGAAATACATCATAATACATACTTTAGGTTTACACTTAAACAAAAATTGTAAGTTTATTATTGTAGGAGCTACAGATGCCCGACGCACTATTGCCAGACCCTGTTATGTATTAAGATTTAATTTTTACCACTTAAATCTAATACAGAGCTATTATAAATACTCCTGTATTATTATCTTACCTTGTGTTTTTCACATGACTTTGGTATTCTGCCTGGTACAGGCAAACCTGCCCTATACAACTTCAAAAAATACTTTTGTAATCTACTAGACACTTGTTGAACTGTCCTGTTACCTACAATGATTATATATTATTATTATTAACACAACTATACAGCAGATATAATAAAATATAGTTAAGAATTTTAACTATAAAAGATGTACTACCAAGAGCTTTGGCGATTTTTTGGTATCTTCTCATTTCGATGGGTTCCGGAGGGTAAATTTGCAGCAACTCCTCCAAACGCTTTTGCTCTTCCAAGCTCCATGCCCTGCTGTTATTATTACTTTTCAGTTCAAGCTTTTTGTCAGCAACTTGTGCCGAAGAACTGTAAATGTCTAAGATCTCACTTTCGGGCACTTTGACAGTGAACTTTTGAAAGTCTATTTTTGGAAGCTAAAATTTCAATGAAACAGCGACATTTTCCTTGTGATTTTACAATAAATTACCTTGGGTAAGACTAACAAGGGAGGAATTCCCAAATTACCTTCTTTTTTCAACTTTTCGACAGCAGCAATCGGATTTTTTAGTGCCTCATTTTTAGCGTCCGATACTACTTTAAAATCCTACCAAAAATATGTTTATTTAATTTTTTATTATGTTATTAATTTCTGAGTTACCTTTAGAGCTTGTTCTCTTTGAGCAGTCAAAATTACGAGAGTTTTTAACACATCGCAGTAGTCTTTATTGCCTCTCAATGCTAAATGATCGCTTTCGAAACTGAAGAGATCGTTCTCGGTATCGAAAACCGGTACCATTTCGTCCATGGTGTCAAGTTTTTGTATTTTAAACTTAAAATCGAATTATATACTTAACGTAACATATAAATTACTTTATAATAATAGAAATGTTTGTTTTTATTTACAACCTGAAACGTCAAATATTTTAAGTTAAGTCCAAATCCAACGTTGTCACGTCTTAAAATGTATTTATTTGTGAATGTTTACTCCAGGTTTACTCTAAAAATAAAGATTATTTTATTTAATTCTTGTAGGTTATATTCCGCTATATTAGTTCTGAAATTAATGCATTACTTAACGTGTTTATTTTTGTAATAGTTTAAGAAATTATTAGAGAATAAAGATATGGAAATTTAATCTAATTTCCAACAACTTTTACGACAGTGTGGCAACGTAAGATTTGTCAAAAAAAGGCGGAAAAATTAACATGTTAACAGTAACATGTTAATGTAATATATAATAATGTAAAAAATAACAGTAATAATAATAATGTAAAAAATAACAGTAACATGTTAATAACAATTTTATGTAAAAGACGACATGAATTTTATTCGATCACACGGTATATAGGATCGCCTATTAAAATACTCTTTATAGACGAAAAATGATGCATCAGATGTCCATTCGCAGTTTTTTTGTCGGATTTAACAAGAGGTTGCCCAGGGCAACTGTAGAGCATTTTCACAGAAAAACTAATTATGTATCTGAGTTAGGTATGTAGAAAATAATATCGATACTGTGAAATATCGATAACGGAAAGACATCAAGACATACTTTAACAATTGTTTGGTCTTTCAGAGGAATTGTCATCGACAATGTTATTTTCAAGAAGAAATGTCACTTTGAGCATCTTTTAAACTAGAGCATTTTTTTATTGTTAATAGTAAAATTCTTAGTTTTAAGGTAGTTATAATAATTCGCATATTTAAAGTTCTCATTAAAAAAAATAATAATTTTTAAATTGTGGCAATATTGAGTTAGATAGGAGAAAGTTGCACGAGACATTTTTTTAGAAATAAACCGAGTAAATAAAAAAACTCTAAAATGTTTATTTTTATCAGTGGCGTATTATTTTTTTTGAAAACATTACCCGATGCGTATCACATCTACGCCACTGGCTGAAAATTAAATCTCTTCTTTTTACATTTTTCAAGTGTCTCTGTTAGGTAGACTCCTATAATAACATTTTATAACGATACCTTCAACTGTTAAAAAACTATTAAAGTATATCTTTAATTGTTCAAAAACGTTATCACCCTGTACCTTGCGCAAGAGGCATTTCCCACCCATAGTGTGCTATATCAAAATTAATATTTCGACGTCCCCTAATATTTTCTCCGAAAGCATGGCCCACTTACAGGAATCACCCTGTATACCGGGTGCGTCCAAAAAGTGGCTCACCCCTATAAGTTTTTTTATTTTTTCAGATAAAAAAACGAGATTTAGTATGTTAGTATATGACATAAATTAGGATTGTTTGACGTCTTCAATTGTTTTTGGTCACTTCCTGTTTCACCGGAAATTACTACAACTTTAGATTTTTAAATGGCACCCTCGGTATATTTTTACTTTATTCGATAGAAAATGACACTCTGAATAGAATGACATATCATATGTCAACTTTTGACATTTTCGCTTACAAAAAAATCGTATTTTAAATTCCAATCTAGAGTGCTATGGCTGTGTTAAAAACATTAATCAAGAAACCTTGGAAAAATAGATTCGATCATCTAATGTTTTTCGTGTCTTGTCCAGGCGGGTTAAAAGATGCACAAATCGTTTTTTTAATCATATCTCAATTTTTTCAAATGGAACAAGGGTGGCTCATTAGCATATTTGGAAAAAGCATTTTTTTGCCAATAATTTGGTACCAAACACTTTGTATTTCGAGTCAAATTGTCGTTATGAACCGCAAGTTATAATTTGAAATAAATCATATGCGAAAATGTCAAAAGTTGACATATAATATATCATTTTACTCAGAGTGTCATTTTCTATCCGATAAAGTAAAAATATACCGAGGGTGCTGTTTAAAAATCAAAAGTTGTAGTAATTTCCGGTGAAACAGGAAGTGACCAAAAGCAATTGAATACGCCAATCAATTCCAATTTATGTCATATACTAACATACCAAATCTCGATTTTTTATATGAAAAAATAACAAAGTTATAGGGGTGATCCACTTTTGAGACGCACCCGGTATACAAATAATATAAAAGACAACCCTCGTATCGATACTTTTTTTATAATATCGATTTGTTTTGAACATAAAACATCCCTTCTTTTACCCATATTTTTTCAATTGTTTTACGCTAGCATTATTATATCAGAGAAGAAATCTGTAATAAGGTAAATAATAATTATATTTTAAATTAAATCAAAACAATACGTATTTGTACAGTGTAAAATAACGATCTTTGAGAATAGCTAATTATTTTTAAAGGCGTTTCTTTGTGAGGTGGACAAGGAAAAGGACGAAAAAGGTCTCAGGTGATGCAAGAGATCGAGTTTCTTATATAATTGGAAAAATCCAGTCTTCGAATGGACACAGACGTAGCCATATTGGCTATTTTTCGAATTAAAAGTGTCACATTTCGTGTGCTATTGGATAACAATTTATATCAGATCGCCCAAACAAGAAGGTCAATACTGTACAGGGTGGGTCAAATTCGACGCTTTTAAATAGAAACACCCTTTTCTATGTTAGATAGACGAAAACTAATATCGGTGTCTGGAGCTCAATCTCCACCAAAAACATGATGGTGAAAACCGCACATCAATATCTGTTACCGTTTCGGAGTTACGTGGTGTTTTTCAAAAATGTGCATTTTTAACAAATCGCTGTAACTTTTTTGCTATGGAGAATTTTGTATTTCTATGAAAACATTTCCAAAGCATCTTTTTACGTAGAATGTAATGGTTTAAGTATAATTTTTTTTAAAATTAATAATTTAAGAGTTATCAACAGAAAAATTGATTTTTTATTTGGGACACCCTGTATATTTTTAATTAACCGAAAAGAATTTAAAATTACCTTTCCAAAAATATAGCACACTTAATATTTTGTTATAATCCACTTCGAAATACAGAATTTTCAAAAGTTCGCCACTTTTAACTAGTAGGCTTTGGACCCCTTATTGATGATACGCCCTTAATGGAACTCCAAAACATATTTTTTCAGCAAGACGACGCACCGCCTCTGAACGCTGAAGTTATCAGCAAATTTTTGCAGCCAATTTCAAGAATAATTGAATAGCTAACCAAGATTCCAGCCGTTGGCCGTCGAGGCCGCCTGATTTAGTGCACATGGATCTAATCCTATGGATATATTTGCGGAAGAATAAAGGTTCCTTATTCTTCCGTATAATCTAGACAAGAATTAGAAATACTTAGGTGTTATGAGAGGGTATCTTTCACCCCCACTGAGTTAATGAATTCCGCGAGAAATGTTCAAAAACCCTCCCGTCTGTCCGATCGATATGTCGAACATCTGTAGCAAAATCTCATGTTATTAGATATAGTTTACATGTGTTGATGTTGGTTAAATATATTTTAAATTGTTATAAAATTCTGCATCTCTCATAGCAAATATTATTTTCGTTTTAATTGATGCTCACAGCTAGAATTTTGCATTACAGCCGCACAAAGGGATATTTGTAAAAATTAGGCGGTCAAATTTTATTGATTTTAATTTGGAATAATAGCAAACTAATGTGAAATTTTATAATTTACACGATTTGTATGGGTAAAAAATACAATAGAAGAATAACAGAAAGAGGAAAATATGGAAATTTAATTATTAACTCTAAAAAAATACAAAATAATTATAAATTCCCAAAAACCTTGTCCATTTTTAGTTAGATGATGATTCCCCGTCAGAAGAAAACGTATTAGATGGATCTTCTGTTGTTATCAAAGACTGCATCAAAGTTAGTAACTTTTCGATGTCCTTCTGCATGCAATTGCATTTGAGTCGCGTAGGTAAGTAACTTGGCATCTGTTTTAGTAAGAACTTCCTTGGCCTTTCTTCTTTTACTTCTCTCACTCAATTAAAAAAAAAACGACTTTTTAGGTCTTCCCATGTTTGGCACTGCTTTTGGCAAACAAAAAGATTTCAAGCCACCTAGCATTTTTTTTGAGAAAATAATTTTTCTGAAAACTTGCTTCTGTTCATTTTTTTTTAAACTCGGCCCTAAATCTTGAAAATTTATGTTTTATTTCTTTTTTACAGTCATCCGAGAAATCATCGTAAGAAAGTAAACATCGAATATAAACAACATATTAATAATTTGTTATATTTACCAATTCTTATTCGTTCATCCATTTCACAAATAATTGCTTCTTGGTGAATATCTTCACGCCAGATGGTCGATCGGAACAGATTCCAGCTCTCCGACTCCCCTGTCAAACGACGGTCCGTGCCGGACGGGCTGGTCAAGTGTGCGCGGATTCAGGCGCGGCGCTGGCCTGTATTAAGTCGTGTAAGTTTGTCGATCGCATATTTGTTTTGCAGTTTATTTCTGCAGTTGTTGTTGTTAAGAGTCCGGAGAAAGCAGTCCTACGGCAAGTTTTATAATTGTGTGATATTGCATGATTTTTTTTTAAAGAAAAATCTTGGAAAATCGGATATTATCGGGTCTAAACTTTTTAAATTCGTGTACTAGACACTACCATCTAGACAATTTAAAAAAAAATTAGGCGGGAAATACACGAAACTATAACAAAAACCTAGCTTTACTTAAAATTTAAAACGTCAAATCTTTTAAATCTACTTTTAGGAACAGTTACATCGAATATATTGAACAACATATTAATAATTTCATTTGTAGTATTTACCTGCTTCATCAATATCCATTTCACAAACATCACAAATTCTGAAGCAGCCCGTATTTGGGAGTTACATGTCCTTGTAGCTATTTTTAGTTATTGGAGGAGCCTAACCAATCTGCTTTGACTGACGACAAGTCTAGATAAGAAGAAAAGTGCGTGGAATTATAAATTTTTGGTAACTATTATGTGTTTAAGCCTAGTATGTTTTGATAAATAAAAACGTTAAACCAACATTGTTATTCATGGCGCCCCACGTTGGGCGCCATGATTATTAATCTTCCGGCTCTTGAAACCAAATAAAGTTTGATTCTCACTATACC